ATTTGTATGGCCCAGTCTGTTAGGTACAATACATACAGATGTGTATGACCCAGGCTGTTAGGTACAATACATACAGAGGTGTATGGCCCAGTCTGTTGTGTAGATACATACAGATGTGTATGGCCCAGTCTCTAAGGTACAATACATACAGATATGTATAGCCCAGTCTGTTAGGTACAATACATACAGAGGTGTATGGCCCAGTCTGTTGTGTAGATACATACAGATGTGTATGGCCCAGTCTCTAAGGTACAATACATACAGATGTGTATGGCTCAGTCTGTTAGGTACAACACATACAGATATGTATGGCCCAGTCTGTTAGGTACAACACATACAGATATGTATGGCCCAGTCTGTTAGGTACAATACATAGAGATGTATATGGCCCAGTCTGTTAGGTACAACACATACAGATGTGTATGGCCCAGTCTGTTAGGTACAATACATAGAGATGTATATGGCCCAGTCTGTTAGGTACAACACATACAGATGTGTATGGCCTAGTCTGTTAGGTACAACACATACAGATATGTATGGCCCAGTCTGTTAGGTACAACACATACAGATATGTATGGCCCAGTCTGTTAGGTACAACACATACAGATATGTATGGCCCAGTCTGTTAGGTACAATACATACAGATGTGTATGGCCCAGTCTGTTAGGTACAACACATACAGATATGTATGGCCCAGTCTGTTAGGTACAACACATACAGATATGTATGGCCCAGTCTGTTAGGTACAATACATACAGATGTGTATGGCCCAGTCTGTTAGGTACAATACATACAGATGTGTATGGCTCAGTCTGTTAGGTACAATACATACAGATGTGTATGGCCCAGTCTGTTAGGTACAATATATACAGATATGTATGGCTCAGTCTGTTAGGTACAATACATACAGAGGTGTATGGCCCAGTCTGTTGTGTAGATACATACAGATGTGTATGGCCCAGTCTGTTAGGTACAACACATACAGATATGTATGGCCCAGTCTGTTAGGTACAATACATACAGATGTGTGTAGCCCAATCTTTTAGGTACAATACATACAGATGTGTATGGCTCAGTCTGTTAGGTACAATACATACAGATGTGTATAACTGATCATGTCTGTTAGGTACAATACATACAGATGTGTATGGCCCAGTCTGTTGTGTAGATACATACAGATGTGTATGGCCCAGGCTGTTAGGTACAATACATACAGATATGTATAGCCCAGTCTGTTGTGTAGATACATACAGATGTGTATGGCCCAGTCTCTAAGGTACAATACATACAGATGTGTATGGTTCGGTCTGTTAGGTACAATACATACAGATGTGTATAACTGAGCCTGTTAGGTACAATACATACAGATGTGTATGACCCTGTCTCTCAGGTACAATACATAGAGATGTATATGGCCCAGTCTGTTAGGTACAATACATACAGATGTGTTTGGCCTAGTCTTTTAGGTACATTACATACAGATGTGTATGACCCTGTCTGTTAGGTACAGTACATATAGATGTGTATGACTCGGCTCTATGATAACAATATGATAAGCGTTTATGGCCGAGTCTGTGGGTAAAATACATTCAGATATGTATTACCAGGTCGTTGTATACAATAGATATAGATGTGTATAACCTGATATATTGGTATAATATATATAGATGTGTATGACCCGGTATCTGGGTACAATACATACAGGTGTGTATGACCCGGTATTTGGGTAAAATATATATAGATGCGTATGACAAACATTGGTCACGCTACCTTGACAACCGTTGGTCACGCTACCTTGACAACCGTTGGTAACGCTACCTTGACAACCATTGGTCACGCTACCTTGACAACCGTTGGTCACGCTACCTTGACAACCATTGTTCATGCTACCTTCACAACCATTGGTCACGCTACCTTGATAACCATTGGTCACGCTACCTTCACAACCATTGGGCACGCTACCTTGACAACCATTGGCCACGCTGCCTTGACAACCATTGTTCATGCTACCTTGACAACCATTGGTCACGCTACCTTGACAACCATTGTTCATGCTACCTTTACAACCATTGGTCACGTTACCTTGACAACCATTGTTCATGCTACCTTCACAACCATTGTTCATGCTACCTTTACAACCATTGGTCACGCTACCTTGACAACCATTGTAATTGAAGCAGTCGACACTGAAAGTGTGTGCCAATAACTAAAACACTCATTAGTTTTGGAATTCCTTGTGAGTGGTCAACTTGTATTGGATAAAACCTGGGTAATCTTTTAAATATTGTTATGATATTGTGACAAGGGTAGATTTTTAATTCTATTTTATTTTCATTTTGTTTTATTTGAATCAATGCTCATTTTTAATGGAACCGGATTTTTTTTCTTAATTTGGATAACGTTAAATTTATTGGTTATCCCCATGGAGTATCACGCAGTCCCGGCCAAGTTTTATAGTGCCATTCACGAGAGTTGTAATACAACATGTTATGTTTTTCTCCGTAACATAGGGCTCCAAAGAGAACACGTGACCCTTCCGTAGCTAGGCGCGCCATCGATCCACGGGGCTGCCTCGAACTGACTGCTGGCTGAATTAAACATGAGCTATAACTGGGTCGTAAATAGGACACCTAAATCACAGTTTTCAATAAAACAGAAACTACATTTCACAAACATTTTATTATGTTGAGATTTAATAAGACAGCACACTAGTTAATACAAATTGAAAATCAGGCTCGTAATGACATTTTCTCATATTGAAGCCTCCGTCAATGTGGGGCATCGTCAACATCCCGACAGTCCTTCACCTACACGTCCCGACAGTCCTTCATTAATACGTCGCGACAGTCCTTCACTTACACGTCCCGACAGTGCTTCACTAACACGTCGCGACAGTGCTTCGCTTACACGTCCCCACAGTCCTTCACTTACACGGCCCGACAATCCTTCACCTACACGTCCCGACAGTCCTTCACTTACAAGTCCCGACAGTCCTCCCGACAGTCCTCCACTTACACGTCCCGACAGTCCTTCACTTACACAATCCGAAAGTCCTTCACTTACACATCCAGACAATCCTTCACTTACACATCCCGACAGTCCTTCACTTACACACCCAGACAGTCCTTCACTTACACGTCCCGACAATCCTTCACTTACACATCCCGACAGTCCTTCACTTACACGTCCCCACAGTCCTTCACTTACACATCCCGACAGTCCTTCACCTACATGTCCCGACAGTCCTTCACTTGCACGTCCCATAGTCCTTCACTTACACGTCCCGACAATCCTTCACTTACACATCCCGACAGTCCTTCACTTACACGTCCCCACAGTCCTTCACTTACACATCCCGACAGTCCTTCACCTACATGTCCCGACAGTCCTTCACTTGCACGTCCCATAGTCCTTCACTTACACGGCCCGTAAGTCCTTCACTTACACATCCCGACAGTACTTCACTTACACGTCCCATAGTCCTTCACTTTCATGTCCCGACAGTCCTTCACTTATACATCATGACAGTCCTTTACTTACACGTCTCGACAGTCCTTCACTTACACATTCCGACAGTCCTACACTTACACGTCCCGACAGTGCTTAACTTACACGTCCCAACAATCCTTCACTTACACATTCCGACAGTCCTTCACCTACACGTCCCGACAGTCCTTCACTTACACGTCCCCGCAGTACTTCACTTACACGTCCCATAGTCCTTCACTTACACATTCCGACAGTCCTTCACTTACACGTCCCGACAGTGCTTCACTTGTACATCCCGACTGTCCTTCACTTACACGTCTCAACAATCCTTCACTTACACATTCCGACAGTCCTTCACCTACACGTCCCGACAATCCTTCACTTACACGTCCCCACAGTACTTCATTTACACGTCCCCTAGTCCTTCACTTACATATCACGACAGTCCTACACTTACACGTCCCGACAGTGCTTAACTTACACGTCCCAACAATCCTTCACTTACACATTCCGACAGTCCTTCACCTACACGTCCTGACAATCCTTCACTTACACGTCCCCACAGTACTTCACTTACACGTCCCATAGTCCTTCACTTACAAATTCCGACAGTCCTTCACCTACACGTCCCGACAATCCTTCACTTACACGTCCCCACAGTACTTCACTTACACGTCCCATAGTCCTTCACTTACACATTCCGACAGTCCTTCACTTACACGTCCCGACAGTGCTTCACTTGCACATCCCGACTGTCCTTCACTTACACGTCCCCACAGTCCTTCACTTACACATCCCGACAGTCCTTCACATACACGTCCCGACAGTCCTTCACTTACACGTCCCATAGTCCTTCGCTTACACATCCCGACAGTCCTTCACTTACACGTCCCATAGTACTTCACTTTCATGTCCCGACAGTCCTTCACTTACACGTCTCGACAGTCCTTCACTAACACGTCCCGACAGTCCTTCACTTGCACGTCCCGACAGTGCTTCACTCACACGTCTCGACAGTCCTTCACTAACACGTCCCGACAGTCCTTCACTTAAACATTCCGACAGTCCTTCACTTACACATCACGACAGTCCTACACTTACACGTCCCGACAGTGCTTCACTTACACGTCTCAACAGTCCTTCGCTAACACGTCCAGACAGTCCTTCACTAACACGTCCCGACAGTCCTTCACTTAAACATCCCTACAGTCCTTCACTTACACATCACGACAGTCCTACACTTACACGTCCCGACAGTCCTTCACTTACACGTCCCGACAGTCCTTTACTTACACGTCCCGACAGTCCTTTACTTACACGTCCCAACAGGCCTTCACTGACACATTCCGACAGTCCTTCACTTACACGTCCCGACAGTCCTTTACTTACACGTCCCGACAGTCCTTCACTTCCACGTCCCGACAGCCCTTCACTTACAAATCACGAAAGTCCTTCAGTTACACGTCCCGACAGTCCTTCACTTACACGTCCCATAGTCCTTCACTTAAACATCACGACAGTCCTTCACTTACACGTCCCGACAGTCCTTCACTTACACGTCCCGACAGTCCTTTACTTACACGTCCCGACAGTCCTTCGCTTACACGTCCCGACAGCCCTTCACTTACACGTCCCGACAGTCTTTCACTTACACGTCCCGACAGTCCTTTACTTAATCGTCCCGACAGTCCTTCACTTACACGTCCCGACAGTCCTTTACTTAAACGTCCCGACAGTCTTTCACTTACACGTCCCGACAGTCCTTTACTTAAACGTCCCGACAGTCCTTCACTTACACGTCCCGACAGTCCTTTACTTGAACGTCCCGACAGTCCTTCACTTACACGTCCCGACAGTCCTTCACTTACACGTCCCGACAGTCCTTTACTTACACGTTCAGACAGTACTTCACTTACACATTCCGACAGTCCTTCACTTACACGTCCCGACAGTCCTTTACTTACACGTCCCGACAGTCCTTTACTTACACGTCCCAACAGTCCTTCACTTACACGTCCCGACAGTCCTTCACTTACACGTCCCGACAGTCCTTCACTTACACATCCCGACAGCCCTTCACTTACACGTCCCGACAGTCCTTTACTTACACGTCCAGACAGTCCTTCACTTACACGTCCCGACATTCCTTCACTTACACGTCCCGACAGTCCTTTACTTACATGTCCAGACAGCACTTCACTAACACGTCCCGACAGTCCTTTACTTACCCATCCCGACAGTCCTTCACTTACACGTCCTGGCAGACCTTCACTTACACGTCCCGACACAGACATTAATGTATCACCGTCTACCGACATAGACATTGATGTATCACCGCGTACCGACATAGACATTGATGTATCACCGTGTACCGACATAGACATTGATGTATCACCGTGTACCGACATAGACATTGATGTATCACCGTGTACCGACACAGACATTGATGTATCACCGTGTACCGACATAGACATTGATGTATCACCGTGTACCGACACAGACATTGATGTGTCACCGTGTACCGACATAGACATTGATGTATCACCGTGTACCGACATAGACATTGATGTATCACCGTGTACCGACACAGACATTGATGTATCACCGTGTACCGACATAGACATTGATGTATCACCGTGTACCGACACAGACATTGATGTATCACCGTGTACCGACATAGACATTGATGTATCACCGTGTACCGACATAGACATTGATGTATCACCGTGTACCGACATAGACATTGATGTATCACCGTGTACCGACACAGACATTGATGTATCACCGTGTACCGACATAGACATTGATGTATCACCGTGTACCGACATAGACATTGATGTATCACCGTGTACCGACATAGACATTGATGTATCACCGTGTACCGACATAGACATTGATGTATCACCGTGTACCGACATAGACATTGATGTATCACCGTGTACCGACACAGACATTGATGTATCACCGTGTACCGACATAGACATTGATGTATCACCGTGTACCGACACAGACATTGATGTATCACCGTGTACCGACATAGACATTGATGTATCACCGTGTACCGACATAGACATTGATGTATCACCGTGTACCGACATAGACATTGATGTAACACCTTGTACCGACATAGACATTGATGTATCACCGTGTACCGACACAGACATTGATGTATCACCGTGTACCGACATAGACATTGATGTATCACCGTGTACCGACATAGACATTGATGTATCACCGTGTACCGACATAGACATTGATGTGTCACCGTGTACCGACATAGACATTGATGTATCACCGTGTACCGACATAGACATTGATGTATCACCGTGTACCGACATAGACATTGATGTATCACCGTGTACCGACATAGACATTGATGTATCACCGTGTACCGACATAGACATTGATGTATCACCGTGTACCGACATAGACATTGATGTATCACCGTGTACCGACATAGACATTGATGTATCACCGTGTACCGACATAGACATTGATGTATCACCGTGTACCGACATAGATCATAGACATTGATGTATCACCGTGTACCGACATAGACATTGATGTATCACCGTGTACCGACATAGACATTGATGTATCACCGTGTACCGACATAGACATTGATGTATCACCGTGTACCGACATAGACATTGATGTATCACCGTGTACCGACATAGACATTGATGTATCACCGTGTACCGACATAGACATTGATGTATCACCGTGTACCGACATAGACATTGATGTATCACCGTGTACCGACATAGACATTGATGTATCACCGTGTACCGACATAGACATTGATGTATCACCGTGTACCGACATAGACATTGATGTTTCACCGTGTACCGACATAGACATTGATGTATCACCGTGTACCGACCGACACTGACATTGATGTATCACCGTGTACCGACATAGACATTGATGTATCACCGTGTACCGACATAGACATTGATGTATCACCGTGTACCGACACAGACATTGATGTATCACCGTGTACCGACATAGACATTGATGTATGACCGTGTACCGACATAGACATTGATGTATCACCGTGTACCGAATAGACATTGATGTATCACCGTGTACCGAATAGACATTGATGTATCACCGTGTACCGAATAGACATTGATGTGTCACCGTGTACCGACATAGACATTGATGTATCACCGTGTACCGAATAGACATTGATGTATCACCGTGTACCGACACACAAATATTTTACTCTGCCACACCTTGATGGTCCTGAGACTGAAGCCATTTGGCGGATGTCCAGACCTCGCCGTATCTGTGTAATATGACGGACCAATATTTCCCAAGGTTTGATGTGACGCAGTAATGGAGAGTATCCGAGGAAATCTTGAGATAGAGCGGATCGGAGCCATAGCTGAGACACTCCGTTTCCACTACTTTCAGTAACACTATCTATCGCAATATAATAAGATCCCCGTCTGAAAAAAATGTTGGTTGGTTTTAAGACCAGCATGCACTGTTATCTCAAAGTCAGCTGTAGGTAACTTATGGTTCCTTTATTGCCATATAAGGACAGTGTCGTATATAATTAGGTATAGATAGCAGGCTCAGTGATAAAATGTCAGGTCTGGGACTTCTTTATATCAGTGCTGCCAAACATTTCACATCGGAAAAAATACCATTCCACGAGTTTGACGTTATGGTCAGTCGCTTATCTCTGTCACCATTAATATTTACAAACGTAAAAATATACCTGTTTATTGTATTACCTGTAATAACTATTGTATATAACAATATATATAGATAGCTGGCTCAGTGATAAAATATCAGCTCTGAGACTTCTTTATATCTATATCAGTGCTTCCAAACATTTCAAATCAGAACAAATATTATTCGACGAGCTTGACGTCATCGTGAGTTGCTTTCCTTTGTTACCAGTACATATATATGTCCTAAAATATATCTGGTTATCTTACCTATAACTACTATTGTATGTAACAATATACCTGGTGATATTACATTTAATTGCTATTGTATAACAATATATCTGGTGATATTACCTTCAACTACTATTGTATAACAATATACCTGGTGATATTACCTGTAACTACTATTGTATAACAATATATCTGGTGATATTACCTGTAACTACTATTGTATGTAACAATATACCTGGTGATATTACCTGTAACTACTATTGTATGTAACAATATACCTAATGTATGTAACAATATACCTAGTGGTATTGCCTGTAACTACTATTGTATAACAATATATCTGGTGATATACCTGTACTACTATTGTATGTAACAATATACCTGGTGATATTACCTGTAACTACTATTGTATGTAACAATATATCTGGTGATATTACCTGTAACTACTATTGTATAACAATATATCTGGTGATATTACCTGTAACTACTATTGTATGTAACAATATACCTGGTGATATTACATTTAATTGCTATTGTATAACAATATATCTGGTGATATTACCTGTAACTACTATTGTATGTAACAATATACCTGGTGATATAACTTGTAATTACTATTGTATAACAATATACCTGGTGATATTACCTTTAACTACTATTGTATAACAATATATCTGGTGATATTACCTGTAACTACTATTGTATAACAATATATCTGGTGATATTACCTTCAACTACTATTGTATAACAATATATCTGGTGATATTACCTGTAACTACTATTGTATAACAATATACCTGGTGATATTACCTGTAACTATTATTGTATAACAATATACCTGGTGATATTACCTGTAACTACTATTGTATGTAACAATATACCTGGTGATATTACCTGTAACGACTAATGTATGTAACAATATACCTAGTGGTATTGCCTGTAACTACTATTGTATGTAACAATATACCTAGTGGTATTGCCTGTAACTACTATTGTATGTAACAATATATCTGGTGATATTACCTGTAACTATTATTGTATAACAATATATCTGGTGATATTACCTGTAACTACTATTGTATGTAACAATATACCTGGTGATATTACCTGTAACGACTAATGTATGTAACAATATACCTAGTGGTATTGCCTGTAACTACTATTGTATGTAACAATATACCTAGTGATATTACCTGTAACTATTGTATGTAACAATATATCTGGTGATATTACCTGTAACTAGTATTGTATGTAACAATATATCTGGTGATATTACCTGTAACTATTATTGTATAACAATATATCTGGTGATATTACCTGTATCTACTATTGTAAGAAACAATACATCTGGTGATATTACATGTAACTAATATTGTATGTAACAATATTGCTGTTGGTATATTTCTATCCTTTACAATCATGATAAACGCTAATTGATTGTCGCTATTTTTTATTTGTTAATTTATTATGCGTCGCATTTTGATTGTGCGAGTGAGAGTCAAGCAATCCAAGAGAGATAACTCTTGCTAACTCTCAGTTTGTCGCACAACTCAAGGGAGAGCACTCCGCATTATCTAACGAACTGTCAAGAAACACAAATGAAATTATGCGTTTTAGTTTACATGAGTTAATGAAAGCAGTATATAATCAATACACATTCAAACACCATGTACAGTACATCTGAATTCTGCAGGAAGTCTGTTTATCTACTGAAGTCTTCAAACTGTACATAAACATACCATGTCAATGTACAGGCGACTCCTGGAGGAAGCTCCCGATATGTTTTCACATGTCACACTCAGCTATAGGAATTCAATATCACATAAACTGTTGGCGAGATCAAATTGCATATCATAACAGTTTGATCGTAAGATCAGTGAAACAAGCGAACAGATGATAATGGCTGGTGTCCTGGGCCTGGCTTCTAAAAAAGGCAAGCTGGCGAGGACTGGCTGGAGGAGGAAATCTTCAATATAAGCAAGCTGATTTCATTTAATGGGCGCAAGTTCCTATCCTTGCTGATGATTAGAAGTCGATGAAGATGTTCAGAAATGTCGAGAGGAGTCCAAGGTTCTTTTATTATAAAAGAGCACTGATGTTTAAGTTTTGTCGAAGAATCGAGTCCATCACTACTTGGAACACAACCTGTATATTACTTGTGTCGGTCGCTGTAGTAAAATGGGGATACACCACCTTGGACGGATTCTGATTCTGGTTCTGAAAATCTCTCTGGATAAAGCGAGCTGCCTGGTCCACATCCTTATCTGGTCCTAACAAATAAGATAGCAGGTATATATAAACATAGAAATACTGACATTTAATTGGTATTACTAAGTAGTACTGTCAGAAAACATCTATACTAACACAATAAACATCAGTTAACATATCTAACGTAAGACTAGTATGTAAGAACCAAACATAATATAAAATCTCACCTTTATACTCTATGAAGAAATGGCGTAGATGTCTACCGGAATGTCGAATCTTGTCCTTAAACAAGTCTATCTTGTTCAGAAACAAAATCTGTAAAACACAAGGTTTATGTGAGTCTGACAACTCTATACCTTCCTCCACTATAACACAGATAGCATCACTCCTCTCACAATGTCACTATGTTAATCAAATTAGGAATTGTAATATTCTGAACTGCTTCAAGGATTTTAACAGTATGGTGTACATATTATGTTGACAGTTTGTGTTAAATTAAATAATACTAGGTTTTTATAAAGTGTCCTTCATGGAAAACATTTGATGTCTACATATCATACCTATACAGAGGTATTTCTACTGGTCATATATAGGTATATATCAATCAGTCGTAAGTTACAACATACTATACAAAGAAACAAAATACACCCCTATAGTAAAACGTGGTTCTTACCATACACGTCTCCTTGAAGAAAATATTATTGCACATAGATTTGAAAAGTTTTAAACTTTCTTGAAGTCGATTCTGTAAAATAAGAAAAATGAAATAAGCGATTGTTATTAATCATGTTGTAGGGAACTTTACCACACAAACCATAACATATCGCTCAAGTGTCTTGTTACAGAATTACAATACTCATCTCTACATCTCTATGCCGACACTTTGAACCTTCTTAACTTCAACAATTGTAATAAATTTATTTTTATAGTTTTATATCCAGTTATTATCAATATCATGTCAGATATATAAATAAGATAGAAAATACATATTTCCCTCCACAGTACTACACTCTGTAGTAAAGCTGTGTGTACTCACCACATGTGGATCTTCGTACAAGCACATGTCATAAGCACTAAGGGCTGCCACAAATAGAAGCGCATTGACGTCATCAAAACATTGGATCCATTTCTTACGTTCTGACCTCTGACCTCCCACATCAAACATTCTGGTCAAATTATCAAAGAGAAATATTTTATTTTAAAAATTCTTGTCATGTTTTGAAATAGAATATAAAGCGTCATATCATTTGATCAAAGGGGAAAATTATATAATTATATTGGTCCGGACACACTGTATTGGGTGTATTTTGGTCCGGACACACTGTATTGGGTGTATAATTATATTGGTCCGGACACACTGTATTGGGCGTATATTGGTCCGGACACACTGTATTGGGTGTATATTGGTCCGGACACACTGTATTGGGTGTATAATTATATTGGTCCGGACACACTGTATTGGGTGTATATTGGTCCGAACATACTGTATTGGGTGTATATTGGTCCGGACACACTGTATTGGGTGTATTTTGGTCCGGACACACTGTATTGGGTGTATAATTATATTGGTCCGGACACACTGTATTGGGCGTATATTGGTCCGGACACACTGTATTGGGTGTATAATTATATTGGTCCGGACACACTGTATTGGGTGTATTTTGGTCCGGACACACTGTATTGGGTGTATAATTATATTGGTCCGGACACACTGTATTGGGTGTATATTTGTCCGGACACACTGTATTGGGTGTATAATTATATTGGTCCGGACACACTGTATTGGGTGTATATTGGTCCGGACATACTGTATTGGGTGTATATTGGTCCGGACACACTGTATTGGGTGTATTTTGGTCCGGACACACTGTATTGGGTGTATAATTATATTGGTCCGGACACACTGTATTGGGCGTATATTGGTCCGGACACACTGTATTGGGTGTATATTGGTCCGGACACACTGTATTGGGTGTATAATTATATTGGTCCGGACACACTGTATTGGGTGTATAATTATATTGGTCCGGACATACTGTATTGGGTGTATATTGGTCCGGACACACTGTATTGGGTGTATAATTATATTGGTCAGGACACACTGTATTGGGTGTATAGTTATATTGGTCCGGACACACTGTATTGGGTGTATAATTATATTGGTCCGGACACACTGTATTGGGTGTATATTGGTCCGGACACACTGTATTGGGTGTATATTGGTCCGGACACACTGTATTGGGTGTATAATTATATTGGTCCGGACACACTGTATTGGGTGTATATTGGTCCGGACACACTGTATTGGGTGTATATTGGTCCGGACACACTGTATTGGGTGTATATTGGTCCGGACACACTGTATTGGGTGTATAATTATATTGGTCCGGACACACTGTATTGGGTGTATATTGGTCCGGACACACTGTATTGGGTGTATTTTGGTCCGGACACACTGTATTGGGTGTATAATTATATTGGTCCGGACACACTGTATTGGGTGTATATTGGTCCGGACACACTGTATTGGGTGTATATTGGTCCGGACACACTGTATTGGGTGTATAATTATATTGGTCCGGACACACTGTATTGGGTGTATAATTATATTGGTCCGGACATACTGTATTGGGTGTATATTGGTCCGGACACACTGTATTGGGTGTATAATTATATTGGTCAGGACACACTGTATTGGGTGTATAGTTATATTGGTCCGGACACACTGTATTGGGTGTATAATTATATTGGTCCGGACACACTGTATTGGGCGTATATTGGTCCGGACACACTGTATTGGGTGTATATTGGTCCGGACACACTGTATTGGGTGTATAATTATATTGGTCCGGACACACTGTATTGGGTGTATAATTATATTGGTCCGGACACACTGTATTGGGCGTATATTGGTCCGGACACACTGTATTGGGTGTATATTGGTCCGGACACACTGTATTGGGCGTATATTGGTCCGGACACACTGTATTGGGTGTATAATTATATTGGTCCGGACATACTGTATTGGGTGTATATTGGTCCGGACACACTGTATTGGGTGTATAATTATATTGGTCAGGACACACTGTATTGGGTGTATAGTTATATTGGTCCGGACACACTGTATTGGGTGTATAATTATATTGGTCCGGACACACTGTATTGGGCGTATATTGGTCCGGACACACTGTATTGGGTGTATATTGGTCCGGACACACTGTATTGGGTGTATAATTATATTGGTCCGGACACACTGTATTGGGTGTATATTGGTCCGGACACACTGTATTGGGTGTATTTTGGTCCGGACACACTGTATTGGGTGTATAATTATATTGGTCCGGACACACTGTATTGGGCGTATATTGGTCCGGACACACTGTATTGGGTGTATAATTATATTGGTCCGGACACACTGTATTGGGTGTATTTTGGTCCGGACACACTGTATTGGGTGTATAATTATATTGGTCCGGACACACTGTATTGGGTGTATATTTGTCCGGACACACTGTATTGGGTGTATAATTATATTGGTCCGGACACACTGTATTGGGTGTATATTGGTCCGGACATACTGTATTGGGTGTATATTGGTCCGGACACACTGTATTGGGTGTATTTTGGTCCGGACACACTGTATTGGGTGTATAATTATATTGGTCCGGACACACTGTATTGGGCGTATATTGGTCCGGACACACTGTATTGGGTGTATATTGGTCCGGACACACTGTATTGGGTGTATAATTATATTGGTCCGGACACACTGTATTGGGTGTATAATTATATTGGTCCGGACATACTGTATTGGGTGTATATTGGTCCGGACACACTGTATTGGGTGTATAATTATATTGGTCAGGACACACTGTATTGGGTGTATAGTTATATTGGTCCGGACACACTGTATTGGGTGTATAATTATATTGGTCCGGACACACTGTATTGGGCGTATATTGGTCCGGACACACTGTATTGGGTGTATATTGGTCCGGACACACTGTATTGGGTGTATAATTATATTGGTCCGGACACACTGTATTGGGTGTATAATTATATTGGTCCGGACACACTGTATTGGGCGTATATTGGTCCGGACACACTGTATTGGGTGTATATTGGTCCGGACACACTGTATTGGGCGTATATTGGTCCGGACACACTGTATTGGGTGTATAATTATATTGGTCCGGACACACTGTATTGGGTGTATAATTATATTGGTCCGGACATACTGTATTGGGTGTATATTGGTCCGGACACACTGTATTGGGTGTATAATTATATTGGTCAGGACACACTGTATTGGGTGTATAGTTATATTGGTCCGGACACACTGTATTGGGTGTATAATTATATTGGTCCGGACACACTGTATTGGGCGTATATTGGTCCGGACACACTGTATTGGGTGTATATTGGTGCGGACACACTGTATTGGGTGTATAATTATATTGGTCCGGACACACTGTATTGGGTGTATAATTATATTGGTCCGGACACACTGTATTGGGCGTATATTGGTCCGGACACACTGTATTGGGTGTATATTGGTCCGGACACACTGTATTGGGCGTATATTGGTCCGGACACACTGTATTGGGTGTATAATTATATTGGTCCGGACACACTGTATTGGGTGTATATTGGTCCGGACACACTGTATTGGGTGTATAATTATATTGGTCCGGACACACTGTATTGGGTGTATAGTTATATTGGTCCGGACACACTGTATTGGGTGTATAGTTATATTGGTCCGGACACACTGTATTGGGTGTATAGTTATATTGGTCCGGACACACTGTATTGGGTGTATAATTATATTGGTCCGGACACACTGTATTGGGTGTATAATTATATTGGTCCGGACACACTGTATTGGGTGTATAATTATATTGGTCCGGACACACTGTATTGGGTGTATAATTATATTGGTCCGGACACACTGTATTGGGTGTATAATTATACTGGTCCGGACACACTGTATTGGGTGTATAATTATATTGGTCCGGACACACTGTATTGGGTGTATAATTATACTGGTCCGGACACACTGTATTGGGTGTATAATTATACTGGTCCGGACACACTGTATTGGGTGTATAATTATACTGGTCCGGACACACTGTATTGGGTGTATAATTATACTGGTCCGGACACACTGTATTGGGTGTATAATTATACTGGTCCGGACACACTGTATTGGGTGTATAATTATACTGGTCCGGACACACTGTATTGGGTGTATAATTATACTGGTCCGGACACACTGTATTGGGTGTATAATTATATTGGTCCGGACACACTGTATTGGGTGTATATTGGTCCGGACACACTGTATTGGGTGTATATTGGTCCGGACACACTGTATTGGGTGTATATTGGTCCGGACACACTGTATTGGGTGTATATTGGTCCGGACACACTGTATTGGGTGTATTTTGGTCCGGACACACTGTATTGGGTGTATAATTATATTGGTCCGGACACACTGTATTGGGTGTATTTTGGTCCGGACACACTGTATTGGGTGTATAATTATATTGGTCCGGACACACTGTATTGGGTGTATTTTGGTCCGGACACACTGTATTGGGTGTATAATTATACTGGTCCGGACACACTGTATTGGGTGTAATTGTGACTTTATACCTGATGAGGATGTTGTCAATTTTAAAACACGTCTCAATGATGCCAGTCGTTCGTACTCGGGCCCGCAGCACGTCCACAGACGACGGCACGAAGTCTCGGTGGCAGATCCGCTCAATGTTTTCAAAATAACTGTGGATATAAAGGAAAGGTATTAAGTCGGGAGGTTCAAAGTACATGTACAGATGTAAGGGTAAAAGGGGGGACAACTCTTTCGTGACGTTCGAGAAAACGGTTATTAACACAGAGTAACTGGGACAGCCAAGTACCGAGTAGACAGAAGTTTCTAAAACGGTCCGGCACATTTGAGTATCCGGGATAAACAACAAAGTGCGTAATACTTACTAGATGGCCGAGTCGTTGAGTTCGTACTCGTACCCTCGGGACACGGCCACCCTGACTCCACGGTCCTGCCACAGGGCTCTTAGAGCATTTGTCATGTGTGGAAGCATCACGTGGCTCTTGTCGAAGCAGCACGTGCACGTGAGGATTGCCTGGGCGTTCCCCTGAAATAGTTCCATAAATACAAACACTATGTATAGTTGTTATACTACTAAATTAATTGTACTTCAAGTTACAATTAAAGTTTTCGTACACCTTATAATGTAAAGTTGAAAGCAATATGGAAACGAAAAAGAAAAAACTTAAGTAAAGTTTACCCTAGATTTAAATATATACATATTTATTTTCCTGAGTAAACTACTGCTGTGAGTTGATTGTGTGATGAACTAAGTCGACATACTTTATTTATTCATTCATGTTTTGTTTTATTCAGTAAGACAAAGAATTTCGTATTGTTTGTCGGGTTTCATTTCCTTTCACTTGCTTTTTCTGTATAAATACATAGATACGCTACTTATATCTATAAATATTGATACATAATATTTGGTCAAATCTAACATCTTTCTTTTATTTTTGAAAAAGAAATATTAAGATAAAGAAAAAAAGCCAAAAAACAAAAACGTTGACTGCAATAAATTAAAAACCAATTTCAGGAAATACATTGCATGTGAAATAAAGAAAGACACTACATAAGGTCTATACTAACCCGATTCTTAGGGTTGTCCAGGTTGATTCGTAACAGTCCCATACCAGTAAGTACATACTTCATGGAACCCAACAGGTTGTCAAGTACAGCAGGCTGGAAAATATACAGAAACGACTGGTAAGTAACAGTGTCCAGGTATAGAATAAGGACAAGTTAGTACCAGGACAAGTCAGTATAAGGTCAAGTTAGTATAGGACAAGTTAGTATAGGACAGGTTTTATAAGGACAAGAGTCAGTATAAGGTCAAGTTAGTATCAGGACAAGTTAGTATCAGGACAAGTTAGTATAAGGACAAGTCAGTATAAGGTCAAGTTAGTATAGGACAAGTTAGTATAGGACAGGTTTTATAAGGACAAGAGTTAGTATAAGGACAAGTTAGTATAGGACAAGTTAGTATAGGACAAGTTAGAATAAGGACAAGTTAGTATAGGACAAGTTAGTATCAGGACAAGTTAGTATAGGACAAGTTAGAATAAGGAGAAGTTAGTATAGGACAAGTTAGAATAAGGACAAGTTAGTATAAGGACAAGTTAGGAAAAGTTAGCATAAGACAGGTTAGTATAGGACAAGTTAGTATAAGGACAAGCTAGTATAAGGACAAGTTAGTATCAGGACAAGTTAGTATAGGACAAGTTATAAAAAGGACAAGCTAGTATAGGACAAGTTATAATAAGGACAAGCTAGTATAGGACAAGTTAGTATAAGGACAAGTTAGTATAGGACAAGTCAGTATGAGGACAAGTTAGTATAAGGACAAGTTGATATAGGACAAGTTGGTATAGGACAAGTAAAGATAAATAATAGTTCCATGTGCCCAATGCCACCATCCTCTAGTAATCTAATGTCTGACTCTCACCCTTCAAAATCAAGAGTGTTTTAAACGTCTACAAGACTTTATAAATAATTTTATAGTAATCACATCATATGTATCCAGGTGATGTTCTATATTATGTTTAAACATTATATTGAATAAATTCGTAAGCATCTGATAACGATCGTGGTTTGAGAAATGCATCACAAACAAAACATGCATTCAGTATAAATGTATAAAACAGATCAACAACAACAGATATATACAAACAACTAAGATAAACAACAGGTTTGTCAAGTCCCAGATATAAGTACTTTATGTATTATGCTAATGCTCCTGAAATCATTCCGAGGAGAAAACTTGTTACCATCACAAAGGAAGACATTTGATATTAGTCACAAAAGGGGATTGAATCTCCATAGAAATAATAATAAAAATGCGATAAACATCTTCGCCGAGTTTCCCCAGGGCGTCAGGGGACACAGAGATGGAAATAGCCTTGTCAACAGTGCCTTTATTCAATCTTCATGCTCGAGAAAATCCAATGTTTGATGATAAATACATCATCATAATACGCTGGATATACACAGGTCTTAGGTCAGACGTCAGAAAGTATCAAACAACCATATGATGAACGGGTGTACAAGTTATTATACAACCGTAAAATAGTACAACATCGACAGTGTGAATAGTACCTAAACTATCTACAGTAGATACATCAATATCTATATTATCTACAGTAGATATACATCAATATCTATACTATCTACAGCAGATATACATCAATATCTATACTATCTACAGTAGATATACATCAATATCTATACTATCTACAGTAGATATACATCAATATCTATAATATCTACAGCAGATACATCAATATCTATACTATCTACAGTAGATATACATCATTATCTATACTATCTACAGTATATACATCAATATCTATACTATCTACAGTAGATATACATCAATATCTATACTATCTACAGTAGATACATCAATATCTATACTATCTACAGTAGATATACATCAATATCTATACTATCTACAGTAGATACATCAATATCTATATCATGTACAGTAGATATACATCAATATCTATACTATCTACAGTAGATACATCAACATCTATACTATCTACAGTAGATACATCAATATCTATACTATCTACAGTAGATACATCAATATCTATACTATCTACAGTAGATACATCAATATCTATACTATCTACAGTAGATACATCAACATACTATCTACAGTAGATATACATCAATATCTATACTATCTACAGTAGATATACATCAATATCTATACATCAATATCTATACTATCTACAGTAGATATACATCAACATCTATACTATCTACAGTAGATATACATCAATATCTATACTATGTACAGTAGATATACATCAATATCTATACTATCTACAGTAGATATACATCAATATCTATACTATCTACAGTAGATATACATCAACATCTATACTATCTACAGTAGATATACATCAATATCTATACTATCTACAGTAGATATACATCAATATCTATACTATCTACAGTAGATACATCAATATCTATACTATCTACAGTAGATACACATCATTATCTATACCATCTACAGTGGATATACATCAACATCTATACTATCTACAGTATATACATCAATATCTATACTATCTACAGTAGATATACATCAATATCTATACTATCTACAGTAGATACATCAATATCTATACTATCTACAGTAGATATACATCAATATCTATACTATCTACAGTAGATATACATCAATATCTATACTATCTACAGTAGATATACATCATTATCTATACTATCTACAGTAGATATACATCAATATCTATACTATCTACAGTAGATATACATCAATATCTATACTATCTACAGTAGATACATCAATATCTACTATCTACAGTAGATATACATCAATATCTATACTATCTACAGTAGATACATCAATATCTATATCATCTACAGTAGATATACATTAATATCTATACTATCTACAGTAGATACATCAACATCTATACTATCTACAGTAGATACATCAATATCTATACTATCTACAGTAGATACATCAACAACTATACTATCTACAGTAGATATACATCAACATCTATACTATCTACAGTAGATATACATCAACATCTATACTATCTACAGTAGATATACATCAATATCTATACTATCTACAGTAGATATACATCAATATCTATACTATCTACAGTAGATATACATCAACATCTATACTATCTACAGTAGATATACATCAATATCTATACTATCTACAGTAGATATACATCAATATCTATACTATCTACAGTAGATATACATCAATATCTATACTATCTACAGTAGATATACATCAATATCTATACTATCTACAGTAGATACATCAATATCTATACTATCTACAGTAGATACACATCATTATCTATACCATCTACAGTGGATATACATCAACATCTATACTATCTACAGTATATACATCAATATCTATACTATCTACAGTAGATATACATCAATATCTATACTATCTACAGTAGATACATCAATATCTATACTATCTACAGTAGATACATCAATATCTATACTATCTACTGTAGATATACATCAATATCTATACTATCTACAGTAGATACATCAACATCTATACTATCTACAGAAGATATACATCAATATCTATACTATCTACAGTAGATATACATCAACATCTATACTATCTACAGTAGATATACATCAATATCTATACTATCTACAGTAGATATACATCAATATCTATACTATCTACAGTAGATATACATCAATATCTATACTATCTACAGTAGATATACATCAACATCTATACTATGTACAGTAGATATACATCAATATCTATACTATCTACAGTAGATATACATCAATATCTATACTATCTACAGTAGATATACATCAATATCTATACTATCTACAGTAGATATACATCAATATCTATACTATCTACAGTAGATATACATCAATATCTATACTATCTACAGTAGATATACATCAATATCTATACTATCTACAGTAGATATACATCAACATCTATACTATCTACAGTATATACATCAATATCTATACTATCTACAGTAGATACACATCATTATCTATACCATCTACAGTGGATATACATCAACATCTATACTATGTACAGTATATACATCAATATCTATACTATCTACAGTAGATATACATCAATATCTATACTATCTACAGTAGATACATCAATATCTATACTATCTACAGTAGATACATCAATATCTATACTATCTACAGTAGATATACATCAATATCTATACTATCTACAGTAGATACATCAATATCTATACTATCTACAGTAGATATACATCAATATCTATACTATCTACAGTAGATATACATCAATATCTATACTATCTACAGTAGATATACATCAATATCTATACTATCTACAGTAGATATACATCAATATCTATACTATCTACAGTAGATATACATCAATATCTATACTATCTACAGTAGATATACATCAATATCTATATTATCTACAGTAGATACATCAATATCTATACTATCTACAGTAGATACATCAATATCTATACTATACAGTAGATACATCAACATCTATACTATCTACAGTAGATATACATCAACATCTATACTATCTACAGTAGATACATCAATATCTATACTATCTACAGTAGATACATCAATATCTATACTATCTACAGTAGATATACATCAATATCTATACTATCTACAGTAGATATACATCAATATCTATACTATCTACAGTAGATATACATCAATATCTATACCATCTACAGTAGATATACATCAATATCTATACTATCTACAGTAGATACACATCATTATCTATACCATCTACAGTAGATATACATCAACATCTATACTATCTACAGTAGATACATCAATATCTATACTATCTACAGTAGATATACATCAATATCTATACTATCTACAGTAGATACATCAATATCTATACTATCTACAGTAGATATACATCAATATCTATACTATCTACAGTAGATATACATCAATATCTATACTATCTACAGTAGATATACATCAATATCTATACTATCTACAGTAGATATACATCAATATCTATACTATCTACAGTAGATATACATCAATATCTATACTATCTACAGTAGATATACATCAATATCTATACTATCTACAGTAGATATACATCAATATCTATACTATCTACAGTAGATACATCAATATCTATACTATCTACAGTAGATATACATCAATATCTATACTATCTACAGTAGATACATCAATATCTATACTATCTACAGTAGATACATCAACATCTATACTATCTACAGTAGATATACATCAACATCTATACTATCTACAGTAGATACATCAATATCTATACTATCTACAGTAGATACATCAATATCTATACTATCTACAGTAGATATACATCAATATCTATACTATCTACAGTAGATATACATCAATATCTATACTATCTACAGTAGATATACATCAATATCTATACCATCTACAGTAGATATACATCAATATCTATACTATCTACAGTAGATACACATCATTATCTATACCATCTACAGTAGATATACATCAACATCTATACTATCTACAGTAGATACATCAATATCTATACTATCTACAGTAGATATACATCAATATCTATACTATCTACAGTAGATACATCAATATCTATACTATCTACAGTAGATATACATCAATATCTATACTATCTACAGTAGATATACATCAATATCTATACTATCTACACTAGATATACATCAATATCTATACTATCTACAGTAGATATACATCAATATCTATATTATCTACAGTAGATACATCAACATCTATACTATCTACAGTAGATATACATCAATATCTATATTATCTACAGTAGATACATCAACATCTATACTATCTACAGTAGATATACATCAACATCTATACTATCTACAGTATATACATCAATATCTATACTATCTACAGTAGATATACATCAATATCTATACTATCTACAGTAGATACATCAATATCTATACTATCTACAGTAGATACACATCATTATCTATACCATCTACAGTAGATATACATCAACATCTATACTATGTACAGTAGATATACATCAACATCTATACCATCTACAGTAGATACATCAACATCTATACTATCTACAGTAGATATACATCAACATCTATACTATCTACAGTAGATACATCAATATCTATACTATCTACAGTAGATACATCAATATCTATACTATCTACAGAAGATACATCAATATCTATATTATCTACAGTAGATATACATCAATATCTATACTATCTACAGTAGATACATCAATATCTATATTATCTACAGTAGATATACATCAACATCTATACTATCTACATTAGATACATCAATATCTATACTATCTACAGTAGATATACATCAATATCTATACTATCTACAGTAGATATACATCAATATCTATACTATCTACAGTAGATACATCAATATCTATAATATCTACAGTAGATATACATCAATATCTATAATATCTACAGTAGACAGTATCTACCAATAACGATATACATTATTTACATAATACTTAATATTCCCTTCTTAATTCTGGTATTTTCTTTATGTACCTATGAAAACCACCCGACTGTAGTTGGTCTCTCCTGTTTGTTGGGTGAATGTATAACTGCTGTGTAACAGTATCTCTGACAGACGACAGTTAACCTATTTTAACGGATTGCATTTTACATCTAAGAAAACCGTTGATTAATAACAATAAAACCTTCAGACATGAAATGCATTCTGTCCAATAAAACAGGGTTGTGAAGTAAGATTTTCGACCATTACTGACACCTGTGGGAACCAAAACAGAAACACGCTGATAAGGTGGGCATTCGACATCCGAGATGACACCAAATCTTGCCTTTCTACAGTTACCTAAATACAACACATTGACCTTCGACCTTCCTTGTGTATCGTCTTACAGACTACTGAATAATCGCGATCAAATGGAGTCCTGGCGAGGCAGTTACCGTGTAATAAGTGACGAGTCTGGGACGAGACAGATGTGTTATATAGGGTGACTGGAGCCTGGGACGAGACAGGTGCTGTGTTAGATAAGGTGACTAGTGTCTGGGGCGAGATAGATGCTGTGCTATACAGGGTGACTAGAGTCTGGGACGAGACAGATGCTGTGTTAGATAGGGTGACTAGTGTCTGGGGCGAGACAGATGCTGTCTTAGATAGGGTGACTAGAGTCTGGGACGAGACAGATGCTGTGTTAGATATGGTGACTAGTGTCTGGGGCGAGACAGATGCTGTGCTATATAGGGTGACTACAGTCTGTGACGAGACAGGTGCTGTGTTATATAGGGTGACTAGAGTTTGGGACGAGATAGGTGCTGTGTTATGTAGGGTGACTAGAGTCTGGGACGAGACAGAAGCTGTGTTAGATAGGGTGACTAGAGTCTGGGACGAGACAGGTGCTGTGTTATATAGGGTGACTAGAGTCTGGGACGAGACAGATGCTGTTATATAGGGTGACTAGAGTCTGGGACGAGACAGGTGCTGTGTTAGATAGGTGACTAGAGTCTGTGACGAGAAATGTTCCGAGTTTGACACTGTGACTAGAGTCTGTGATGAGAAATGTTCCGAGTTTGACACTGTGACTAGTGTCCGTGACAAGAAATGTTCCGAGTATGACAGTGTGACTAGAGTATGTGACGAGAAATGTTCCGAGTTTGACAGTGTGACTAGAGTATGTGACGAGAAATGTTCCGAGTTTGACAGTGTGACTAGAGTCTGTGACGAGAAATATTCCGAATTTGAATCTGTGACTAGAGTCTGTGACGAGAAATGTTCCGAGTATGACACTGTGACTAGTGTCTGTGACGATACCGTTTCAGGTAGACTTCCATGTGTCCATAGTTATTACACTCTAAATGGCAGTACAACCTTATCTGGACAGGTCCCCAGGATAATTACTTGTTATACAAAGTAACATCGAGAGCCATGCCCCCGGGTTATTAGCACGTGGCGCCAATAAAAACCACAACGTGAGGGGGTGACGTAACACAAGAGTTGGGCGGGGCTGAAGTTCAACTTTACATCTTAGAAAATGTTCGTCGTCACCTTTCGTTTGGTAAAACGTGCTGAAACAGGCCCGATCGATACAAATTTTGAGATTGTTGTTTAAGGACACTGAAGTCCAATAACATCCTGCACACCTATGTGATAGAGGCAATCATATTATAGGCGGCACTCAACATCTACAGTCCATTATAGACTTGAGTACACCGTCATAAACATTTGTTTGACAAGCTCTATCACCACTTGGTCTTGTTACAAATACACTAAACATGAATACAGCGGTCATTGGACACACAGGTCAATAAATTAAAGTAGAGATGTGGATCATCTTACAACATATCTCATTATCACAGACTCAATTAATCACCGTAACGACAAGCTACACACAGTCTGTACCATTCCTTGATACAAAAAATATACAATATTTTTCACGGTCCCTTGAATTTCAAGATAACAAGTTTCGACTGTATATATATATATACTCTTGTCCAAAGTATACTTCGAAGCTAATTTGATATAAGCTAGTACAATGGAATGTGGTCAAGGGATTTAACTGTATCAGGACATCTCGAGACTCAGGGACAGATTGTTTTAATGGTGAGATCATGGTTGACAAGGTTAGATCTGATACCATGTCCTATATTCCTACAGTGGCGGTGTGTTTTTTTAACATTTTCCGTGTATGACCAGGAGACATTGGTCTATATATATCATAATGATCAGCAATTTATCAACATGGTTTTAGGATTTAGGACGGGAGAAGAGGAGGAGGGGGATCTTTCTCAAGGGTTGGCACAAGGACATACTAGAAATACGGGTACAGTCCGGTCTGGTCACACGCCCACCAACAACAGGCACACAGACTAGACGGGGGTGACGGGGGTGACGTGGGGGCTTTGGTGCATTAATAATTTACATAACGTTGAAGTACTCTTTCCTAATAATGTACCGGGGAAAACATGATTAACACGTTCAACTTTTTATAACTTTGTTGTGTTATAAAATAATGACGACGTAGGATAGGCTTGTATCGCACACCATACATTACAGAAATGATGTTGTGGGTAACTAACACGCACCCCAGTCCCACCATAATATATCAATCTGGTGAGGATTCGATCAGGAATAATAAGATGTGGACAAGGTTCACAGCAATCTGCCGTGTAACAGACGGAAGTAACATCTGGTCGTGTCTGCGTGCTTCGTCACAGATCTGCACGTGTATCATACTGAGCCAATAGGAAAGGAAACCCGTGAAACGCCTTCAATACTGTTTAATTACCTTAAAGGACAGCAGCTCGTCGTGAGAGAAACCATCATTGTGGATTATTTTCATCTGCTTCACCAGTGTACTCTTCCCGCTCTCGGCAGCACCTGCAACAACAAAATCACTCAATAGCCCATAATCTCTATACACGAATACCCATTCAATAACCTTCTATTTATCATCCCCGCACCAGCATTTACAACAACATAATCACTCAATAACCCATAATCACCACACACGAATACCCATTCAATAACCCTCTATTTATTATTCCCACAGTAGCACCTACAACAATAAAATCACTCAATAACCTATTAACAAACACAATTTTCTTATCATTTAGTATCAATGATTTTGTTGTGATCTATTGGTTATATGATCCTATAACGTAATACCTTTAACACCAATATTGAGCCTCGTGTAAATTACCATACATATGAGATTTAGGTAATTCAAATTCATGTTAATGAGCTTCTCGAAAAATGAAAAAAAATGTGACGAGTGCCATATATTTAATATGAAATGAAAACGAAGATAAGAGTATGTTCATCACATGACTTTAAAATGCTATTTAAACATTCACAAAACAGCAATTTATTGACTAGTCTCTTTGAAGGAGAGGTAGAGATAATGTGGAAACGGTGTTGGTTTTTAAATATACACGTTTTTGCGTTGACAGGCATCAGTACCTCATTTTATAATAGTAATAAGGTATTCTTTTTTACAGTCAAGGGTCTGTGGTGTTTTACGGTCCCTTTCCGGAGTTGCACCAAAGGATTTTTTCGTATTGGCTTGTCTTGGACAAATGACTTGTATCTAGAAAATTTTGATTTTAAGCGTTGAAGCATTTGAGATTTAGAACCAGAGTTCCTATAGTGTGTAACACTAGTCTGACAAGGATTTGGGACATCAGTACATCACCCTATAACGGTTTATAGTACCGGGTGTAACACTTCCTTAACATAGTCTGACAAGGATTTGGGACATCAGTACATCACCCTATAACGGTTTATAGTACCGGGTGTAACACTTACTTAACATAGTCTGACAAGGATTTGGGACATCAGTACATCACCCTATAACGGTTTATAGTACCGGGTGTAACACTTCCTTGACATAGTCTGACTTTAATTTGAAATTGATGTTTAATGTTGTTACTAGATTGCTGATATTGTAACAGTGTTTTGCTGAGTTTTTCAATCCTTGTTGCCACTTTCAGGTTTTACAAATTGTCATCTGGTTTTATTTTCAAATTGACGTGATTGGTGTTTTTCCTATATCATTGTGACTTTTCACAGACATTTCTATTTTGGTTTTAAAATTTAATGAATGCTTGAGTTGTGAAACGAGCCATGCTGCTCTGCAACAGCTCTTGTTAGACTGATTCAAAATCTATATCGGCAATATTTTCATTCTCTGTCTCTTGGTTACGTCTCCAGGAATCGAACACACGACCTCTGGTTCTACCGATCGAGCTTAAGAGAAATTATCTCAAGTCAACATCTAGCCACCTATTAGGGTACATAACTTGTACAAACCAATAACAAGTCATTGCTCTATTAGACACCAATTTAACGCTGTGTAATATTCGTCCTTCTACAAATACAACTAATCCTGATCATTTGTAACATTACCTGTTGATTGCCCACTCTGCCGTGTAACTACCAACACCACCAGATTGAGGTATTGATACGACGGGTACACACGGGGCCACCGCCAAGTTACAAGGAGTAAGGTTCAGGGTGACCCTCTCGATATTTCGGCCGAATGGTCAGTGTCTCGAGCAGAAAAAGTGACCCTTGAAAGCCACAAAATGACCATGTAATTTAGCCATCAGGCGCGAGGGATGTGAATGGAGATAAACAAACTACAGGATCCCCCTCCCTGTAGGTAAATAAGTGTTCCAATATATCCTCATGTAAATGGCATTTAAAACTACAGGTGAGTTCCCGACAGGTAGATATTAATACCTGTCAATACTGGCACCGTGTAGCCAGTCTTATGTGGATAAACATTACACCTTATTATCTGTATTTTACAAATATACCCACAAAACTATACGTCAGACATCACAGGTAAACCCTCGGGCCTGCCCAGGACATATACATTGTAGGGCCTTCCCAGGTCACATAAGGTCTACCCAGGACATAGGGCCGACCAGGACACATAGCGTCTACACAGGATACATAAACCCTACAAAGGACATATGGCCTACCCGGGACACATAAGGCCTACCCAGGACATAGGGCCTACCCGGGATACATAAGGCCTACCCAGGACATAGGGCCTACCCGGGACATATAAGGCCTACCCAGGGCATAGGGCCTACCCGGGACACATAAGGCCTACTCGGGGTGTACCAAGTACGCACAGGGCCTATCCAATACATGCAGTAATTACCCAGGATGCACACCACCTAACCAGGTCACGTAGAAATACAGGCGGGGACTAACCAAAACACACAGAGCTTACACACGGGGCCTACCCCATACATGGAGAAACAGACGTGTTGTCTGCCCATAACACACAGAACATACACACTGGGCCTACCCCATACATGGAGAAATAGACGTGTTGTCTACCCATAACACACAGGGTTTACACACGGGGCCTTCCCTATACATGGAGAAATAGACGTGCTGTCTGCCCAAAACACACAGAACCTACACACGGGGCCTACCCCATACATGGAGAAATAGACGTGTTGTCTACCCATAACACACAGAACCTACACACTGGGCCTACCCCATACATGGAGAAATAGACGTGCTGTCTGCCCATAACACACAGAACCTACACACGGGGCCTACCCCATACATGGAGAAATAGACGTGTTGTCTACCCATAACACACAGACCTTAGACACTCGACCTACCCCATACATGGAGAAATAGACGTGTTGTCTACCCATAACACAGAGAACCTACACACGGGGCCTACCCCATACATGGAGAAATAGACGTGCTGTCTGCCCATAACACACAGAACCTACACACACATACATGGAGAAATAGACGTGTTGTCTACCCATAACACACAGACCTTAGACACTCGACCTACCCCATACATGGAGAAATAGACGTGTTGTCTACCCATAACACAGAGAACCTACACACGGGGCCTACCCCATACATGGAGAAATAGACGTGTTGTCTACCCATAACACACAGAACCTACACACTGGGCCTACCCCATACATGGAGAAATAGACGTGCTGTCTGCCCATAACACACAGAACCTACACACGGGGCCTACCCCATACATGAAGAAATAGACGTGCTGTCTGCCAATAACACACAGAACCTACACACGGGGCCTACCCCATACATGGAGAAATAGACGTGCTGTTTGCCCATAACACACAGAACCTACACACTGGGCCTACCCCATACATGGAGAAATAGACGTGTTGTCTACACATAACACACAGAACCTACACACGGGGCCTACCCCATACATGGAGAAATAGACGTGTTGTCTACACATAACACACAGAACCTACACACGGGGCCTACCCCATACATGGAGAAATAGACGTGCTGTCTGCCCAAAACACACAGAACCTACACACGGGGCCTACCCCATACATGGAGAAATAGACGTGCTGTCTGCCCAAAACACACAGAACCTACACACGGGGCCTACCCCATACATGGAGAAATAGACGTGTTGTCTACACATAACACACAGAGCTTAGACACTCGACCTACCCCATACATGGAGAAATAGACGTGTTGTCTACCCATAACACACAGAGCTTACACACTCGGCCTACCCAATACATGGAGAAACAGACGTGTTGTCTACCCATAACACACAGACCTTAGACACTCGACCTACCCCATACATGGAGAAATAGACGTGTTGTCTACCCATAACACACAGAGCTTACACACTCGACCTACCCAATACATGGAGAAACAGACGTATTGTCTACCGATAACACACGGGGCTTATCCAAAACACAGAGAAATGCATGCGGGGGCTACCCATAACACAAAGGGCTTAAATACGACCTACCCAATACATAGAGAAACAGACGTGTTGTCTACCCATAACACACAGAGCTTACACACGGGGCTTACACAAGACACGTAGAAAGACAGGCGGGGGCTACCCATAGGACCAAGGACATATTGACGTACACACGGGGCCCACCAAGGACATATAGACATACACACGGGGCCCACCAAGGACATATAGACGTACACACGGGGCCTACCAAAACATATGGACGTACACACGAGGCCTACCAAGACATATAGACGTACACACGAGGCCTACCAAGACATATAGACGTACACACGGGGTCTACCAAGACATATAGACGTACACACGGGGCCTACCAAAGACACATAGACGTACACACGGGGCCTTCCAAGGACATATAGACATACACACGGGGCCAACCAAAACATATAGACGTACACACGGGGCCAACCAAAACATATAGACGTACACACGGGGCCTACCAAGGACACATAGACGTACACACGGGGCCTACCAAGGACACATAGACGTACACACGGGGTCTATCAAATACATATACATCCAGGACCTTCCGGTGACACACGGGGCTAACAAAGGACACACTGGACCTTCAACAGCACACGGTACCAACCCAGACATGTATAAATACACGTGCAGTCCTACCCGGAAAACATGGTACCTACAAAGACCACATGGGCCTGCAGAGGACAAACAGGGCAAACGAGCTTACCAAGAACACAGAAATACACGCGAGGCCTACTTTGGACACGATCGGGGTCTCAACGACACCTACCACGGCCGCAGAAAAATACACGTGATATAAATTTTACATGAGACAGGTGGTGACTTCCAAGAACACTGAGAAATACACAGAACATTTCAATCTTCATAAAGCATTTAATATGCAGTCAACTATGAGCTAAACAACAGCCAGCTCGGACACCAAGAGCATATATATCGGAAGCAAGCGTTCATGTCCTTGTAGATACATTAGTTATAGGTATGTTGTACGATCTGTTCGGCCCCAAGCCACTGATCATGATCATAATCAACTGGTAGTTTTAAGGACACGTTGTCTTGTACCGAAAACACAAACTGGTTCTTTCCACCTACGCACCGTCAGACCCATCTATACAAAACGGTCGTAATCGGCTTTAAACCGTTTACGTCCTTATGAACACTTAATGGTGGGTGGTACAAATAGGATTTCTTTGTTTTGATTGTAGATTTACTGAGGTGATAGTACGCTTCCAGACATATTGTATGTACACGCATCACACCGACATTCCTCAGATCATCTGCCGTGACCTGCACATACACGGAATTCCTCCGATATGATCTCATTCATAAACTAAAGTCCTGACACCTGTAGTGTGGCTAGCGTCACCGCCTGAGGACGTCCTTACATCAGTTATATAAATAAGTCCACTCTTTTCCAATACGGAAACATTTGGTATCCGGAGTGTGACGGAGGTATTTCATAATCAATCGAAAAATGAACTATCTTGGAGTTTAACATTGTTCATACACACGTAGTTAATATTGATCAAGAAAACAGTTTACAATTTATAATACAAAGAAAACATAAGTCATATTACATAGATTGGTACCAAAGACAACATCAGTCATGACTTAAAACCGACACGGAATTTACCGTGTGATAAAGTTAACACGAGTTATACCGTGTAATGAAGTTAACACGTGTTGTGTTGAGTCTTAATATTGACACGAGTTACCCTGTTTCTAAAATGCCATTTTATTAGTTTTATGGATCTAGATTATTTATATAACAACTAAAACGCAACTGTTGTCGTTAGAAAAATTGATGGATTAAAATCCAACATTTATCTCCAAACCAGGGAGCTCTCTCGGCCCCTACGGGTACCAATAATGTGTTGTGTGTAAATGCGTAATGAACCGAGACCGTTATAATTCCCTATAGCCCCGGGCCGCTATAAACTGAACGCAACATGGAAAGTGTTTTATGTCTGCAATGTAAAACGTGTAGGCTATAATAAAACATATCCCCCTCCAGTCTCAAATATCACGGAGTTCGGATTATATTTCGAGGACTTTGGAGCACACAGGTAGTCCATTGTGTTTGGTAAATATTGGCACAAATTGATACTTGTTTTAACACTGTCCAGACTGTAACTCGGACATCTTATATCAAGTCCTAATTAATTAGAACGGTTAATCCAACGACGCTTAAAAAATTGTTTTTGTTCAGTTACTTTTGTTTGATACCAAACATGCCCATAACAAAAATGATATGTCTTAGAGCGAAGTAATTTATTTTATTTTATATTGTAAAATGATTCACTCTAACCATTGTTTATAATACTTCAACCGAGTAAAACATTCTTATACAATTATGTTATGAAATAACTTTATGTGCGACGACTAGATCTTGGCAGAGGTTTGGAATTTCCATTATGAAGATTATAACATGAGACATCTCTTATCTAATTTGATTCCCTGGTGAAAGTAAATTTCTTTTGTTACATAGGGGTAAAGACACTGGTACAAAGGGCAACATTACCACAGACTGGTACAGAGGGTAACATTAACACATACTGGTACAGAGGGTAACACATACTGGTACAGAGGGTAACGGTACAGAGGGTAACACAGACTGGTACACAGGGTAACATTAACACATACTGGTACAGAGGGTAACATTAACCCATACTGGTACAGAGGGTAACATTAACACACACTGGTACAGAGGGTAACATTAACACAAACCGGTACAGAGGGTAACATTAACACAAACTGGTACAGAGGGTAACATTAACACAAACTGGTACAGAGGGTAACATTAACACAAACTGGTACAGAGGGTAACATTAACACAAACTGGTACAGAGGGTAACACATACTGGTTCAGAGGGTAACGGTACAGAGGGTAACACAGACTGGTACAGAGGGTAACATTAACACATACTGTTACAGAGGGTAACATTAACACAGACTGGTACAGAGGGTAACATTAACATATACTGGTACAGAGGGTAACATTAGCACAGACACAAACTGGTACAGAGGGTACCATTAACACTGACTGGTACAGAGGGAAACATTAACATATACTGGTACAGAGGGAAACATTGCCACAGACTGGTACAGAGGGTAACATTGACACAGACTGGTACAGAGGGTAACATTGACACAGACTGGTACCGAGGGTAACATTGCCACAGACTTGTACAGACGGTAACATTAACACAGACTGGTACAGATGGTAACATTGCCACAGACTGGTACAGAGGGTAACATTAACACAAACTGGTACAGAGGGTAACACATACTAGTACAGAGGGTAACACATACTGGTTCAGAGGGTAACAGTACAGAGGGTAACACAGACTGGTACAGAGGGTAACATTAACACATACTGTTACAGAGGGTAACATTAACACAGACTGGTACAGAGGGTAACATTAACATATACTGGTACAGAGGGTACAATTAACACTGACTGGTTCAGAGGGTAACATTAACACTGACTGGTACAGAGGGAAACATTGCCACAGACTGGTACAGAGGGTAACATTGACACAGACTGGTACAGAGGGTAACATTAACACAAACTGGTACAGAGGGTAACATTGCCACAGACTTGTACAGAGGGTAACATTAACATATACTGGTACAGAGGGCAACATTAACACAGACTGGTACAGAGGGTAACATTAACACACACTGGTACAGACGGTAACATTAACACAAACTGGTACAGAGAGTAACATTACCACAGATTGGTACAGAGGGTAATATTAGCACATACTGGTACAGAGGGTAACATTGCCACAGACTGGTACAGAGGGTAACATTACACATACTGGTACAGAGGGTAACATTAACACAGACTGGTACAGAGGGTAACATTGCCACAGACTTGTACAGAGGGTAACATTAACACAAACTGGTACAGAGGGTAACATTAACACAGACTGGTACAGAGGGTAACATTAACACAAACTGGTACAGATGGTAACATTGCCACAGACTTGTACAGAGGGTAACATTAACATATACTGGTACAGAGGGTAACATTAACACAGACTGGTACAGAGGGTAACATTGCCACAGACTTGTACAGAGGGTAACATTAACATATACTGGTACAGAGGGTAACATTAACACAGACTTGTACAGAGGGTAACATTAACATATACTGGTACAGAGGGTAACATTACCACAGATTGGTACAGAGGGTAACATTACCACAGACTGGTAGAGAGGGTAACATTAACACATACTGGTACAAAGGGTAACAGAGTTCAAAGAAGGGGTAACTAATTGGTGAAAGTTTAGTTCATTCCAAACATTCATTAACACTTAAGTCAATGCCAGTCCTCTCCCAGCACAAATGGACAATTAATACGTAAAACATCTGAAGGCTGGTTACTATAATATACCTCATTATTTGTTGGTTTTTATGAGAACCAGAAAACCAAACACTTTCTTTGTCAGGGATACAGTAAGTCTAGCAGACAGAGGCCGCCATGTCGCTTATCGGCATATGTCACAAAATCAATGGAAAGATTTCCACAGACAAAAAGCCTTCTACTGAAAAATAAATCCCAGAATTGATTTTCGAGTGTATGTATGATACCTTATGTATACAAACAGCCGTGGGACTCGGGTAACACTTCGTCACTTGTTTCTTATTTTCGTGTCTTCAATAAGAAACTTTTACTCTAAGTGTGACAGAATGTAATCCTATTGTCTTTCTAAACTTTAAAGCGCGTGTGATGGATAAATATAATCCTGTTTACCTGTCATAACTTTAATGTTTAGCTCATTAACTTTTAAAACCTCTTGTGAATTAGCAGGTCATATCAATGTTATTGACATCGCGGGGTTGTATTAGCTTCGGTAAGTATTGCACTCGTACTCACATCCCGGGTTTAGGTCAATTGTGGTGGGTATCCCACTTAAACTTAAAGTTGTGACAGGTACCCAACCAAAATCACTCTTAGGGGCTAGGTTAATTGTGGTGAATATCCAAAAATAGCTCACTCTTCGGGGCCAGGTTCCTTACGGCGAGTATCCTACCCAAACTCACACCCGGGGTTATGGGGCGCATTGCTGACGCACAATAGTAGAGACAGAAAAACTAAAGCTCTATACCCCTCTTAACCCCCGGGACTGTAACCTCGTTCGATTGAGGGACTTGATAAAATTTGCGTTTGATACCCCGTCCCACAATTACCCCTTGGGTAGGGATTACAGATATGGGTATGTGCTTCTTGCACACTAACACAAGTACACATCCTTACATCTGTACTTTGTAAACAAGTATATCAATCAGCTTCACATCCGTATCATAGTGTAAGTAATAAAGGACCGTCCTTAAGGACACACCAGGTGACCTACTTAGTAACTTACCCAACAGCAATATCTTGATGACATTTTGATCCTGCTTGGACCAATTCTGTAGCTGTCGGTCAAGATCGTCACTACGGGCACGTGCCTTCAATTCTTCCTGATCCAAACTTAAGCACTGGCCCATAGTAACACGCGACTACATGTTTCACACCCTGGTCGTAAAGTTGTACTATTATCACTGGTAAACACACACCACTGTCCTCACGTGGAGAACTATCAACATCATCAACCCATAACTCCAAATATGGTAATATCGAAATTAGTATAACAAAACATCAAGAACTTGCTTGAGAAATGTTTGTTAAAGTAAGTATGTGATCTAATGACCGACACATTCAGCTGTCATGATCGTCTTCCGTGTGTATCCTGTGTTTACAGTGTAATCACCTGTCTGGCTATGATCGCTTATACATACATAGCGTGTATTAGCCCATATTTACTATGTAATGAGGTTAGTGGGCGTTCACAAAGGCTAAAACGAGGCGCTGTGCGGTGTTTAGGGTAATAATTACATATTTATGTACCAGAATTTTGTTTCTCTGAATAATGATGTTTTGAAATACAGTGTAATAAACTCGAAAATAGAAAACGCAGATTTTATTAATTAATATATGCTTTTTTATTATTTTCCTTTAGGGCCGGTTTTCGGTTCGATATCATTCAATGCTTTATTCAGAGATAAAATTCTAGAACCTGCTTGAAACAGAAGGGACCATATTCGTCACTGATGTCGCCAGTTTCAGTGGTTCCATTCCACTGTATTATAAAGGTTTTCATGTGGATAGGTTACCTGCACGGCTTACTTGTACTCTTCGATTGTCTAATGTAAATGAAATTTCTCTATTTTCTCCCACATGGGAAACACTTAACGGTGTTGTTGGCCGTACTACAGGGGAATCACCTATCGTTGGTGTTGGTGGTACCACAGGAGGATCGCCTATCGGTGGTGTTGGTGGTACCACAGGAGGATCGCCTATCGTTGGTGTTGGTGGTACCACAGAAGAATCGCCTATCGTTGGTGTTGGTGGTACTACAGGGGAATCACCTATCGTTGGTGTTGGTGGTACCACAGGAGAATCACCTATCGGTGGTGTTGGTGGTACCACAGGAGAATCGCCTATCGTTGGTGTTGGTGGTACCACAGGAGAATCGCCAATCGGTGGTGTTGGTGGTACTACAGGAGAATCGCCTATCGTTGGTGTTGGTGGTACCACAGGAGAATCACCTATCGTTGGTGTTGGTGGTATACCACAGGAGAATCACCTATCGTTGGTGTTGGTGGTACCACAGGAGAATCGCCTATCGGTGGTGTTGGCCGTACCACAGGAGAATCGCCTATCGGTGGTGTTGGTGGTATACCACAGGAGAATCGCCTATCGGTGGTGTTGGCCGTACCACAGGAGAATCGCCTATCGGTGGTGTTGGTGGTACCACAGGAAAATCGCCTATCGTTGGTGTTGGCCGTACCACAAGGGAATGTGCTGGAAAGTTTTGAATTTTTTGTTGATATTGCCTGATTGTATAACGAAAATAAATGATATAAATATATATATTTCCGCAAATATTCCACACCCGAAATCCTGAAATTTTTCACTCAAGTTCGGAAACGTTAATGCTCTACTCGTAAATCGAAGTATTGATGTATAATATCAATAACACGACGTATTGGTAAAACAAGGCGAATTGAAATGACTTGTAGTTCCATTTTCACGTTTACTTCTTGTGACCCTGATCGACAAAATTCTTGTTTGATCGACTGATAGAAAGGGGGAAAATAAAGAAAATGATCGTAACTTGCTTCCATCTTAATGTTAGGTGGGGGAAATCCGCTATTGAAGTGTAAATAATATGCGACAGACTTGGATTTGTCACGCCTGTTTATAGAATCTTATTGTTTTAGTGCCAATAACCATTTATGATATCATAACAATTGTAAATAGTAGTATTTTTATCACTATTTGTTTCTTCTTCGTTAACACATTTGCTCTGATTTGATGAAGTTTTTAAAATATGACGAATTTATGGTTTCTGTTTTCTACCGTTTAGTTGAGTCGTATTGTTGCCCTCTACACAACGATACCTTATCTTCATTCCGACGTAACGAAACGAAGTCGTAACTCAACGCGAAATAAACGATAACGGGGAGATGCTAATTTGCGGAGCGAATTAACAAAACAATGAAATGACAGAACACAGCCACCAAAGGTTTCTTGTTGAATTATGGATGTTTACATAATGATACTAATATTTTCTTCTCATTACGATATCATCTTTCGATCTGATTAAAACATAGATTATCATTATACCATGATCTGTACTTTAATTAGACTGAAAAGCCTTCTTTTTCTTTTTATACAAAGACCAACAGATCATGATCATGTCATCTCTAACACGTAAAGTATCAAACTACTCAGAATCGATCAATTTTTAATCCGATCAAAGTAACCGACAGCTCTCTACAAACAAACACAGGATAAGTTGTTCAAACAGAATTCCATCTACAGACACGGTAGAACGAGTGCAACAAAGAAAGACAAGTGAACCGTTTCAAATTTAGGTGAAAATGTTTATACCAGGTCAGCTGTCCGGACAAGATTCGGTCCACAATCATAGTTAAAGGGACATAACTGCAGTTAAAATATGTATAGTCGCTCTGGACAGGATTCGGTCCACATTCATAGCAAGCGGACATTCATCATATGGATATCAAAACAAGTCAAATTAAACTGAAGGAACATGTTGTTTTTGCTCGAACCACTTTCTTCTGGTTGCTAATGTCAATATCTCTTCACTGCCAGTTATTTTGAAAATATTTGAAAAACTGTTACTTATTAGACTTGAAGCTCAGGATTTATTTGTACCTAATCCGTTACAAAACGGGTTTCAAAGAAATGTTAGTAGCACAATGACGTCATTTTAGTTCATGAATCAGTCTCTTATGCTTGCGACCGTAACAAGAAACTTTTTACCTGTTTTCTAGACGCTGCCAAGGCATTTGACTGTGTTTGGCATAACGGCCTATTTTACAAACTTCACAATTTAGGTCTCAAGTCAAAGTACCTTCACGTGATTGTGTCGATATATTCCAATATGTATAGTGCAGTTTTATACCAAGGTTTCATCTCTAACTGGTTCAAGATATGCCAAGGTACGCGTCAAGGGAGCGTTATTTCACCCTGGCTCTATACAGTATTCATTAATGATTTACTTGATGAATTATGTGCTTCAAAATATGTTCTAGCTTTGTATGGTGTAAATGTTACATGTCCAACTCAAGCAGACGATATAACGCTGCGGTCTCTATGTAAACGTGGCTTAGACAATCTTATGGACATCTGATATAACTATAGTTGTTAGTGGAGATTTTTCTATAATGCATCGAAATCAACAGTTATTGTATTTAATGAATGTAAAAGTGTGTTTTCAAAGGCTAATCGTAATTGGAATCTCGGTTGCGAAGCCGTGGTTGAATCTTTATTAACAAGGTCAAACCAGGCAGTCCAGATGTCGATGAGATTGTGCATAAGCTACGTGGACAGTGCTTTGCCCTCCTTCATTGTAATTTGTTTGGCACCGGCATTAATCCCTTGACAGTTGCCAAGTTGTATAAATCTGTTGTGATGCCAAGCAGTCTTTTTGGCTGTGAACTATGGCATTTTCTATCTGAAACTGAATGGAATCGCATTGAATCAGTTCATCACTTATGTGCAAAGCTGATTCAAGGTTTTCCTCGCCGGACTAGATGCGATATTGCCCTTAGTATGCTAGGGTTTTCATCTATTCGCCTTTGAATTGAGCTATCAAAGCTCCGTTTTTTCTCTGCTTTATGCAATACAGATAGTCGTTTAGCAGTTAAAAGGTTGTTCTTACAGAGACTTTTTCGTGTATATTTCGGCTTCCGTGGCAAGAAAGTTGACATTATTCTAGATATGTGGAATCTATTTCACCGGTATGATTTACAAGATTTTTTGTACCAAATTTTGCAAACTGATGTCTTTCCGCCTAAAAGCCACTGGAAACACCTAACAAAGGACATTCTGATCAGCAAGTACTCCTCTAGTTGGAGTGAACATCTAAATAACAGTGATGATTTTTGCAGATTTAAACATTTGCAGCGGGATGTTAGTCCCTCTCCTCTATGGTACCTTGCGAAATGTTCTCCATATCTCTACCAGACTTATAAAAATGTAGCAAAGCTTTGGTGCGTTCCTCCAAATTGGGAGCTATCTTGTTCTCAGTGCAAGCTACTAATCGACGATGCGGTTGCCCACTGCAGTAGTTCCACAGTATTAAATCTACCTGACATTTTTTTCACCAAAATAGTCAACGACTACCCGGTGAATGTCTATGTTACACTAGTTAACTCGTGTAGAGAGGTTCAAATTGCCACTATTCTAGTAAGTACACCAGCTGTCATAGCAGACTTATTTAAGGACACTGATAGTCTTCTTGCATCATTTGCAAAAGACTTGTATTTTTGCCGAAAAAGGCCTCTTTACTTACATTTAACTAGTCGTTAGTCAGCATTAATTTTATGTCCTTGTAATTATCACTTCATTATCGTTTCTCTGTATCTTTCTCTTTCTTCATTATATTTCTAAATACTTTGTGTCATCATATGTAGGTAGCAGTACACAGTTTCTCGGTGTGGCCATGGGTGATTTTTTTGCTCATTAGATTACCCCATTATAAAGGTTTTAATTAAAAATGAAAAAAAAATCCTTGCTAAAATTGGTCCTGTCATGTTAAAGTGGACAATGTGGGGTTTCAATTTTTTCAGGATAATATTTTAGCTTTGTGTTAGAGATTACTATTTGAGCAGTCTCGAATCTGTGTCTACGCACCAAAAACTAGCTTTACAAGAAGTGAAATTTTCATAGTGTTCACATGTGGTCATGTTATGAAGAATTTCCGAGTTGGAATTTGCTGAAATGTAAGTACTTTGTTACCATGACAGTGTTGTTGATTGTAAGATAGGTGTTTAGAATTAAATTTCTCCTAGAAAGTTGTAGTGTTGGGTTGGAATTAGCAGTATTTTTGCATTTTTAGCATTTTTTCAGTAGGTAACCATGACAATCAAATGTCAGAAATCAGAGGAAATTTTTTTTTTACATAAATTTCATCTCTCTACTGTTAATGTAATTGTTATATAGTTTATAAATATATATACATGTAATGATGTATTTTCCATAACCAATCTGCTATACCTGTATATCTCAAACATGACAAATAATTTCAGGAAAAATGCAAATTAACTGTTTACTGCTACCGTAATTACATGCATCTTCATTTGTAACTCTTCAATTTTGGAGGAATAAAGAAATGAATGAACACGTGAACATTTCTAGTTCCGGTCACAGTAGCTTGGCGCTTATTGGGCTGTCCAGTTGATTTTGGAATGCGCATGAATATAAGCGTACGGTGATAAAAAATTCTAACATTAAAATATTCCTATAATTGTATATACATTAGCCTTTGGTCGGCGTATCAATGGTGACTGGTAAATGTAACATTAATCAACATTATGATGATTGTAAGTGTACGAAGAACAGTGGGCCAATCCCACTAAATCCCAGATAGTGTATTTCCTATAATTTTCGTGTAATCTTTATGTATGATTATTCCGTATTCTCCACTTTGTAGAGGTGAGACAAATCCTTCATTTTCCTAGGATGTCTATTCTGATTATTTAGTGAATAGGTTGGATTAAAGTGTAGATCCCTTCTGTGTTAATTTAATCAACTTCTGAACATGTTTGTATTCTGGGTTTCCCCTAAATCATTTGGTAAATTGTTCTTCCTAATCATAACAATTCTGTTTGAAAGCACGGAGAAGTTCTACAATTTAGTCTACATCTCCTTTTTATAGCGACCGCTTTATGGTATTGTGTGTGATAATTCCACTCCAACAAGCTGCCCATACGATCAACTTTAAACGGAAGTGTGGCTGGAACTTCACTACCCACAATACACTAACCGCAGCACGCAATGAGAACAGTCGACCCGTTGAATGGATTAAAAATAATTTTGATACACAAAACATCTTTTAAATATTTCATGTGGAAATGAAACTATATTTAAAGTCTTAAATAATTCAAATGAATATAATAAACATATACTATAATAAACGCACATAACAAATAACTATTGAAAAATTACAATTCTAACCTTTCGAGATTAGAGCACATTTGTTCTCCGATGTACCTGATTTCCGGTTTAACCTTCGAGAAGTTTCGTAACGTTCCGTGGACGAGAAATACATCGCCTCTTACACGGAAGCAGACAAAAAGTCCCGATTTGGCGTAAAACCTATTCCGTCGCCTAACAGCATTAAAACTACAAGATGTGGATGTTCTTTCCATAACTGTTTGAAATTAATGATGATCAAGTATGTTTAGAAATTTCCCATCGAACACTTGTAAGACACAATGATAAGATAACTATTAGTGGTGTTTTCCCAAGAAAAAGGCAGTTTATGTAATATTGGTGACTTAAATAAGAATTCTTCACGACAAATTCATTAAAATACATAAATTAATATTGATTTTCCGAATTACAATGTGTAACAGAATAGTCTCAGCAGTGTTTACAACTTTACCCTTTTTTTTCTACCAAGACAAGTCAGCATAGCTTAAAACACTGAAGGTTCTATAGATTTTTATGATTTGTTAATAAACAGACCGAAAGCTTTCAATAGCAAAGAAAACAGAAAACGGTGGTTGAAAACATTTTTATTTTAATAATGAAAACTAGTTAAACATATAAACACCCCTTTACAAATCCGACTAAAACTATATTGTCTTTCTTCATAATTTGACTACAAACTCATTTCTTTTTTAAAGCAGAAATGGTAGATAGTTCTCTCTGCAATCTCTGTTACGCTGAAAGGGAAACTCTTGTACATTTATTTTGAAGATTTTTTTGTCGATTTTTATAGTCTAGATATGCTGTCAAAGACTGTTAATAAATTTTCTGTTTCCATAGAAATAGATAATCCTCATCACATGGTTCAATGCTCTGAAACCATTTAAGATAATTGCTCAAAACGTTTCACACTTATTAAGCCAGTAGAATCGTTTGCTATGGGGAACTTCACCATTTATATACTTTTCTGTCACCATGGAAATAGATAAGCAAAATCAAACATTTATAGCTGTTTATTCTAAGCATTCGAGGGGTCTAACTGTGGGAGGAAACCCGTATCCCTTCAGACAAGTGTGTAACAACTTAACTACCAAACCACAGCCTGATCATGATGATGTATTGTTTTGAAGAAGAAAAAGAAGAAGAAGAAGAAGACGACGACGAAGACGATGATGATGATGATGATGATGATGATGATGATGATGATGATGATGATGATGATGATGCATCGTTATATGTGTATGTGTCAATGTTCTGTTAAAATCTTCCGAAGTATGAAATAAAATTTAAGAACCCGTTTCAGTAGACATGGATCAGGCAGTTAAAATGTGCATCTTGTTGACCAACTTGCGCTCGCTTTTCAGCAGTGCTTAATTCATATTATTATTTTGAATTATTGTCCCCTGGCTATCTAATCATTTGTTGACTTAATTTCAATTTTATTACATTATTCTCGCATGTCACATATTCATTTGTCACTCTGTAGTACCCCAAGAAAGATAGCTCTTATAACTTAAGTCGGATATTATAATCGAGGGTAAGTTACATAGGTGTCACCGCTTGTTGTGTCACCCTTTTATTACAAAACATACGGATGGTACAGTAATCACATGGAAGAAATCAAATGCGCTGACTTCAGCACAGTTTCGTTGACGGAGTTAATGCCGTATTTTGAAGAGAATGGAAATCAGAAGAAATGATCATGAGTACTGAGGCAGACTTGTGGCGTCAGTATTTATGTGTATGGATGATATGTTTAACATCGTGTTTTATTAACGGCAGATGATTAAACCCTTCCACGCGGGTTTCATCAGCAGCAATATTTTGATAACATAACTGATCAGAGTTTTTCATCGCTAGACTGCTGTTCGTGAATGATTTAGTTCGGTGGTGAAGGTCAATAACGTGTTGGAATTGTGAAAACTGCACACTGGTTCCATTTGCAACATTTTGTTTACGTTTTTCTCGCTATCAATATGACGAAAATTGTTAGATGGCGCTGAACACCATTACTGGAATACTGGCCAATCAAATTCGAAGACCGATGTTGGCGGCACATTTGATGCTACCTTTTGGTGGGAAGTCACTTTGCGCCAAGAGGAATCAAGCAAGCAGACCAACTTTTTTTCTGGACGACACACTTTTCGAGAAAATGTTGGGATCTAGTCAACTGAAAACCATTAAAGGGAAAGGTCTGTATAACATAACCACAAAAATATGCTGTATGGAAGCAAGATTAATTAGAAAGCAATTATTTAATTATTTGTGTTTTCCGCAGCCATAGGCTAGACTCCACGTTTCCAGTGACAAGTTTGGCTTTTTCGATTTCACTTCAGCGAAATAACTGCTTATTAAAGGGTTGGTTTGGAATCCTCAATTTTCCTTATTGTTTGAAGAGTACAGATAAATTTAAATTGTATCTTTGCTTGGCAATGAGATAGTTTATTGATAGTACTCTACAATGTGAAACAATGGACGGGCGGGAGAACAGCCGGGATGTCACTGATTAAATATTTTTATTATTTGTCTTTTATTGTTAATGTTGATGGTGCCTAAATGGATGTGAAAAATGTGCACCTAAAAAATGGGAGCTGTTTTTGTTTCTTTGCTTATTTCTTGTTTTGGAGGGAAAAGCTTTTTCATTGTAAAGAGACCGGGAACTCATCAGGGGAAAGTTTTGTCGAAATTGGAATATTTTATCAAATGTACAACAAATTAATATTAGCTCTGTTATTCAAGCTTATTTGGATAAAATTGCTGATAACAATGAAAAACGTGATAAAAATACTAAATACAATTTATAAATAATTTATTGATAAGTTTCATTACAATTTATTGTTTTTAAAAGTGATGGGGCTTCGTCACTTGTTAAAGCTAGCATTAGTTCAGTATATCACATGCATTTTAAAACTACCTTTGTTTTTATTGTGGGCCATAGACAAATGTCTGAATGTGATTTGTTTGCAGTGTTTGAGGAAGAAGACATAACTACCCTGCTCCCTAAAGGAAAGAAGGCGTGCACTGTGAGTTTGTTGACAGCCATATATGAGCAAGTCTTTGGTGTTATGAAATATTTGTTGCATCAACTCCTTTTTAATATATCTCCATTTCTTATTTTAATTTATATTTGCAACATTTTGAAAAAGTTAGCATGTGGACATTTTGTGTTATAAACTTTACGTCCAAAGATATACTTACAATGATGTTAATTAACTTGTGTATTATTTCTGCCTTATGGTGGTGTATATCATTGCGGAAGTGGTTGATGTCCTGATAGTTTTCTGTATTTTTCAAAATTTTGCATAGTACATAAGAAAACAAGAAAAAACACATACAAACATTCACACACACTCATTATCATCAGTCATTCACATACACACTTCACAGCCATTAACACATACACATTTTGAAATTGAGAAGGGGTTGTGGGAGATATGGGAAATGGAATGTGGTATAGAAGAACAAAGTGAATGAGTTCTACCCCGTAATCTTTTAAGTAAGAGAATTATTAGATATGGGGGGGTGGGGGCTTTCCCAGGAGTTTATTATTGTATACAAAAATGTATTTATTATATTGGCGTCATCTTCTCCATCTGTAGGTCCATTTCTTGTGAACGCAACTCCTCTTAAACTAATCATCAGATTTTCATAAAACTTGCTCAATATCACTTTTACAATGTGTAGATGTGCACGAAGGGACAATTTTACGGTTTATTGATTTTTGTAAGATTTATATATTTTGTGGCGGCGTATACCGGTATTGTGTCCACAGTCACTCTTGTTTAATCTAGATATATTTGTTTGTTTTTTTTTTTTGTTTTTTTGCTTTCATTATTGAATATCACTGATGTTTTAAGAGTTGAAAATGAAAAAGAAATATGAAGTAATTGTTCTTATTTTAAAATACTGGTTTACAGTATTCATTATTTTGTTTTAGATCTCTGTAGAAGGCAATATTGGGTGTGGGAAAACAACTCTACTAGAGTACTTCAAGGAATCTCCAAATGTGCAGGTTTGTTATGATGGAACAATGACATAAATTTGAATATGAAATAAATATTATTTGATCTAGTGAATGGGAAGAATAAGACTTAATTATAGATTAAATTGACCTATAAATGGTTAATTATAACAGTTATTACTGAATACAGATGATCCTTGTTTGAATTTTGAAGAACAATTACCAGTACAAATTTCTTAGACCATAAGTTTGGCATTCACTAATTATTTACATTCTTTTCTGTAATTTCAGGCAATACGTGAACCTGTTGAACAGTGGACCAATGTGCAGGGCCATAATGCATTGGTAAGTCTGTTACAGAAAAAGGTCTCGCCAAATTAGCTAATACAAAAGTTTCTCAAAAGGAAAACTGTTTTAAATTTCCTGCCTTAAGTAAATAATCAGTCAACCATTCTTCATATTGGAGCAAAACTTTATGATCAACCATCTGACTCATTCATTGATGGTATAGTAGTTTTCCATCAATCGGTTATCAATCGATCTTTCATGAGAAGCTTATTCAATGTTATATGAATTTGTATTTCCCAGAATGGCAGTTTGATTGGATTATTTTTGGAAGAGTTACTGCCCCTCATCATTACCATGCTAATGTTGTCTCCAGATCCCAGTTTTCAGCTTATTTCTTTCAAACTTGGGAGACTAGATATGAAATTGTGTGTTCCGGCACAGTAGATCAATTCAGCTCATTAAGTTTTGAGGGAGATATTGCCCTTGTGTTGGTGGTCTCCTTTCTGTTTTTCACCCACATGTATATCTGAAATTATAGGCAAAATAACAATAACAGGAAACTGTGTTTCCTTCATTAATGGCGTTGTGATTTTTAAAATTTGTGGAAAATTATTGCCCTCTCTCTTTCTGTTTTTTTTTTTTTTTTGTTTTTGTTTTTTGTTTTTTTTTATCTTTTTCCAAATATCTCTACTCAAATGTTTTTGACCAACCAATTTCTTTGAATCAACAAGACTTCCAAACATATTAACCTGTGTTCTTTTCATCACTTTCATATTTTGACTTATCATTACCTTTTCCTATTTTTTTCATATAATAAATCATGAATATTTGGCATGGAATAGGTACATGACAGAACTGTTGTTAAATTCTGATGCTTTAATCATAATTCAACCAAAACTGTGTATATTTAGGATTTCTATTTTTCATTAATAAAAATTCATTCAGATTCCTGTATGTCTCTTAGCTAATGCCTACACACTAATTCTGTACATTACGATAACACAAAGAAAAATGAAAAGAAATTTTAGCGTGGAACTAAAGTGTTGGTTGTGAGAAAGATCCGCTGTATAAGTATAGGTTTATTTCGACTGTTATGAAGGCTAAACCACATGCTGGTACAGATCAGTTATTTTATCTTTTTTTAATGTAAGTTGTCCACACTGCCTGATTAATGTTTTCAGGAACTCCTGTACCAAGATCCAAAGAGATGGAGTTTCTCTTTCAACCTGTATGCCCAGCTGACCAGGATACAGATGCATACATGTGCCCATGTGAGTATCAGAATTCAATCGGGTCTTAAATTACTCGCTCAACAAAATGATTTGATTCACCAAAAAATTGTTGTGAAAAAGTAATTATAAGGGGTCACCTGCCAGACCACATGAGCTTTTTCAAGAGTTTCCTGCCAAAGTAAGACCACTCACATGCTTCAATCTGAGCCAGTTAGATGTTTGGTGTTAATTACAAGTTTGATAACCTGTTTCACATTTGTTGTAAAATATTTGATTACTATGGTACTTTGGAGGTCTAAAGCTATTGCAACATATCAAACTTCATTGTGTGGTCTTAGATTTTGTAATCTAATTTCTTATGCTCCTTTACAAATTACAATTGTAGAATATTAAAATTTAAATTGCATTTAAAAGAGGATTTAAAAAACAAAAGAGTTACTAAATACATATATAGTCAAATAGTTGACTTTTTAGCTCCTTAATTAATACAAATGAATGTTTTCAAACATATCTTTGATATTTCAGAATAAACCAGTGAAGATGCTTGAGAGATCACTATTTAGTACAAGATACTGCTTTGTAGAAAATGACTACATCAAGTAAGTGATATTTACACCAGTATATTGGGTTAAGGTCAGTGAGTTATAGAGGAAACTTTTTTTGTGAACATATATTTAGATTCAGGATGTGCCATTGCGGAATGAATTCAGCTGTATCAAACAGCTATTTTGGTTAACAATGACTGTTCAGTGATATTAAGAGTAGAAAAAATCAACAGATATTGTAAATAAATAATAGGTAAAGAATAGTTTAATTGAAGAGATTATTTTTAACCATTGTCATACACATTTTCTGTTGTCATTTTCGTTGAGTGTTCTATACTGTGAGTATTAAATATTTTGCCATTTTTCTCTTCAAGCAAAACCATCAATGGACTAGAGTATGCTATCTTGAACCAGTGGTTTGAGTTCTTGACTCACAAAAAGAACACACAACTTGATCTGATTGGTAAGTTGGATACATTGTAAAACATGTACTTTTTAAACCTCTGCTCTAGTCTCTAGTTCTGGAAATATAAGAAAGTGCATTTGTTACTGGATCTCCTACACAACCCTGATATCTCTTTGTACTTCCACCCCGATATCTCTTTGTACTTCCTGTACAATTGATGGTGATTACTGTGGAACATGCTTTCATACCTTGAATAGTCTTAATGAAAGCAATTTTTATGTGACTGAAAATTCTCTCTGGACCGTGAACAGAAGTTAGGTGAACTTAAAAATAAAACTTGAAATAATCTGATCGTGATAGGAAAGATGTGATATTGAAGTAATCTGATGGTGATGATAGGAATGATGGGATACTGAAGTAATCTGATGGTGATAGGAATGATGGGATACTGAAGTAATCTGATGGTGATGATAGGAATGATGGGATACTGAAGTAATCTGATGGTGATGATAGGAATGATGGGATACTGAAGTAATCTGATGGTGATGATAGGAATGATGGGATACTGAAGTAATCTGATGGTGATGATAGGAATGATGGGATACTGAAGTAATCTGATGGTGATAGGAATGATGGGATACTGAAGTGATATGAATTCAAGGTGGAATTTCTTTGAATAGACTTTCAAAAGTGTTCTATTAATATATTAAATCTTGCAGACATAGGATAAATATGCTATACAGATATGTACCGGAACATGTTATGAACAAATTACTTGTGTTTCAGTGTATTTGAGAGCGGACCCCAGAACATGTTATGAACGAATCAAAAAGCGATCCAGGAAGGAAGAATCTGGAGTACCATATGTAGGTTTTAATGTCAGCATTTTGGTTGTGTATTTTCTATTGGTGCTACTAATGATCTTTTATCATGAAAAACACTACACATGTAAAGAAATGTGATGAAGTAGTCCTATTTAAGCAACTGCAAAAGACAGTTATTTGTCTTTTAGGCTGGATGCAGGAAATTGATTAGCTCATATATTCTCTCTTCTGACAAGATATAAATTGTTGATTTTGAAAAATTAACTTGATCTTGCTTAAATAAAAAGACTTTATAATGACTCCAGTAGAAACACTTGTTTAAGCTGTCTACAAGATGAGAATTTTGTGACTATTGTGAAATTTATCAAGAAACAGTTCTAAATTAAGAAAATCATCAAACACTGAAAGTTTGGAATGATTTTCATCCCTTAAAAAAATCTGTGCTATTAAACATTAATTACAAGATGGCCTTAATTCAATCTAGGAAGGTGTTACAACTCCTTTTAATTTCCATCATGTTTGTAAACAAGCCATCTTCCAAAAATTAAATATGTATCAAACTTTGATATATTCAAATTATTTGTTAATCTGTCTCTGGCCAGCCAGTCAGATTCAACAGCAAGTTTGGAGAACTGTAGATTATGTACATGTATATAGTTTCACATTCATACCTGTCTTGTAGCCTTTTTTTATGTGAATATGTAAATATGTATTCATAAGACATTGAAATACTTAAAATTCATAACCACAGTAATTGATGTTACTACATACATCAAGCACTGCCCTGCAGGAAGGGTTAATTTGTAATGATTAAGATTACATACAATATTTGTGTTTGAGTTTCTTGCAAATTAGTGTGAAAATTAAGTTTATGCTAAAAATATCAGTAATCTACACAAAATCTTTGACTCAGAACAGAAAGTTTTCTTCAAATTGTCAGATTATAAAAGTTTAATCTATGAATATGACCCTGTGATAATGTAAAATTTTCATTGCCAGTTTCAAACCCTTCTGAAATGTAAAATATGATCAGGAGGATTTTTTTCTTAATTTGTTTAAATTTATTTCCCCAGGAGTTGATTCAGAACTTGCATGATCTACATGAAGAATGGCTGGTGCATGAAAGAGTCTACAAGTCTCCTTGTCCAGTACTGGTAGGTATCAAGTTGCACAACCTAATAAATTTTATGGTCCCCGCTTTTACATGGTGTTTTTTTTACCCTTGTCTATCCGTTGTACAATGGTTTGCCTTCTGTTTTGATGTTTTATCTTAGGAATCTTTGAATATTTTTGTATCAAATTTTCCCAGTATCATCAAACATTAAATCCTATACTTCACAGCACTGTAATTTCATTAAACAATGGTACTGATAAGACAGAGTAGACTTACAATCATTTTTTATTTGATGATTAACACCTTTTTCTTTTCTTTTTTTTTTTAGACTTGGTTTTTTTTTGTTTTGAATTCTTAGCAAAATAATTGGCGTTGATTTTGGATATTACAGGATTACCAAAACAGTCAGAGCAAGTCACCTAATTTTGAATAATTCTGGTCATCCAAAAGTCAAGCAGATACAGATTTATCACTCGTGTTCATCCTTTTATAGGTTTTGAACAATATGTAGATGCAGAGTGAGATCTGTTGGTTTTAATCAGGGCAAAGCATCTAGGAAAATATAGAAACAGACCTTTGTAAAATGGTGTGAGTGGAGATGAAATATAGTGAAACTGAGACTGGGTAGTTTATTATTGATTTTCTATGTATGCATGGCCTGTGACTAGTGATGTGTTGTAGGCCACTGCACTAAAACCATGTGGATCAATAAATTATTTACTTGATATTTTACAATAAGGTGGTTTTTTTCCCTCTGACCGACAATAACTATTCATATGATAACAAGTACCATCTAAACCTTTATTATTTTGTATCAATGATTTTATTTGGAATCTTTTTTCTTTGTTAGATTCTTGATGCCAATAAGGAATACACACATATGACAAAGTTATATGAAGACAATCGACAGGAAATCTTGTGTGGGTATATATGAAGATAGTAATGATGAGAGGATACCTAGTGTGACAAATACAGACCGGAAATGTGTCTTAATGTTGTAAACATCAGGAATGAATCGTCAAGAGCTTGGACCTAGATTACACATGGCCAGTACTCCTAATACTGACGCAGCACCAGTGTGTTGTAAGACTTGTGTGTCATCAATCATCAGTCATTATACTACTGATCTCATTGTTTTTGTATATTTATATATTGAAGGATATTACACAAACCAGAATGTTATCGCCCTATTCAGGGGTTTTCTTAAGGATTTGACTTGTCCAGAGGGCAAGTACCCAGGAATTTTTACTTGCCCCCACAGAAATGGGCTTGCCCTATATAAGTGTACACTTTTTTTATACGGACATGCGTTCAAATATTTGGTATTATACAGAATTTTGATAGATTATAAAGGTAAAAACAAATTTACATCTGATTTTTTATCTATCCACAAGGGAGTTTAATTTTAACTCGACAAACATCTCATAAACTTAAATTGATATGAATTTCAAACAATTTAACAGTGCCCTTGCAACTAGCTAAATCAAAATAAAAACAGACATTTGCAGTTAAAAACACATTTTGCATATAAATCTTAATTTATTCACATAGGAGTTTAACTTTAACTCAACAATCAACTTAATAACTTAAAATGATATAAATTTCAAACATTTAACAGTACACTTGTGACGAGCTAAATCAAAAACCCTGTAAAAACACTAATTAACAGCCTATACTTTTCATTTTAACTTTAATGCATCTGAATTACATGATTTTCTCAGACATTTGCAGTTTTATTTTCAGATTTGAATACAAAATAATTTGAAATCATCCTAAATTCCTTAGAAGCAATCAGCATTTCTTAGATAGGTAATGTACATTCCTGAATTTAGTCTTCAGTCGCGAGATGGTTTTTTCATTAAACTTCGATAGAGCTTTCATTGCTTCCAATTTTTCAACATTGAATGGTTTATTCTTATGCTTAATGACATTTCCAGAGCTGTTTCTGAGCTTTCCGTTTGTTCTTTCGATGATTCAGTTGATTGTTTTTGAAATATGGGGGGGGGGGATTTTTTTTTCTGCCATTTTCGATTGCAACAGCTGTTACTTCTGGATTTAATCAAAACGAGCAATCCCAGACAAGGGGCAACCGTGATCGAAAAAAGACTTGCCCGCGACAATTTTAACCCGACACGGGCAATCGGGCGTCCGCTTAAGAAAACCCTTGCTATTTTGTAATGTGCAACAATGCGTAATAGTATCTTTTCTGTTACTGTCAAATTAAATGTGTTCATTACTTACATTACTCATCTTATTTCATTGGTAGATATATCTATAAAAAGATTCATGAAACTTGCTCATATGGAAATTATTGCAATTTTATATTTATTTTTCCAACCTTTCAAAAATTTACTTTGAAGTTATTCACTTATGTTCTGTGAATACCCAAGAAAGAGAATATAGTTGGTGTTAGAAAAGGTCCAATACTACATATATACCTCAAAACAAAATGTGTTCTAGTTGAGTTGTTGCTATAAAAGAAGTTCCTGCGGTGTGAATTAGTTTATATCTTTGTATGTTACAAACTGTATCTGATTTTAGCAGAGATTTATAGAGTATCAGACTTTTTTAAGTGTACAGTACTAGTCTACTTATAGTAGTTACTACTAGGAAGATGCTGAATGTATAACAAAAATGTAGACAGGTTATGAACATGAAAGATGCAGAAATGTTTGAATAACAGACAGTATGAAAGTTATGTGGAATGCTTGTGGACTTAAGTCTTTTGATATTAACCTTATATTGTTTTACATTTGATATTATATCCAGTTCAGTTTTTAACTTTCAGATAAAGTAAGTTTTAACATGTTGTTACCAGTAAAATCTTTTAACACATGTTGACTTGAAGAACAACTGTTTTAATTTTGGGTTACTGACAGTAGGGTATTCTGATATGAGAATACTCTGCTTCTTTTTTACTTTCTCTCTTTCTTTTTCTCTATGAACTTTCATTCTAGCTTACAACTGTGTAAGAATGTGGTATGGATGTTATTGTTGAAGTTACATGAACGAGTCGCTGTAAGTTTGTTTAGTGTGCTAGGTTGTAACTGCAAGAAATAACCTAAAGATGGTGTGTATGCATGCTTTGATGAAAAACTGAATTGTATAAATAGTGCTGCCATTTTTCACCTTGATAAATTAAATAGTGCTACAGCTTTACTCATTTTAAAAAGTGGAAATCCATCTAACTGATTGTACTTTCTGGTTAAGGAATACCTGGTTTAATTCACTGGTATTTGATGTTCAGGAACCGTATTTGTTAATTTTGTTGAACATTTATAAACCAAATGTGTATGTTAAGGATGTGAGGATGTGAATGTATTGTGATGCCAGGGTGACTTTTGGAGCAGATTATTGGACCAGACTAATCTGTAGTATTAGGATGTTACAATAAGACTGGGACAATTGATATACCTGGTAATCTATTGATTATTTATAGCTGAATAAAATATATTTCAGTAATTTTGAAAGCCTTGATAACTCTGTCATTTGATACCAAAAAAACTTGCTTCCCATTATTGGGTAGTGGAGTCAACGCCATGTAGTTATCAGTGGTGGTGAAAATGTTGATCACTTCTCACCTGGATACCTGAAGGTATACAAGGGACTGATGAGTAAGGTTAAGCTTAAACCAAAGAGAATCAATCAAATCAGGCTGAAGGCAGCTTTTTGATATTTTATTTGTCTTGACAATCCGCTTCAAGTCGGCTGTTGTGATAGATTCTCCTGATTTAAGCTGGTCTCCAGTTACACATTTGACAAAACATGGTAAGTATCACATATCAGATTAAGGTCGTTGTTGCTGTGACTGTAACAAGGTCACTTTAACAAAACATTTTATTGGTGTTAGTGATGAAAAAGTCTAATGCTTTATTGTATTGTAATCCTTGAGAAAAATCAATTCCTGCCCCACTATCCAGGGCAATAAAGAAACACATTGTAGCAGTATTATCATTTGAATTGAGATTTTCCAGACTTTACCTCCTCTTGGTTTGTGTATGACAAGTAGTAATATATTTCCACCCTTCAAACAGAATTCTGTTCAAATTCATGATATCATGGCCCGTTTTGAGGGATGGGAACCATATATATCCTAATTTTGTTTAGGTTTTGGCAACGAAATCTTGCTATATTTTATAGGACTGGTCATCATTTGTTTGAGAACTCAAAAATTCATAAAGCAGTTGTAATTCACAAGTCGTGCTAAAGAAAAGTAAAATAACATGTCAGATTTTACCATTTATTTAAGATATCACAGATAAATTGAGAATTGTTTTGAAGTACAAGTATACATAAACCTGATCACTATCAAAGGCAATGATAATGCTGAATATGTGTAAACGATGACATGAAATTAACATACAATCACCAACAACATTCTCACTCTCTCCGTTATATACTCATAGTGAAATGTAGAATATCCACGCCATACAACAACCAACATAATTCTTACTCTCTCAGTTACATACTCATACTGAAATGTAGAATATCCACGCCATACAACCACCAACAACATTCTCACTCTCTCAGTTACATACTCCTATGGAAATGTAGAATATCCACAAATTATAAAGTATATATTACCATTTGGCACATGTTGTCTGCCAGAGAGAATGATTTAACTGTTCTAATCAAATTTTTCTTTAATGTCTTATCACAAATGATGCTACAGATCATGGACGGAGTACTGATTTGCAGAGCAACTTTCGAAGACATAGCAAATCAATCCTGACAGGCCAGTAAGGCGGATTCTAGCGCAGCATCAGCACCAGCTGATACAGAGTCCTGGTCTTTCTGTAAATAGACATAAGAAATTCAGTAGGGGAGAACTCTTTAGACGATCTAATCATGTGGTCAACATTCCAGCTTAACAATTGACACATTGGAAAGGAAGAACATGAATAAACAAATCTGTCTGATAAAACATCTGATGTTGTGTCTGATGATAAAGAGTCAGTACTGTTACTTCTTCATCACAAGGACACATAAATAGGTATTGAAACAGCTTGTGCAAACACCTTTCTATACCGAAATCATGATTTTTATATCTAAGTACTGCATATTGTTTCATTGTAATCTTGATAGAAATTGATGTATTGGTAACGGTATAATAGCAATATAGAATTGGCCATTTCTATGTATAGCAACAGCTTTGATCTTCAGTAAGGAGCCACAGAATATCAAAGAAACAAGCACTCCTATCTTTATTTATGACTTTTGTCCAGTAAATAAATCTACCTCCTAAACGAGCTACAAGACCTAAATTTCCTTACATTCTGCTCAAGGATGAGAAGTTCACAAAGACGTTTGACCTCCTTGGGTCTAGCCAACAGAGAGGACTGTAGTTTCTGGTACTCATGATTCATCTCCCGATGTTTCTTTGTGGATGCCAGGCTTTCCCTCATGTTCTTATCATAGAATCTGTCAACAGACAAGTAAAACTAGATAACACACACATGTTGGTATGTATTTTGTAAATTCACAAACTTCCACTAATTAAAGGTTTGACACTTAACTTCAATGACCACAGATGTAATGGCTTTAACTACACTAACTGTAAGCTTGATAAATCAGGAATGACTCCAGGGTAAATGTAGGATCTATTACTTACCTGTCATATTCTTTTTCAATCTCTCTAACTCTTTGAAATGAGTCCTTGATGAGTTCTTTATACGTAGGTGCATCAAGAGTAATTACTGTTAAGGAGATTCATATTTCAATTCATGTTGACAGGCCTACTCGAAAATGGCAAATACTGAATGATAAGATACATCATTTAACGCAAAAAATTATATAGTACTTGTAAGGATAGTAATAAATATGTATACACGGAAAGGATAATATACCAAATGACCCAATATATAAATATTTAAGAAATGTTTAAACTCGCTTGTTTATGCGTTGAATATGAAATTTAAATCATATACACAGAAAAAGGATATGCAGGTAGATTCTGGAGTTCTGTGCGACAAACACGCACCACCATACCCCCTTCCTGTGATATTTTCTTCATACGCAGAAAGTGGGCCATCAGCGGGCTCTGACCATGAATGTTAAACGCAGACTTACGGAAGTCAGGCCCTCGACAGGCTGGGTGAGACTGAAAATCAAAATTTATCTAAAAGTTGCCAACTATTCACCATTACAAAGGGAAATACACCAAAAACATAGTTGTTCAACAAAAATAGAAAAATTATTCTAGAAACAAAATGTAGAAATTGTTTAAAAAATTATTCTCATAATATATAAGACTATCACAAAATTGCATTGACTTGTCACACAATTAAAAGAGGAGATGGTAAAGAGACATATGCACTAATCAATTAGGAAAAAAATGTTAAGAGAATAAATAAAGACCTATTCTGTTAGTAACAAAATCAGTCACTGCTGGTCATACTGAATTTCAAATCTGGCTCCAAATCAAACATGAGTTAGAAATCAAAATAAGTACTCTTTGATACTGAAGGAAGGTCTGTAAGAAATCTGACCAACATGAGAAGCCTCCCTGTAGCCTTGATGTCTGTCCTTCAGACATGAAAATACTAGCCTTGATGTCTGTCTTTCAGACATGAAAAGACTCACTGTAGCCTTGATGTCTGTCCTTCAGACATGAAAAGACTCACTGCAGCCTTGATGTCTGTCCTTCAGACATGAAAAGACTCACTAGCCTTGATGTCTGTCCTTCAGACATGAAAAGACTCACTGCAACCTTGATGTCTGTCCTTCAGACATGAAAAGACTCACTGTAGTCTTGATGTCTGTCCTTCAGACATGAAAAGACTCACTGTAGCCTTGATGTCTGTCCTTCAGACATGAAAATACTCCCTGCAGCCTTGACGTTTGTCCTTTAGACATGAAAAGCAATCCTGACACTTCAAGAATAAAGATCTATATAAATTTTGCGAATGACTGGCTGAAGCCAAAAAAGTTACTTTAACAGCCTTGACTGGAAAGGCACAGTGTCACATTTCATCATGTTTTTATGTACTATCAACTTGAGGCAAACTTTCAGTCCAAACTTAAAATCATATGAGATTTCCTAACTTGACATTAATGTGCTTCTCCTTTGTCTTAGTGTTGCCCTATGTTAGTGGATACTGAATACTGGATACCCTGGCTATTGTTCATGGATTCCATTTTAACTGGTGATGTTTTTTATAGAGCATCAATGAAATAATATTGTAACACATAAACTCTACTTTACTAAACATTATGAGAGTGGGTTTTTTTTTAATTAAAATTTTGGTATCAAAGTGTGTAAACCTTACTATAGATTTGCTGGTTACTTAATAATGTCCTTGTCATACGAGTGATCTGTATCAGAGACAAGATGGTGCCCATCACATTTCAGCTGTGTTGGGCCCTATCAGCAAAGGCCTCTAGTGTCAGTTAAATAAGGGCTGAGGTTACTTGTCAACCTGTACTCAGTTAAATAAGGGTTGAGGTTACTCGTCAACCTGTACTCAGTTAAATAAGGGCTGAGGTTACTTGCCAACCTGTACTCAGTTAAATAAGGGCTGAGGTTACTTGCCAACCTGTACTCAGTTAAATAAGGGCCGAGGTTACTTGTCAACCTGTACTCAGTTAAATAAGGGCCGAGGTTACTTGTCAACCTGTACTCAGTTAAATAAGGGCCAAGGTTACTTGTCAACCTGTACTCACAGGTCTAAGGTAACAACTCCTACAGTTTTAATAATTATGTAATCCTTCAGAAAGTACATTATGTTAAGAATAATTTTACCTTTTAAGTGAACTAATTTAGAGTTTTGGAAGGAAGTGCTGGTTTTATAAGTACCTCTTTGTAGAATTTGTCTTCTGATGATTTTATCGCAGCAGCCTTTGCCATCACTACAGAGGCATTAGAGGTCTTGGTATCCATTTTATCATGCTCTTCTTCTAGAGTTGTCTCCCTTATTGGTGTCAGCGCATCCATGATCTTGCGTGGGTCTGGTTGCTTCTTACCACCTGTTCTTTTGTTATCCACACCCTGGTGCTCAGCCACAGTATCAATAATGGCCCCATCCTGTGATGACCCAGGTGACTGACTCCTAAATCTTGGAGTCAATCCTGTCACAGAATTCCTTTTCCGCACTGATCCATGTTTTCTGTTGCGCCCACCATAACTCTGCATTGATGATTTTGACACGGATTGGTTGAGGGAAGTCATGGAGGTATACTGACTACCATTGCTGGAGAACATGGAGTCAATGAAGTCGAAGTTCAATGTGGCTGATGCCGCTGAGATAAATGAGAGAAATATAGATAATAAGAATGAAGTGTTGTTTTATCTAGAAACACCATTGTATAACAAATTGGGTTGCAATTCAACATATAATTCATCTTTGTCATAAAAAGGCAGGTCTATGGATTAAATTACTAAAGCTTCAACATACAGTAGTGTCACACTCACACACATACATTTGTTTAAACAAGTGCAATCAATGATTGCCAAGTTCACCAGCAGCAGCCATCGCAAAATGCTGTTTTAATCACTCATTTTTAAAAGTTTATAACAAAAGTGTTGTGATACTGTAGGTCAACCATTGGACATTTAAATGAAAATGTATACCAGGTGGGAGGGGTGTAAGACATATATTTACATTGTAAAGTTTGGGGAAAAAATCAGTCATGGATCATTGACCTCTAATGATTGTAAAGTGTTGGTTGTATTCTTTTTGAATTCAAAAACTTTTAAAACCTACTGCAAAAACATTGAATTGAGCTTTGAAAAGTCCAAAACATTTCAATTTCGAAAAAAAGCCACAAAACTGAAAAATCTGCATTTACAAAACTTCAGATCTCTAATCATTTATACCAAACAGGAGGGTGTAGGAAGTATACTAATGGACTATGAATTCTTTAAAAAAAAACTGACCCCAAAACCTCCCAAAAAAGTGAGCTGACATGAAAATATGAAATAATAAGTCAAAAACATTGATAATTTTAACTCTGCCCCTCTCCTCCCAGTTAAAAAACAAAAACAAAAACAAAACCAAAATAAATCCACCTGAAGACATCCAATGATTAATGATTACTTCTGCCAAATAAAAAGGGTGTAACTAAGTGAACTGTCTATACTCATAATTAACTTACTTTTCTTCTTTTTCTGAGAATTTGCCAGTTCTTCTCTCATCTTTATATTTGGTGGCTCAAGTTTATCAAAATTCCATGACATCCAAATTCGAGGAGCTGGTTTGATTCCTGTAGCATGTGAAAAGAACAATTTTCTTGAGCACTGAACAGCTAAGAATTAAGTATAAGATTTATAATAACATAAATGAAGTAAGAGTTTAGTGATAACACCTAGATATTTCTGAAGTAAGAGAAAAACGATAACACCAAGATTTTTCTGAGGTAAGAGAAAAATGACTTACCCGCAATCCACTGATACACTAACGCCACCAAGTCCTCTTTAAACTGCTCCCCAAACTGTTTGTAGGAGTCTGGGAAGGAGTGGCAATATGCAGCATATATAGCTTGTGACAACAGACTTGGGTAGTCCTGAAACATCATAAGCAAGACCACTCAGACAAACCAGTGTATTCATAGACAAACTAATCCTTTCCATTCAGAAATCTTACCAATATTCTCCTGAAAATTCCTGTCATAATTAGTAAATAAACATGGACAGCTGTAACTTAGTATAGCTACAGTTACAACCTAACAAAACACTAGGAAATCTTTCACTGATTACTTATTGATGTACATAACAACTAACACTCTGGGATATACAATAATACAATATGTACATCTTTCATTAAATAGTATACACATACAACTGTCATTATGTACATGTAATATATACAACTGTCATGCAACTGTCATTATGTACATGTAACATATACAACTGTCATTATGTACATGTAACATATACAACTGTCATTATGTACATGTAATACATACAACTGTCATTATGTACATGTAATATATACAACTGTCATTATGTACATGTAACATATACAACTGTCATTATGTACATGTAATACATACAACTGTCATTATGTACATGTAATACATACAACTGTCATTATGTACATGTAATACATACAACTGTCATTATGTACATATAATACATACAACTGTCATTATGTACATGTAATACATACAACTGTCATTATGTACATGTAATACATACAACTGTCATTATGTACATGTAATATATATAACTGTATATACAACTGTCATTATGTACATGTAATACATACAACTGTCATTATGTACATGTAATACATACAACTGTCATTATGTACATGTAATACATACAACTGTCATAATGAACATGTAATACATACAACTGTCATTATGTACATCTAATATATATAACTGTCATACAACTGTCATTATGTACAAGTAATATATACAACTGTCATTATGTACATGTAACATATACAACTGTCATTATGTACATGTAATATATATAACTGTCATACAACTGTCATTATGTACATGTAATACATACAACTGTCATTATGTACATGTAATACATACAACTGTCATTATGTACATGTAATACATACAACTGTCATTATGTTCATGTAATACATACAACTGTCATACAACTGTCATTATGTACATGTAATACATACAACTGTCATTATGTACATGTAACATATACAACTGTCATTATGTACATGTAATACATACAACTGTCATTATGTACATGTAATACATACAACTGTCATCATGTACATGTAATACATACAACTGTCATACAACTGTCATTATGTACATGTAATACATACAACTGTCATTATGTACATGTAATACATACAACTGTCATACAACTGTCATTATGTACATGTAATATATACAACTGTCATTATGTACATGTAATACATACAACTGTCATTATGTACATGTAATATATATAACTGTCATACAACTGTCATTATGTACATGTAATACATACAACTGTCATTATGTACATGTAATACATACAACTGTCATTATGTACATGTAATACATACAACTGTCATTATGTTCATGTAATACATACAACTGTCATACAACTGTCATTATGTACATGTAATACATACAACTGTCATTATGAACATGTAATACATACAACTGTCATTATGAACATGTAATACATACAACTGTCATTATGTACATGTAATACATACAACTGTCATTATGAACATGTAATACATACAACTGTCATTATGAACATGTAATACATACAACTGTCATTATGAACATGTAATACATACAACTGTCATTATGAACATGTAATACATACAACTGTCATTATGTACATGTAATACATACAACTGTCATTATGAACATGTAATACATACAACTGTCATTATGAACATGTAATATATACAACTTTCACAATCCAATCTACTAAAATATACCTTGAAAAACACATCCTTGTGGAGTGGATTCCTGACAAACAGTAAAAGCTTGACAAAGTTGTGAGCCGTCCTATTAAACAGCTTCACTTGAGAATTCTTACTGGATTGATACTTCTCCAGGAACAAGTACCAAAACATGTCCTGTTCAATTAAAAAATAGAGTATATCAATAAAAAATATCAGCTTAAAAGTTCTTTATAACCATAACACATTTCTACTTAAACTTTGGGGTAACTTACCAGAAAGACTGCCTGTGACAATTCAGAATAGTACCATAACTGAAAGTCTGGCGCGTACGAGGGCTGAAACAAATAACATTATAATGATGTTAATATCGACACAACATTTACAAGTCTTCAGAGAAACACTCATTTAGCCTGTTCAGTTAAAAAAACATGTATGTCACTTGTAAACTAGGACCTCAAATCTACATATTGCAAAATGATATCACCTGATCGATATATAGTACATATAGTCTATGATAAACCTACCTGTACAAAAATACATACCTTCCCTTTCACAATTAGTATATACCAAAAGTGCTAACTTAACTACAAATTAAGTAAATACTTTTACATAACTGATTATAAATACATCCATTACAACATATTCCCTTTTTTCCACCTAAAACACAATTCCAAATATAAAAAAAAAAGAAAAAAATTCACCTTTGCCTTTCAAGCTAGTAGGAAATAACCAATATTATGCTCAAAAATGCAATTTTTCTATGAAAATTACAATAGAGTTTTAAAAAACTTCTTCCCCAGGAAGAAATGTGAAACCCATTTTGGTAATTACAGCACCTTCCATGCTTCCATTCATACAGAACATTTGATTCTACCATCCCTGGGTGTTGAGAAGAAGATATTTGAAATTTCAGTCAATTTGGCCCTTTTTGACCCTGCCAATCAACCCTTCGGGGTCAGCCAGGATCAAAATGGGCATACCATCAAGCTATCATCTTTCACTCATAATTCTAACCAAGTTTAAAATATTTCCAATGGAAACTAAACAAATTATGCTCAAAAATCTAGTTTTCCTATATAAACTAAAGCAAACTTTATCCCCTCCCCATGGGGAAAGGCAAGACCCTGGGGTCATGAAATGCATAATTTTGGTTAAACACCTTAAGATGCTTCCATACACAAAAAGCTTTTGATTCTTCCATATCTGGGTGTTGAGAAGATTTTTTAAATTAAGTCCATTTGACCATTTTTGGCCCTGCCAATCAGCCTCTGGAGGTCAGTCAGGATCAATATGGGCATACCATCAAGCCATCATCCTTCACTCAAACTTCTAATTAAGTTTTAAATATTTCCAATGGAAATTAAACAAATCATCCTGAAAAATCTATTTATCGTATATAAACTATAGTATAATTTATCCCCTCTTTATCCCAGCACAAGTACTTCATCACCAATACTCAAGTACACATCAGTTTATGTTTTAACAAGAGTACATGCCTACCTTACCACAAGGTCATGCCTACCTTTACATTGAGTTGTACATGTGCATCAGCAGCTTTTTTCAGCATGTCCTCCACAAGTATTTCATCAGGAAGAACACTGAGTTCTGTGTGGTCAAACCCAGGGTACTGATGTAACTGTAGCCATAACAACCAAACACAGGAGTTAGACATCCATAATTAACATACCTAGAGAACTGGTGTAACTGTAGCCATAACAACCAAACACAGAAGTTAGACATCCGTAATTAACATACCTAGAGAACTAGTGTAACTGTAGCCATGACAACCAAACACAGGAGTTAGACATCCATAATTAACATACCTAGAGAACTAGTGTAACTGTAGCCATGACAACCAAACACAGGAGTTAGACATCCATAATTAACATACCTAGAGAACTGGTGTAACTGTAGCCATAACAACCAAACACAGGAGTTAGACATCCATAATTAACATACCTAGAGAACTAGTGTAACTGTAGCCATGACAACCAAACACAGGAGTTAGACATCCATAATGAACACACCTAGAGAACTGTGTAACAGTAGCCATGACAACCAAACACAGGAGTTAGACATCCATAATGAACACACCTAGAGAACTGTGTAACAGTAGCCATAATAAGTATTCTAAATTCTTTCTTTATCTGTTCATAAATTTTCAATCAAAATGTTATCCTTCTGTTGCTTTTAAAGTATTTCAACTTCTTGATACACAAAAACATATGACTTCACTCTTCTAAAAAGGAAGCAAAGCAGAAGTATAACTAGGCTGTATGAAGTAGTAAATCAAAGGTCACAAAGATTAAGATGTCTTTTCATGGTTTAGAACTTTGGAAGATCTCAATTTTCTGCAAATGGATTTACAGAGCATCAATTAAAAAGTAAAATACCAAATTACTGACAGAAATATTAAGTGAAATTTCAGAAACCCTTTTGTTGTTTCCACAATGTAGCTCAATCTATGATCATGATAAAGGGAGCCATGTTTTCAATATTTGTGAAGAATCCCTTCACCACTTCTCTGAAGAGGTAAAAATCAATAATAACAATATTAAACTGTAACAGAAAGTAATTTGTTTTACTGATCAGTCTCAAAATAACAAATAGATAAATACACACCATAGGACAAAGGGAACTAACTACAAAGTTCATATTTTCTTCATGTTTGTAATATATATATTGAACATATGTTCTTGTACCACCAGTACTGATGGTGATAAAAGAACATTTACCGGTATGTTGAATTTAATGATTCAGGCTTTAGTATAGAAATAACAAGCTATTTCAATGATGGACAAGTGATTGTAGATAACAGGTGATAGTCCACTATCTGATAATGATGGGCTAGAAATGAAAGACTTAAATTTACCTCTACAAATTTTGGTTTTCCAGAGTCCTTTTTTGCCTGCAAATAGAATATGAACCCAAAATAGACAGAGAATTCCATCAACAAACTGTAAATGATACACTTTTATTGAAGTCTGCAAAGAGCAAATAAAATATGCATAAGTTACTAAACATTTATCAATAAGGCAATAATTTATTAAATTGATTTGTCTTAGGACACATCATCTTATATAGATACCTCCTGCACACAATGCAAAGTAAATTTCACTATATTTTAAGAAATAAAAAAGTCAGTAGAGCATTTGAGTTTTTCGGCTTACAAATTACGTATTGATGATTCTGTATATATACTTTAAGACTGAAACACTGACCACTGTAGTTTTACTGGGTTGCATGCTGACTTTGGATATGTGCTTTACTCGTTCACTTCTTCCAGGTAAAAAAGCTTGATGAAAAAAGAAAAATCAGCCAATATAGATTACTGACCCAAATAATAAATAACATTCTAGAACTTGATTTTTTACAGGCATACAAAGAACATGTTTTATCAGTGTTTGTTTATGGTAATTTTTTTTATATATATCAATATGAAAAATTTAACAATTTTAACTGAATTTATTCATGTCATTGATATCTTGATGTAAAATATAATTCATTAAACTTTTAGGAGGATTATGGAAGCCAGTGAGTAGATATACAATTGTCAAACACTTAGAAAATATATCTAATACATACTTTGTTTCATGGTAAAATACCCAGCAAATTTATTCACTTCTCTTGTTTCCTTTTCTGCAAAGAGAATATACAGAGGCACTAAAAGTATATGACTATTAACAAGTTTTCATAGGTGACAATCTTGTGTTAAAATTGAATGACCACTTTCAGGGTTTTCTTCAAATACCCCCCACCCCCTTCCTCCTCTTGTGTAAAAGTTCAATAATTAGTTGTGAGAGAACTACTTTTAGCTTACTATGATGATTCTGTGAAAAAGAGGAAGGAGGCTTCTTCGTGGGTAAGGCCTTATTTGCGGATAAAAATGGTAAATATTTAAGATCCATGTATTGTTAAACTTTTCCAAGAAACACATTGGAAAATTTTGAAATCTCCTTAAGATTTTATTTTTGTTTTTCTTGTTTTTGTTTACCAATTGCTGCAAAATAGTGTTTGTATATGAATTTTTTTCTCTTTCCTCCTGACTCATGACATAAAGACTTATATTTCGCACAGTTTTACAACAATACAGGTACTGTCCCAAGGTTATGCTGACATTTCAAAGGATTTTTGAGTTTCTCTTTTTTTTTGTTTTTTGTTATCAGAATAGATGAAAAGTAATTCTTTTGATACTAAATTTACCTCTCTTCTGGTATGTGTCACGCCCCCTATCACTGGAAATGTGTTCAATGTCCACATCATCAACATCTGAGGCCCGACTCTCAACAACAAGTTGTGTGTACTTCTGTAACTTTCTATCAAGTTTACTTATCTTTTTATTTACTTTTTCTATAGAACCAATAAAAAATGCTTTGTCATTGTTAAGGAAATAATTACCATGCATCAATTTCGAAATTATCCAAAGCCTACTTATAGACCAGCAATAAAAAATGTTGTTGTCATCCATAAAGATTAAATCGTATGAACTAGGATAAGTAAAATGTATAAATGATATGGGAACATGAAATTGACAACTGACACACCAGTGCTAAAAGAATACATGGTCAGTGTCTTAAAAAAATATGCTGTATTTTGTCTTTCTTCCCTAGCCAACATGCAGCTTATATTTTAAGACACTGGCCATGTCATCTATTTATCCTGCAACATTCTGTATTTTTGGCGAGGGTGACTCAATAGATAATAAATTCTCTATATTTGTAGCATACGAGAAATATTCGGTAGCATACGAGAAATATTTGACGAATCCTAGCAACAGGTAATCGTTCGAAATATGCAAATATTCAAAAACCATTGCATTCTTTTCTAAGGATACGTGAACGTGCACGCTGTCTAGCTTCTAAGAATTTCTTCTGTTTTTCTATGTCATCCCGTTTCAAGTCAGAATTTTCGTCGAATATCTCCATGGGAGAATCGACTCGACTTCTTCTCGCCATTTTGTTTGCGCATTTTTCAATATCAATATCCTGCTTGAAAATGTATTAACGTGTTCCGCGAATGGAAAACATTGTAATGACGTAGATGGCTATGGTAACCACATGTGACTAATAAAGGAAGTGGATGACGGACCCGATAATAGTGAAATATATTGTAAATATGAGGCTGATAACATTAAAAGGATTATATAGTCGTGAATCAAAGCGTTTGTATAAAATTTTCAGATATTGTGTATCGTAAGCAGAATGCAACTAAACAAATATTGTGTTTGGTTGATCTATTTTTCAGTACAGGATGTGTCTTGAGCTGTTAATCAAGCGAAAGTAAATTTAAGTTAACGTTCACTGTTAGACTCGTGTTACTTCAGAAGTTAGGTGCATAAGTTTTCATTAATAAAGTGGAAATGTCTACGTTAATATTTTTGAACGATGTATGGTAAAAATAACGGAGAGCCATTTGTTTAGATCGTCCGCTTATCATCTCGTCGCTGTCACTTCGACGCTTCACTGTACAAATAAGTTCACATAGGCCTAGAGGATTGTATAACTACCGTCATGTCGTTTTGTGGCTGGTTCAGCGGGGAACATTATAGAGATCACTTCGAGAAAGGTTTGTAGATAGTACTGAACGTGACACTTTTGTACCAGGATAGTTAGTTTTGAAATTGTTTACTATACTGACTCATGTTTAGTGTTTGACAGGAGTGGAAAACTCTCAAACATTACTGGGTCAATATAGAGAACGATATCACTTAAAGAAACGTTTGTGTATTGGAAAGAGTAAAAAGGTTTGACACAAACATTGAATAAAATGTTAAAATCAGTAAACAAATAGTATGAAATCAGTATGAATGGAATTCACGCCCTTCATCATTCTAGGTCGTGATGAGGTCAGTTACATAACTTGTATTAATATGGCTGAAGCGCTAACTCAGAATACATTGGTCATCATCATCATCATCATCATCATCATCATCATCATCATCATCATCATCAACTACCAGTGTCCACAAAATGACATAGAATAACGAGTGAATAAGATAGAATTAAGTTTGTACTTGTCACAGATTGTGATTTAAGTGTATGGTCCCAGCTCCAATCCAAGTCAGGATTCCACAGCATGTTCCAGAAGCTTAATTAGCCTGATCAATATTTGTTCAGTGATGTGAAAAACAAAGTAAATAAGATGAATTATCTCAATGATGCTATACAGAATTATATATCATATTCATCTGTTTGAACATTGTATTTCTTTACAGGAGTGTATGCGTGTAAGAAGTGTGGAAATGAATTGTTTCATAGTTCACAGAAGTATGAACACTCATCTCCTTGGCCAGCCTTTACCAGGCTTATCAATCATGACTCTGTAAGAAGGAGAGCCGAATCAAAGAATGCTATTAAGGTAAATAATAATAAAGAAAGGCATTGGGTGCACAGAATCATGAAATATTTGTGTATTAGATAACCTTTGTGATTTCCATGTGTTAGATAACTGTTTTGACCTTCATGTATTACATAATCCTCATGATTTTAATGTATTTGATAATCCTTGTGATCTCAGTGTATTTGATAACCTTTCTGATCTCAATGTTTTTGATAACTCATGTGATAACAAAGACCATGTGTCTCCATGCAAATGTGTATGAGAAATCTACATGTGCTTGTGTAACAAGTACTCATTAGATAGATGTGAAATTGCAGTGTGCAACGATTGTATAACAAATTTTAATATATTTGTTTCAATGCCTCTACATGACTTTGTTGTCAAATTCTAAATTCTGATGTTGCTAATATTGCTTTTATATTGATATTCAGGTCCTGCTGTCAAGTGCCTATTACTTTTATAAAAAATGATAATTTTGAATAAATGTTTTATTATCTTCTTGTAGATTCATTGTGGGCAGTGTGGTAATGGTTTAGGTCATGAGTTCCTTGGTGATGGACCAAAGAAGGGCATGAATCGTTACTGAATATTCAGTGACTCATTGGCGTTTGTAGCCAATGAGGGTAAGTTTACAGAATTATGTGCTAACATTACTCTGGTAGCTCTCTGGCATTTGTGAATAATTCTTACAAATACAACTCCTGATTTATCATTATCAGAAGAATGAAATCTGATTTTGCAAATAAGAAGTTTTTATTGTCTCGTTTCTTGTACACATAGAAAAAATTGTTAGATTTTATACAGGTCCATTTATGCTACAAAGGACAGGATGAGAATTAGTTGCACAAGAATCAACAACAAAGATTTTTCCATAAGGTGTGCAGTGATGAATGTAAATCTCTTTGGTTGTGTCTGTTTGATTTGTAATGAATGTATGTCCTTATGTTGGGCCATTAGATAAGCAATGAATTTAAGTCCCAATGAGAAGTTTCTACTGACTGTTGCATGTATATTTCCTGTTACATGTCACTTGAAAACTAATATTTTGTTCTTGTTTTCACTTGCAGATCGTAAGAAGCAGAGTGTGGAGAGCTGATCCCAACCCAAATCCAGGTACTAAATGCTCAAGACAGCCAGTAACATGTTCAGTACAGATATTGTACCTAACCATAGGAAAAGCATTAAGAGATGGCATCAGAAAATGATTTCTCTTTGTTTAGACAGAAATCATCTTAATCCTATAATAATAACTTTAACAATGAAGTTTGTGAAATTCATGAATTTTTGTACTGATGCTGAAATCAAAGGAAACCCTTATTGTTAAATATTTCTGCAACAAACTTAAGATATGCTAAACGATATGGTAAAAATCCACAATTATATTTGGTTTCCTTTGATGTTGATAAAAGCTGACTGGACAAGTCCTACAAGTTACTATATTTGTTGATATTCAATAGAGTTCAGGTTTATAAACTGTTGTTTCTGGCTGTGCTGACATGGAGACCTGAGTAGGTCTGTGGTAATGACGAGGACACCTGTGGCACTGAAGCTGACAGGATGAAGCCATCAGGAACAAGCCTAAACAGGAAAACCTGACAGTGGAAAAGCGTCTAATCAGTGTCCACTTGTGGTCAGCGATGATACAACAGATCTTACACATCATTCTTGTAACAATCAACCTTAACTAGAGTCAGTAATATGTTATGATGTTTCAAAGAAAGTTGGTCCATATAATCATCTTATTTTGGCTACGATCCACTCAGACACTGTACAAAATACATATCATTACATTATGGTGTCCACTTATACATTGAAATGTTCTGACATAGTTTTATCATCACATACAGTACTGAAAATGAAATGATAGCTTGTGTAAACTGACCTTGCAGTCATGATTTCTCAGTTTTGAGATTTCTTGATTCTGCTAAGTAGAAATTTGATGACAGTTGGTGCTAGTAATTATAGATTAAGTCAAAAGGATGGTAATTAGGTTTTAATGGCTACAGGGAGCTCCATCTACCTTTGTGTGGATATAAACAGCATGTTAGTAATCAGCATTATTACATCTGTGATATTTCACTGTTAATAATGACCATTTATCTTATGTCTCCATACTTATACATACTTAAATCAACAGTGGGATTTGTCTTCCTAAACTAATGTCGATGTTTTATTTATATCGTTTGATATTGTCAGATTAAAACCAAATCAAAATGCAATGTTTTCCATGTATATTGTTTTGATAGTTTCACTATCTACAATTTTGTTGAGAACAATTCTGTAGTGTTGTGTATTAAGTACATAATCATGTATTCCAATGTCAGTCTGCTACACTGAGTGTAATTTTGTGAGGATAGTATTAATGTGTAGCATTTTAGTTTTTGTATTTTATTTACCTGTGGTACAAATTATTCTGTCTTTTGTGTTTTATTTACATGTGGTACAAATTATCCTGTCTGGTCCTCCACCTGTACTCTTACATTCACAATGCCGTCATATTTTTCCTACTGAGAAACTTTCAGTCTCAGGTTTGAACTTTTTTACATGCAGACAACTTATTCAGTCTGTTCTTATTGTTTTGTTTTGTGTGATTTTATCCATTTTTGAAATTACACCTTATTTGTAAATAAACAAACTCCTTCAGGGTACTACAGTCATTGGTACAAGGAAAAGGGTCTAAAATCCCCCAGGATACCTCAGTCATTGTGCAGGGAGAGAGGTTTTTAAAATCCCCCCAGCATACCTCAGTCATTGATACAAAGAGAAAGGTTTAAAATCCCCCCAGGGTACCTCAGACATTGTGCAGGGAGAGAGGTTTAAAATCCCCCAGGGTACCTCAGTCATTGTGCAGGGAGAGAGGTTTAAAATCCCCCAGGATACCTCAGTCACTGGTACAGGGAGAGAAGTTTAAAATCCCCCAGGATACCTCAGTCATTGTGCAGGGAGAAAGTTTTTTTAAATCCCCCCCAGCATACCTCAGTCATTGATACAAGGAGAAAGGTTTAAAATCCCCCCAGGGTACCTCAGTCATTGTGCAGGCAGAGAGGTTTAAAATCTCCCCAGGGTACCTCGGTCATTGGTAGAAGGAGAGAGGTTTAAAGTCCCCCCAGGATACCTCAGTTATTGTGCAGGGAAGGAGGTTTTTAAATTCCCCCAGGGTACCTCAGTCATTGTGCAGGGAAAGGGTTACACTAACTTAACGTATCACATAGCAAGTTCATTGATATAAGTCAACACAAAGAACTAGAGTACATTGGTCTCCAGGGTAGTAAGTAACAAAGCCAATAGAGAAAGAATTCCTTCAGAAATGTTCAGTAAAAGACCAGTTTTTTGACCTAGTAATGAACGGTCACAAATTATTATACAATGAGGCTTTCTTTTGTGAATTCAATAATTTAACAAACATAACAAGTACAGCATTGTAGATGTTTATTAATCTTATGCCAGTTCTCACTTTTTTTCCAAATCAGTGATTATATGGTTATTTCTGGAAACATTCATTATAAATCTTGTCTATTTTTGAGTCTGGCTGCCAAATGAAACTTGAGGACAAATAAGATAAAAATCAAATGGAGTTCTAAATGTTTTATTCCAGATACTCATTTACAGTGTGATACTGTCATCATCTTGGTGTTTCCATGGATATCAATATGACCTAATGTCTAATCATATGTCAAAGGTAGCAACAGGTGATATTACAATTAATGACTTAATCAGGTTCATCTTCTGCATTACATGATATTGTTGTAAAAAAATATTGTATATATATCATAAGTATTTATTGTCTAGTACATATCACTAGGCATTTCTAGGGATGTTTATGTCTTGCTGTCCATGATTTATTAATGAAATAAGAACAGGTGTACTGATCTTGTGTTTGCTTTATAACAAGACTCAACAGAGACTTGTCATGGCTTTATAACAAGACTCAACAGAGACTTTTCATTGCTTTATAACAAGACTCAACAGAGACTTTTCATTGCTTTATAACAAGCCTCAACAGAGACTTGTCATGGCTTTATAACAAGCCTCAACAGAGACTTGTCATGGCTTTATAACAAGACTCAACAGAGACTTTTCATTGCTTTATAACAAGACTCAACAGAGACTTTTCATTGCTTTATAACAAGCCTCAACAGAGACTTGTCATGGCTTTATAACAAGACTCAACAGAGACTTGTCATGGCTTTATAACAAGACTCAACAGAGACTTGTCATGGCTTTATAACAAGACTCAACAGAGACTTTTCATTGCTTTATAACAAGCCTCAACAGAGACTTGTCATGGCTTTATAACAAGCCTCAACAGAGACTTGTCATGGCTTTATAACAAGACTCAACAGAGACTTGTCATGGCTTTATAACAAGACTCAACAGAGACTTGTCATGGCTTTATAACAAGACTCAACAGAGACTTGTCATGGCTTTATAACAAGCCTCAACAGAGACTTGCATGACATGTAAGAATATCTCCAGGCCCAAGTTTTACAAATCTTCCTTAACTTAAGGAAATCTTAACTTTCGTAGAAAAGATTACAATTTATGCCTGAGAGCTGCATTTGGAATATAAATGAATGGTCAGCAGCTTACTCAGTCAAGGGGAGACAAACCTCTGGAGGCATACGCAGTAAACATTCTTGGTGGAACCTTTTAACACAGATCTGAAAAGGTCATCCTTATTACATGTAATTTCATGTGGAAAAATCAAAAAAATGTAAGGATGATTTAACACTAGCCCAGTCTTGCCATGGAATACAATCTAGGTTTATGTAAAATTCATAATCTTTGATGGACTAAAGAAAATGTTTCCCTTCAGAGAATATTTGAAATATGAAATTCATAAGTTTTGATAGACTGAATGAAAATATTTCTCATTGGAGAATATTTGAAATGTGAAATATGAAATTCTTTCTACAAATATGCAGTCATATCCGTCCTGGGGATAGAAAGTATGTAGGTAACATCTAGTGCTGTGACAAGGTTCCACTACAGTTAGTTATCATAATCATGCTTGACATTGTAAACAGTACATAGGTCGTGTAGTTCTAATTGGTGATTTATGTTACTTTTTCATTTATAGTGCCATGTGTTCATTCATTATGTTTAAATGGTTTCATTTGTAGCTATTACTATTGATCACATGGAATGTGAAATCAAATTAAAAGTAACATATTACAATGTGTTTGTATTAAAGTATTTTTCATCTATTGCCAGATAGCATAACTGTATCATTTCATTAATTAAAAATTGTTGAATTTGATCTGGACATGCAGTCTGTTGATATCATCAAAACATATATGTCTGTCCAACGATCATAGAAGTGATGACCAATTTCAACAGACCCACCATTCCAATCATGAGTATATGAATTTCCTCGTGATAACCAAGTTGACTCCTTAAAGCTTAGCTCTCAAGAAAACCAACAGTATTGTCTGTTGTCACATAAATCTGAAGTGTGTGTGACGTAAACAAACTTTGCCAGTTGAGAGAACACAGACAAATTAAATTTCTTCATTTGTATTATGGTACTCAACAGTTACACAGCAACATCATACTCACACACTCGGTAAACTTTTCACCCAGTGTCCGGACCACCAGACCACTTCACTCATGTTCTCCCTTTTTGTACCCTGTGATATCGAGGGTCCTTTTGACCTATAACCGTCCTCCAAAGGTGGGTAGGAAAACCTATCAGAAATCTGAGTACACTGAGTATGGTAGCCACTGAGTAAATGTGTCATATGTATATTATTTCAGATTTCTAAAAAAAAAAAATTCTCAAATTACCATCTCTCATACAACAGCTTCAGACATTTTTTTGCTACTTATAGAGGGATTATTTTTTTTCAAATTTCCCAGGCGATGTAATATGTATGAACTGATCATGAACAAGTTTACAGTTTGATTGTACACATTACACCTCCTCACCATAGAGAGTACAGTTGTAGACACTACCACAAGTTATTAACTTATCCACTGTCTTTCCCAGTATTTAGCACCACTCTTGTCCATATTACCTTCACGGTCAATGAATTATGATATCTGCATGTACTTTCTTCCATGTACCAGAGTCCTACCATATGGCATATTGAGTGCCTTCTAGGTCCAAGAGGCTCACCAAGTCTAGCATGGTGTATATCCTAAGCCATTTTTAGCCTTAAAAGTCCCAGAAACTATGGTGTGTTTCCTTCAATCTTTAGATTTTCTGAGGTTCCAGTACCTACTGCCTTCTAGGTTCCAGAGAGCATGGCGTACTTATATCCTTCAACATTTCGAGTATGAAGTCCCATGTCCACTACCTTCAATGTCAGTGTCCTTCAATACCCTGATTCACAGGTCCCAGTGTGCCATGTCTACTGTCCTCAGACAATATTCAGCTGTCTGCTTTCATGTACATTCGTCTCTCTTTAGCCATAACTCTGGATGGTCTACCCATAACTTATGATTCTCACACCAAAGATACCTTTTGATAGTTTTACATTCTAGGCAGGTTACAACTGTGTGTTTTTCACGCTTTCCTGTAGTAAGAAAAACAAAACCATTTTAATACAAGTACAAACTTTAACCAAACAAGCATTCTGTCTATACTGGATTTATATAAGTAGCCAAATTTTGTGAAAATAATTTTGGCTATACTCGTTACATATTATACTCTAACACTGAAAGTCTCTGACTAACTTGCCAAGCTCAGAACCAGAGCACATGCATTTGATGTGATAAATAACACTCTTACTCAATAGTACGAGGTTTACCTTTGGTCCTGACTGTAGCTGAGAGAACCGGGACCAGTAGTTGTGGTCCAGTGTCCAGTCGCTTACTCAATAGTGGGAGGTTTACCTTTGATCCTGACTGTAACAGACACCTGGGACCAGTAGTTGTGGTCCAGTGTCCAGTCGCTTACTCAATAGTGGGAGGTTTACCTTTGATCCTGACTGTAACAGACACCTGGGACCAGTAGTTGTGGTCCAGTGCCCAGTGTCTTACTCAATAGTGGGAGGTTTACCTTTGATCCTGACTGTAACAGACACCTGGGACCAGTAGTTGTGGTCCAGTGTCCAGTCTCTTACTCAATAGTGGGAGGTTTACCTTTGATCCTGACTGTAACAGACACCTGGGACCAGTAGTTGTGGTCCAGTGTCCAGTCACTTACTCAATAGTGGGAGGTTTACCTTTGATCCTGACTGTAACAGACACCTGGGACCAGTAGTTGTGGTCCAGTGTCCAGTCGCTTACTCAATAGTAGGAGGTTTACCTTTGATCCTGACTGTAACAGACACCTGGGACCAGTAGTTATGGTCCAGTCGCTTACTCAATAGTGGGAGGTTTACCTTTGATCCTGACTGTAACAGACACCTGGGACCAGTAGTTGTGGTCCAGTGTCCAGTCGCTTACTCAATAGTGGGAGGTTTACCTTTGATCCTGACTGTAACAGACACCTGGGACCAGTAGTTGTGGTCCAGTGTCCAGTCGCTTACTCAATAGTGGGAGGTTTACCTTTGATCCTGACTGTAACAGACACCTGGGACCAGTAGTTGTGGTCCAGTGTCCTCGCTTACTCAATAGTGGGAGGTTTACCTTTGATCCTGACTGTAACAGACACCTGGGACCAGTAGTTGTGGTCCAGTGTCCAGTCTCTTACTCAATAGTGGGAGGTTTACCTTTAGTCCTGACTGTAGCAGAGACACCTGGGACCAGTAGTTGTGGTCCAGTCTCTTACTCAATAGTGGGAGGTTTACCTTTGATCCTGACTGTAACAGACACCTGGGACCAGTAGTTGTGGTCCAGTGTCCAGTCTCTTACTCAATAGTGGGAGGTTTACCTTTAGTCCTGACTGTAGCAGAGAGACCTGGGACCAGTAGTTGTGGTCCAGTGTCCAGTCTCTTACTCAATAGTGGGAGGTTTACCTTTGATCCTGACTGTAACAGACACCTGGGACCAGTAGTTGTGGTCCAGTGTCCAGTCTCTTACTCAATAGTGGGAGGTTTACCTTTGATCCTGACTGTAACAGACACCTGGGACCAGTAGTTGTGGTCCAGTGTCCAGTCGCTTACTCAATAGTGGGAGGTTTACCTTTGATCCTGACTGTAACAGACACCTGGGACCAGTAGTTGTGGTCCAGTCGCTTACTCAATAGTGGGAGGTTTACCTTTGATCCTGACTGTAACAGACACCTGGGACCAGTAGTTGTGGTCCAGTCTCTTACTCAATAGTGGGAGGTTTACCTTTGATCCTGACTGTAACAGACACCTGGGACCAGTAGTTGTGGTCCAGTGTCCAGTCTCTTACTCAATAGTGGGAGGTTTACCTTTGATCCTGACTGTAACAGACACCTGGGACCAGTAGTTGTGGTCCAGTGTCCAGTCGCTTACTCAATAGTGGGAGGTTTACCTTTGATCCTGACTGTAACAGACACCTGGGACCAGTAGTTGTGGTCCAGTGTCCAGTCTCTTACTCAATAGTGGGAGGTTTACCTTTGATCCTGACTGTAACAGACACCTGGGACCAGTAGTTGTGGTCCAGTGTCCAGTCGCTTACTCAATAGTGGGAGGTTTACCTTTGATCCTGACTGTAACAGACACCTGGGACCAGTAGTTGTGGTCCAGTCGCTTACTCAATAGTGGGAGGTTTACCTTTGATCCTGACTGTAACAGACACCTGGGACCAGTAGTTGTGGTCCAGTGTCCAGTCGCTTACTCAATATTGGGAGGTTTACCTTTGATCCTGACTGTAACAGACACCTGGGACCAGTAGTTGTGGTCCAGTGTCCAGTCGCTTACTCAATAGTGGGAGGTTTACCTTTGATCCTGACTGTAACAGACACCTGGGACCAGTAGTTGTGGTCCAGTCTCTTACTCAATAGTGGGAGGTTTACCTTTGATCCTGACTGTAACAGACACCTGGGACCAGTAGTTGTGGTCCAGTGTCCAGTCTCTTACTCAATAGTGGGAGGTTTACCTTTAGTCCTGACTGTAGCAGAGAGACCCGGGACCAGTAGTTGTGGTCCAGTCTCTTACTCAATAGTGGGAGGTTTACCTTTAGTCCTGACTGTAGCAGAGAGACCTGGGACCAGTAGTTGTGGTCCAGTGTCCAGTCTCTTACTCAATAGTGGGAGGTTTACCTTTAGTCCTGACTGTAGCAGAGAGACCCGGGACCAGTAGTTGTGGTCCAGTGTCCAGTCTCTTACTCAATAGTGGGAGGTTTACCTTTAGTCCTGACTGTAGCAGAGAGACCTGGGACCAGTAGTTGTGGTCCAGTGTCCAGTCTCTTACTCAATAGTGGGAGGTTTACCTTTAGTCCTGACTGTAGCAGAGAGACCTGGGACCAGTAGTTGTGGTCCAGTCTCTTACTCAATAGTGGGAGGTTTACCTTTAGTCCTGACTGTAGCAGAGAGACCCGGGACCAGTAGAACACAACATTTCCTGCAGAAGTTTCTCTTCATATCTGGATGCCTGATTAATAAATTAATAAATAATTACTAGATTAGCCTCACTAAACTAGAAAAAATATTTGTATTCATCTTAAGTGGTATATTTAAGATATCTAAGGCGTAAGATAATGTCTATTGTCCCAGGTTATTGATAATAAACAACGAATAAGGACTTTTAACAAAATGACTGAAGTTTGTTGATGACATCAATGCTAGCATCTATAGGCCCAAACACTCTGATGTGTTACATTGAATACAGTTTTAATCCACGGTCTGGATATAATAGTCTTGTTGAATCTTGCTAATAAAAAACGACTTTAGTTGTAGTAACTGCTGTATTCCACTCCAGTCAACTCCCCGAACAACAGGTGAGTATAGTAATAATCTGGCATGTGATAACTAGATTTAAATTCACTTTTAAACATGAACCAACTTCATTATGATATTCTGTTATTTTGTTATAGAAACATGTCTGTAAGATTTAAAGATGCTCAGTGTATTCTCTTAAGTCTTTGTTCTGACTACAAAATGTTGTCCATAAACCAATCACTGGTTATGTTATATTGATTGTGTAAATCACTCTTGTTGTTGGTTACAATAGGTCTTAATGTGAGCGGAAGCTAGAGTATCAAAAAAAAAAAAACACACACATCATCGTCATGGCACATGATCACATTCTTTATAAGACTGGACATCCAAGGCAGATAGGTACATCTCTATACACTACAATCCAGGTAGACATCAAATTAATATAACTATAGATTTACAAATTCACTACTCCTCCTTCAAACCTGCCCCACAATGATATTCAACTAAAGTAGAGAACAGTAGATATTTAGTAGAGTCTCTTACTTACAGTCTCAGTACCAGTCGTTTAGTGATGGTCTTCATGATGTTTACATAGAATTTACAGAGATTCAGGTCTGCTGGACTCCTGTTCAGGGACTGATAAGCTGCCTGTAAAACAAACAAATAAGGCCATTCAAACTCTGAATAAATAAAAAAAAAAAAAACAGTGGCATTTGAGGTAAAACAAAAATTCATTATGGATATCAAACAACTAAGGTGAGAAAGAATAAGAGGATGGACCTGTAAACAGTACATATCTATCAGATGTTAGAAGGCCAACACATTGAAACATAGTTAGGGACAATCAGCTATGAACACTGGTCTGCTTGCACACATTCCTGCTCAAAAGTACTATAAACGAGTTAACAATTTTGATACACACAAAAGTTTGAGAAAAATTCCTGAAGAACAAAATGTCTGAAGGAAAAAAAGGGGTGTGTACTTTTAAACACTTTGGGTACTGGAATGCCACACCTCCTATAGCTAGGGTTCAATACACACAATCCTGGTATGTAAATACTTTGTCAGCATTGGGACCTTTAAACTCTAATGGTTGTGTTTTGAGGGGTTCAAATTTTTGCTTTTTGGAGAATAAAATGGTGTAAAAAAAATTTTTAATAATGCCTTTGAAAAATGGATCAAACAGATTTGGGAAAGAAATGGTCAATGACCATCAATATTATATGCAGTCTGTAAGTCATAAATAAGAAAGCCTGTTAGTGCAGCGAGTGAATATTTTCAGGTAGTGACAGCCACGTAATTATCTAGTGGCCACTGCATGATTAAGTAATCCCATGATCCGTGATCAAGGAAAAGGCCTAAAAAACCCAGTTCACAACGCCATCCTCACCCTTTAGTAAAGACAAAGATTAAATTGAGACATAGGTCTGCCAGATTTGTAACTAATTGATACAGAAAAACATCCAGTATGGACGATGTGTTGGACCAATTACTAGTGGTTTAGACGGACAGGTAGGCAATGGGATAAATTCCCACCTTTCCATGCTTCTTGTGTAAAACCTCTACACCAAGAGTCTTTCTTCCTTCAAACAATCCCCACCTGGAATTCTCTTCCTCCTGACTTAGTAACTAGTCCTAATAATAATAATAATAATAATAATGCTTATTATTATAAGATAATAAATATTATTAAGAGTGCTACACTCTCTCTTTCATGACTAGACTGATTACAATTATCATCAATATCTCTATGAATTTCATTAGTCAGGATTATCAAATATGCATAATCTTCACTCTGTTGAAAAATGCAAAAAAAAGGAGTAGAACCTGGCTCCACCACGATTCAAACTAGCAACCTTTCTGTCTCGAGTCCGACACCCTCCTGCCCGACTAAAGATGACCTGTAACACTTAACTTCTAGAGAACTTGTTCCGAACAGGAACTCAGAAAAAATGATAAAAAGGAAGTAACTCGTATAAAAAGTCGTTATCTTACTGAACAAATTATTTGACCATTTTTGTGTACTTGACCATGTATCATATTTCGTGTGTATTTCCGAATCAATACAATATGTAGCCATCTGAAGAATGAGAAGGTGTATGTAAATGTTTATGACATGAAGGGAATATCGGAGTTTCAACTGGAATGTTAACTACGGAAAGCTCTGACTCATTTCCTCTTTTGTTAAGAACGGATTGTTGCAGATGCAGACTGACAAGACCATAAGGTTGTTAATATCTGGAACACCAATGAACAAGGGTATGCTTCTGATCTACTAGGCCAGTAAATGCTCCAAAGGATCCTAGCCATTCATTTGATCGTGTGCTAATAGACATTTTTTAGTCTGTTCTTTTTTCTACCTGGTACAGAAAATTAATCCGTTGATAGGCATCCTTGTTGACAACATGTCCGTCATCCTTGGACTTCCCCATTTTCCAACGAGGCAAACCACACGTGCTAGTCTGGATCACCAAAACGTTGTTAATTCTTTTATCAATGCTGAAAGCGTTTATTTGACACTGACTTTTCTAAACATGTCCTTCGTGTGTACTTGCATAATCGACGCTGCCGTTGAAACATCTTACGGGTACCATGTTCACATAATCAGCTTCAAAAGCTCATAAAATTAATTTGGCTACAAGCAACTATACACGTATTTCATGGAAACGTTCAGTAATGTGTTAGATCAGTGATGGAGAATGCCTCCTGCGGGAGTTGATAGGTGGGAGTATGGCCCACTCTTGGTTACCGGTGACGGCAAAAAGTCTTCGATGCTGTCGGATCTATTTCAATCGTCGAATTAATGTACTGTCTTCAAACATAACTCACAGAGTAAGTTCCGTTCTGATCAGCTTAAACCCCAATTCATCTAAAACTGACCATATTCGCAGTTTTCAGTGTTCCGATCTGTTGTTCAGAACTTCGGAACCTGTATGTGTGGAGAGACCTATACGTAACGTTCGTACTTATGATGCGTGTTTTAGCAGCATGCTAGTGAATATTGACAGTAGTCTTTTGGATTTAGCAAATATAGTATTCTACAAACATATGATGAACCTTTGTTAAAGATTTACTGTTTTTATCTCTACATATTATTGATAAACATTGTTAAGATCCCAGTCTCAAATGTGAATTACAATGTATAGCCAAAATGTTTAGTAGTTCCACCACAAACTGCTTCGCATATATAGTCAGCAAATCGATGGCATAAGCTTAAATAGAAAAATAAGTCTGTGGTTTGCCAAGTCACACAACAGGCTAAATAATCCTTACTGTAAGTCACACAGCAGTCTAATCAGTCATTACAGATTGGGGAATTTACAAAAATGGACCAAAATGAAGTTGAATTTACTGACAAACCAGTCCTTACTGGCTGTCACATAGAAACGGAAAACCAGACGGGATGTTTGACATACTTTATTTATCCCATTGAATGTCTGGTTTAGACATTGAACCTTATTCTGTACATCTATACAATTATCAACATGGTGACATTGCATGCAGTTAGGTTATTTTGCTTGAAAGCATATATGGATGGTCTTGTGGTTTAACAAAGGACTTCCACACAGATGTTTGATGTTTGTAAACTATACATTCTAATTCTTCTCTTACTCATAGCAATACTCTACCAAGACAGCAACTGCAGATGTTGACACTGATGACAGTGACTCTGATTTTACAAATGGGAAACCAATCAAGTGGCCTCCACCAGAGAACTCAAAACAAACACCATTGAATAATAAGGAACATGAATTTCTCCTTAGACAAGGCAAACAAGGCTTCATCATCTTTGACAAACTTGCATCTTCCCTGATCCATGTTCACAAAGACAATGCAGAAAAACATGAGGATTTTTTTTTCCCTAAGTCTAGTACTGGTGTTAAGTACACATCCCGAGCTATTGCTGCAGAGTTGATCAGACAGGAACGTGTGTCAGTTGACACACTACAAAATGAGCGCCAGCTTAGTAGTCCAGGACTGCTGCGTTTGTCAGTGGACGATTTCAACTGGAGGGAACAGAAGCTGGACGTATCTAAACTCCCGGACTACTACAAACGACTGTCCAAGATCAGATTAACTGGTAAAGATTTTACACTCTGTCAACATTCATGTATTTTCTAAATTACAAGAGGGCAAAGTTTCATTAATATTCTTGTATTTGTGTAATTTACAAGAGGTCAGAATTTTATCAATAATCATGTATTTTGTAAATTACAAGAGGGCAAAGTTTTATCATTATACATGTATTTTGTAAATTACAAGAGGGCAAAGTTTTATCATTATCCATGTAATTTGTAAATTACAAGAGGCCAAAGTTTTATCAGTATCCGTGTATTTTGTAAATTACAAGAGGGCAAAGTTTTATCAGTATCCGTGTATTTTGTAAATTACAAGAGGGCAAAGTTTTATCAGTATCTGTGTATTTTGTAAATTACAAGAGGGCAAAGTTTTATCAGTATCTGTGTATTTTGTAAATTACAAGAGGGCAAAGTTTTATCAGTATCCGTGTATTTTGTAAATTACAAGAGGGCAAAGTTTTATCAGTATCCGTGTATTTTGTAAATTACAAGAGGGCAAAGTTTTATCAGTATCCGTGTATTTTGTAAATTACAAGAGGGCAAAGTTTTATCAATATCCGTGTATTTTGTAAATTACAAGAGGGCAAAGTTTTATCATTATACATGTATTTTGTAAATTACAAGAGGGCAAAGTTTTATCAATATCCGTGTATTTTGTAAATTACAAGAGGGCAGTTTTATCAATATCCGTGTATTTTGTAAATTACAAGAGGGCAAAGTTTTATCAATATCCGTGTATTTTGTAAATTACAAGAGGGCAAAGTTTTATCAGTATCCATGTATTTTGTAAATTACAAGAGGGCAAAGTTTTATCAGTAGCCATGTATTTTGTAAATTACAAGAGGGCAAAGTTTTATCAGTATAATCAAAACACAAGCTACAGTCAGGGAATAAATGTTATATACCTTTGAGATGTAACTCAACTGAAGTCATTTTATTCTCATCTTATTGTTGCTTGTATGTAGAGTTTTATTATCCTGTGTGTAAATGTAACTTGTTTCATTTTCTCAATATCATTACACACCAGTATAATTGTTTCATTTTGATTTTTCTCTAGGTTGAAATGGTTTAAAACTAGTGTTGGAAATTATCAAATTTCATGATAAACCACCAGTCTTTCAAATACATTCCCAACATAAATAAAATGAGTGTCTTTATTTGAAGATATATGATAAAAATTATATGTGAAATTGTGTATTGAATTGCCTTTCTTGTGACTTATAATTTGAAGTTCACTAATCACTTGAAAGTTTTCATGTTATTGTCAGACCTTGATGGAAGATCATGATTCATGATCAGATTTGTCATAGTCGGGGTAAAACGACCAGAATCAGAAAATGATAATTCTTACACACATATATATAATTGATTGAAGGTGGATATCTTCATACACCAGTAAACATAATAAAAACCTTAAACGTATGAGTTATGTCTGGTGACAAATTTTCAGACTGAATACAGGTATGAAAATCAAGATATCACTCTTTTTCATCAAACATTTCAAACATATAGTTTAACATAAGAGTATTTTATCAGTTAAGAATACTTATATCTGATAATTTTGTACATATTCTGTTATATCTTATTGTTTTATTTTGATAGGTCTGGTTGTGCTTACTACTATGGCAGGTTATGGGATGGGACCTGCAGCTTTTGATCCTGTAACATTTGCTCTGGTCTCACTTGGAACAGCTTTGACTTCATGTTCAGCAAATGCAATCAACCAAGTAGGTCATCGATTCAGAATTCAAGTGATCATTATTGACTAAGAGTAGCAGATCATCAAGACATTTTCAAATTTCTCACCTTTTGGGAATTAAGTTGTATTTGATGAGATGAAGAAACAGGGTACTTACTGCTGTATAATATCTGCTCTTAGTCTTTATGCTGAAAACTCTGGGGGAGAAGGAGGGGGTTGTTCACTTCTTTCAAAACTTGAGTGTACCATTTTTTATTCAGATAATTCTTTCTTGATTTGTTATAGTTTGGTGAAACTCAACAAATATCACATATATGTATATACAATTTGTATGTGTGTATAAATGTATATGTATATACAATTTGTATGTGTGTATAAATGTATATGTATATACAATTTGTATAATTTGTATGTGTGTATCATAAAACAGTTTTGAAAGATGTTAAAGGAACTTTGTATAACACATCCAGTTAAAAAATTAAAGTTTTAAGCTGTATAGTTCTTTGTTTCACTTTTTCTGACTGTAGTCCCTAGGAGTTATGTCCCTTTTACAAATCCTGACTGTCTAACTGAATTTATCATTATTTAACATGATGAATTCTAACTTGTCAAAAGTTAATTACTTACTACTTTTAGAGAAGGAAGGTATGATACAGTCTCAGATTGAGATTCCCTAGGATTGTTTACAGTGATCAGGATGGTCATTGTGTACTCATGTTTATTCAATTCCTGAAGTGACAATGTTTGATGAGGACAATATCTTTAAGTGACAATGTTTAGTGAAGGGAGTTTCTTTCTTACATTTTCAAGTACAGATATGATGTTTATTCAGTTATAAGTATCCTGTTTACTGATTGGTTCTGCAATGTCAGTACAGGTAAATTTAAAACAAAAGTAACTGCCATTATTTCTAGGTTAGACGGATACAGTACTGAGTGATATCACTGTACAATATTACAGACATTTTCCTTGAAATACTTTTATATTTATGAATGTTTTTGTAATTTTTCAGTTTTTAGAAGTTCCTTTTGATTCTCAAATGAACAGGACAAAGAATCGAGTTCTTGTACAGGGTTACTTAAGGTATGTTGAAAATACAGTGAATTGACCAACTTCAATCTAGGCAAAAACACAGTTCAATTGAAAAAAAACAAGATGTGGGACATTAAAACTTTACAGGTCTTAGGCAAGCTTGAATAAAAGTGTGTGAAGTAAATCTTCAATAATTTGTGATTATCATCATTGACAAAATGACAGCCTCTTATTCAAATGTTCAGGATTAGAATTTAGGAGGGGCGTTAGCCTCTGTATGACAATTCTATTGGGCCAGCAAGATCTGCAATTTTTGCATTAGACTGTCTGTTTATCTTTATATAGCTCTTTGAAAGGAGATATGTTTCACACTGTTTTCATATCAGGCAGACATTCTGACTTAAGGCTTCATATCGCTACGTAGATGAGTCCAGTCGTGGACCTGATAAGATATCATGTAATAAATACTAAATTATGCTCTCCTGAATAAGCAGCCCATGTAGGATTACTCGTTTATAAAGACTCATTAGATTTGATTTATAAATATGATAACATATACTATGGATTCTTTTTAAACAGCCCTCTGCATGCAGTAACATTTGCTGGTGTGTCTGGCAGCTTAGGATTGGTGATTCTCACTCTGGGAACAAATCCCATAACTACTGCCCTTGGTGCCTTCAACCTTGGTCTGTACACCATGGTCTACACACCCATGAAAAGGACTAGCACTGCCAATACCTGGGTAGGATCTGTGGTGGGGGCTATCCCCCCTATGATGGGCTGGGCAGCTTGTACTGGAGGGCTAGAACCAGGTGCGTAACACTGTAAATAGGGGAAACTAGAACTAGGCATGGACACTGTCTAGGGGAGGCTAGAACTAGGCATGGAAACTGTCTAGGGCGACTAGAACTAGGCATGGACACTGTCTAGGGGAGGCTAGAACTAGGCATGGACACTGTCTAGGGGAGACTAGAACTAGGCATGGACACTGTCTAGGGGAGACTAGAACTAGGCATGGACACTGTCTAGGGGAGACTAGAACTAGGCATGGACACTGTCTATGGGAGACTAGAACTAGGAATGGACACTGTCTAGAGGCGACTAGAACTAGGCATGGACACTGTCTAGGGGAGGCTAGAACTAGGCATGGACACTGTCTAGGGGAGACTAGAACTAGGCATGGACACTGTCTAGGGGAAACTAGAACTAGGCATGGACACTGTCTAGGGGAGACTAGAACTAGGAATGGACACTGTCTAGGGGAGACTAGAACTAGGAATGGACACTGTCTAGAGGCGACTAGAACTAGGCATGGACACTGTCTAGGGGAGACTAGAACTAGGCATGGTCACTGACTAGGGAAGACTAGAACTAGGCATGGACACTGTCTAGGGGAAACTAGAACTAGGCATGGTCACTGACTAAGGAAGACTAGAACTAGGCATGGACACTGTTTAGGGGAGACTCAAACCAGGTATATATGTAGCAGAGGACTGGAAGATGTGCTGTATGTGACACTTTATGTAGGGAGGATTAAAATAGAGCATGATAGAGGTATAAAGCATGAGACAGGAATATAAAGTATCCATTGAGAGGGGTTTCCATGCTGCAATACATAGAGAATCCTACACTGAAAGACCAAACCGAGCATTGTGTTGTCATTTTTTTATAATGAAGCAGAACCTGTTGTATGCATTTGTCATAATGTTTCTAACCTTTTCCAAACTTTTCTGAGGTTATTTAAAAAATCACCATGTCTACATCTGCTAAGATTTTGAATAAATTACAGGTGCATGGCTACTGGGAGCTATCCTGTTTGCATGGCAGTTCCCCCATTTTAATGCTCTGAGTTGGAACCTGAGGCCAGACTATTCTCGTGGTGGTTACAGAATGATGTCCGTGATAAATCCTGGTTTGTGTAAACGTGTTGCTCTACGTTATTCTGTGGCTATGATAGGGCTGTGTATCCTGGCACCTATCATGGGCATTACCTCCTGGACATTTGCTGTTGATTCACTGCCATTTAACCTGTACATGACATACCTCGCCCTCCGTTTCTACCAGAAAGGAGACAGCAAGTCGTCACGTTCTCTCTTCAGGTTCACACTGCTCCACATCCCTGCAGTTCTGGTTCTGATGCTGCTCAGCAAGATCACGATGGATAAGATAAGTGAGGAAGGAGAATTAGTAGGAGCTGCTGTCACAGACACTGGTGCAGTTACCACTAATAACCTAACGCCTCCTGAAATGGCAGCCTCTGTTATTACAGACACTGATAACACAAATAAAACTGGATCCATTGAGACACCAGAAAGTATTTCTGTTTCAGAACCCACAGCTAAAGTAGTAGATCGAACAGCATGTGTTTAATTTAGATGTTAAATTATTGTGGTCATCATAATACCCAGGTTGTAGTACCAGTATTGGTCTGAAGTGAAATGAGAACAGTGTAAAAACATTTTCTGGTCACTAGTGCAATACACAATGTGACAGAGGTTATAGTACCTGGTGTCAATGTAACACAAATGGTATCCTGTTTGAGACAGATTACAATAACAGATGCCATGTTGTGATGTTCACTGTTCTAATTGCTCGAAGGAAAATTGCTTGTAGTGTAAAGAGTTGTAGTTAACATGAACAGATTTGTTCTCAGGTTAAAACTGTGACTTACAGCAGTTGTCAAGTTAGTATTCTGTGATAGTCAGCAGATTGCTTATAAGTATCAGATTTTTAAGAAGGCTGTTTTGTCTCTGCTGAAAATTCGGCCTTATATCTCCTAACATGATAAAAATGATGTAAGGAAAAGATCACATTCCTTATAGTAAGTGGAATGATTGTGATATAATTTTATACTAAATTGTGTGACAAGAATGCAAGAGCTGTTATATATCAATTTCTTTGCATAAAGTTTGTGTTTGATAACAATGCTTTTGAATATCTGTATGTTGGTTGAATGAGATCCAAATGACTGTTTAAAATGAAGTCAATATTATTTGAATGAGAGGTTTACATGGTAATGACATATTAGATATGAATACATGAAAGAGTTTACATAGATTCTGCTTCTAAATCAAGGAATAAGATACCTCAAATTTACATTAGTTTTAATCAAATATACTTAGTCAAGATTGATTAAAGTGTCATGATTATAGTTGATGAGGAGAAGACCATGATGATTTAAGTTCTTTGTACCATAAAAATATTATTTGTTTTTCTTTTTTCCTCACTAGTACCAATATTACAATACCATAAGGAAAGTGCATTACTGACAGTGCTGTACAGAAACCTGACTCCAGCTGTCTTGATGAAAGTGCACTACTGACAGTGCTGTACAGAAACCTGACTCCAGCTGTCTTGATGAAAGTGCACTACCTACAGTGCTGTACAGAAACCTGACTCCAGCTGTCTTGATGAAAGTGCACTACTGACAGTGCTGTACAGAAACCTGACTCCAGCTGTCTTGATGAAAGTGCACTACCTACAGTGCTGTACAGAGACCTGACTCCAGCTGTCTTGATGAAAGTGCACTACCTACAGTGCTGTACAGAAACCCGACTCCAGCTGTCTTGATGAAAGTGCACTACCTACAGTGCTGTACAGAAACCTGACTCCAGCTGTCTTGATGAAAGTGCACTACCTACAGTGCTGTACAGAAATCTTACTCAATCTGTCTTGATGAAAGTGCACTACTGACAGTGCTGTACAGAAATCTGACTCCAGCTGTCTTGATGAAAGTGCACTACCTACAGTGCTGTACAGAAATCTTACTCAATCTGTCTCCAGCTGTCTTGATGAAAGTGCACTACTGACAGTGCTGTACAGAAATCTGACTCCATCTGTCTTGATGAAAGTGCACTACCTACAGTGCTGTACAGAAATCTTACTCAATCTGTCTTGATGAAAGTGCACTACCTACAGTGCTGTACAGAAATCTTACTCAATCTGTCTTGATGAAAGTGCACTACCTACAGTGCTGTACAGAAATCTTACTAAATCTGTCTTGATGAAAGTGCACTACCTACAGTGCTGTACAGAAATCTTACTCAATCTGTCTTGATGAAAGTGCACTACCTACAGTGCTGTACAGAAATCTGACTCCATCTGTCTTGATGAAAGTGCACTACCTACAGTGCTGTACAGAAATCTTACTCAATCTGTCTTGATGAAAGTGCACTACCTACAGTGTCTCACAACTGCTTGATAGTCAGTTTAACATATATGACATGTATACCTTCTTTTTCAGGCCACAACTGCACTTATCTGTCATTGATGTGAGATAAAATCGTGTTAATCTTAAAAAATGATTCAGAATTCAGTAGATGGTGTTTTATGATTGTGTAATACATATCGCTATTTCTGACAAATTTAACAAAACTTAATAAAACTTGATATTTTAAGAAAATGATTTTGCTGTATTTAGTATTTCACTCTTTATTTACATATTTTACTCGCCAAAAGTCCGATTAGGATTCTGATGATCTTTCAATAACATATCTATTATCATCATCCTTTACTTATATTTAGTGTTCGATGTTACAAGGAATGGTCTCTTGTCCAGTAAGTGTTATAGGAATCTATTTATCCAGCTGTCACCCCATGCCTGGTAATAAGCCCACCCATATGTACTGCTGTTCAGTAAAATGATATACCAAATGTTACTTAGGATAAATATGGTACGTTGTATAACAAAAAGTTAAAGAACAATGAAGTATTCAAGCATTTTATCCGGAATAAATCCCAGCAGGACTTTACATAAAAAGATTGTTAGATACAGGGCCATGTCATTTAAAGGATTTACACTGGTGGGTGGAGGCACAACGTCCCAAAATCCATGATATTCAGTCAATTTTTCCGGGAACTACTGATACAAAAATTATACTGGGTCCTCACTAAAAAAGGGTAGAATGTAGGTCGAGAGTGAAGACGACACGAATCATGAATTGGGAATGAGCTGTTCATGTTGTCCATTAATGATGTGTTTAAATTCATTTCTTACAAATTTTTTTAATCATTCTATTTCGTACACAATTTAATTCACTACTGATCAATGTAAATGTGTTTTGAAGAAGGAAAATGGAAATGTTTACTTAACTTGTGTTGGTGTTTTAATTTTCTGAAGGTATAAAGAAAGCTGACAGAGGCATCTGTCTTTTAAAATACTAAGATTTAGAGAAAATGTTAGAAAGCATCACAAATTTATGTGGTTTTACATCCAACAGCTTATATTGTTCTACAAAGAAGTTGGAGTTCATAATCACATTTGCCCTCTACATTTCCTATATTTACAAACGACAGTTTGTCGTTGAACTTTTCAGAAGAAATTCAATGATAATCTGGCTAATTTGTGCTAACATCAGAATGTTCTGTTAGTTGAGATGATCATGGAATTAAAATGTCAGAATAATTAACACCAGCATCACTGTGGTAGCTTCCTTCAATAGATTTATCATTATATGTCCCTGATTTAATCATCTGAGAATGACACAGCCATTTTAGGTATTAAGCCTTAATTTGATGCAGTGGTACACACATGCAATATGTATGTGTAGTTTTGGAAAATTCTATTTTGACTCTGGACTTAATAATGCAAACTTAGATTTGGAATGAAGTTTCTAGTGTTAGAGTGAATCTGGTGCAGACAATAACGTTTTCTCTTTCAATGAGAATGTCAGGAGTTATGTCCCCTCTGATGAAATTGCTCCACATTCCTGGATGAACTCTAATTCAATAGTGAAATGACAGGCAAATTAAAATAAACCCAGGGTTATATTTTTTTTTATCAATTTTAATCAACAATACTATATCAAAAAAGAAACAAAGCATATGATTTGCAAAAGCAGCATGCTTAAAATACTTAAATATATATATCCTATTTATTATAAATATTGGACATTTAGTTTATCAGTTGCATTGTATGTACATAAGCAGAAGCCAAGTGTCATAATGCTTCATATATGTAAATGGTTAATTTATTTGGCAGTGATTTCAAACAAGTGAAGAAAAAGTAATTATTCGATTGAGATTAAATATAACAATATAAATTACCCTGGTCTAATGAGAAATATCAATTACTCCTGGCCTGTCATGGTCTGTCAAATCCTGTAACATCCTTTAACATTACCCTAACCATTCATATTACATAATATCAACAAAAATTATGCTTATCTTTCATCAATGTCCAATAAATCCTCTTATACTCATTAAATTGCTGACCTGTCAAGTCTGTAATATTTAATAAATAACCCTGGCTTGTACAGTCCTGTAATATTTAATAAATAACCCTGGCTTGTACAGTCCTGTAATATTTAATAAATAACCCTGGCTTGTACAGTCCTGTAATATTTAATAAATAACCCTGGCTTGTACAGTCCTGTAATATTTAATAAATAACCCTGGCTTGTACAGTCCTGTAATTTTCAATAAATACCCCTGGCTTGAATAAATAACCCTGTCTTGTACAGTTCTGTAATTTTCAATAAATAACCCTGGCTTCTCGGGTCCTGTAATATCCATTAAAATATATATTAATTGAATATAGCCTGTCAACTTCTGTAATATCTAATGAATATCCTTAAATGTCAAGCCCTGATTTGGAATTCAAACATAATTATCACAGCTTTTTGAACCCCTGTAATATCAACAGTATTACCTTGGCCTGCTATGGTCTTCCAAGTCCTGTTATATCCATTTATATTTACCTTTGATGTCCTATAATAACTATGAAACTACTGAGGCCTGTCAAACCCTGGGATATCTATCAATTTACCTTAGCCTGTCAAGCTCAATAACATTTATTTGTTTAGCCCTGATATTATGTTCTACACTATCCATTTATCACTATCTGTCCGTGATGCCCATTTAGTAAATACATCATTATACAAATATCTAGTATTATCATAATATTCAACTTGTACAATTATAAAATAAATATATTTTCAAATAAAACAATATAATATCAACGATTCAAAAATAAAGATAAATCTACACAAGTACAACATACAGTACAAGACACTGACTAGAAACACCATACAGTATCATCTGGGGCTGGTCACGCTTGACTTAGAACACCAGACAATATCGTCTGGGGCTGGTCACGCTTGACTTAGAACACCAGACAATATCATCTGGGGCTGGTCACGCTTGACTTAGAACACCAGGTAGGTTCATCTGGGGCTGGTCATGCTTGACTAGGAATACCAGGTAGGTTCATCATGGGCTGGTCATGTCTGACTAGGAACTCCATACAGTATCATCTGGGGCTGGTCATGCTGGACTCAGAACACCAGACAATATCATCTGGGGCTGGTCATGCTGGACTCAGAACACCAGACAATATCATCTGGGGCTGGTCATGCTTGACTTAGAACACCAGACAATGTCATCTGGGACTGGTCATGTCTGACTAGGAACTCCATACAGTATCATCTGGGGCTGGTCATGCTTGACTTAGAACACCAGACAATATCATCTGGGGCTGGTCATGCTTGACTTAGAACACCAGACAATGTCATCTGGAACTGGTCATGTCTGACTAGGAACTCCATACAGTACCATCTGTGGCCTGGTCATGCTTGACTTAGAACACCAGACAATGTCATCTGGGGCTGGTCATGTCTGACTAGGAACTCCATACAGTACCATCTGTAGCCTGGTCAAGCTCGACTAGGAACACCAGGTGGTATTTTCTGGGGTCTGGTCATGCTTGACTAGGAACACTAGGCAGTATCATCTGGGGCCAGTCACGCCTGACTTAGAACACAAGACAGTATCAGCTGGAGCTGAAGACCAGGTAGGATCATCTGGGGCCTGGTCATGCTTGACTAGGAACACCAGATAGTGTCGTCTGGGGCCTGGTCACACCTGGCTAGAAACACCTGACAGTAGTATCTGGGGCTGGTCACACCTGACTAGGGACACCAGACTAGCATCTGGAGTCTGATCATGTCTGACTAGGAACACCAGACTCTATTATCTGGGGCCTTTTCTGATATGCCCAGGACTAATGTCCCTGCCTTGTCCTCATTAGCCAGATACTGGTATCCACCTTGCTGACAAGGAGCTTTCCTCAGTGTAATTTACTTCTAGGTCACTGGTGAACTCTGGTTCTTCTTTGTCCCTGGCACAATTTTTAATTCAAATGTCACACCCAGTCTCAGCATCAGGTAAGGGGTAAGGGGGTGGGGGTTTACACACAGGGGTCAGCCAAGGACATTGGAAGATAACAGTGTCAGGATCCTGCACAGATTTATCATCCTTCAACAGCAACCACACTGTTTAGTCTACTATCATACAGTCATCACAGGTCCACAGCTTCCATTGGCAGGGCACAGGTACAATTCTGCTGTAGCTGTCAGGAGTACATCACACAAAACAGGCCTGGAGATTATTAGATGGTTACCTACACACAAAGAGCAGTATATTGTATTGTTTGTTTCACATTTTCATCTAATTATATATCTTGAATATACTATTGTCTAGATAAAGAAGACTGTCAAAGCATTTTGGATACTTATGCCTTCTTAAGTCACCTGTAAACTGTGAATACCTTCTAAGTCACCTGTAAACTGTGAATACCTTCTTAGTCACCCGTAAACTGTGAATACCTTCTTAGTCACCTGTAAACTGTGAATACCTTCTTAGTCCCCCGTAAACTGTGAATACCTTCTTAGTCCCCCGTAAACTGTGAATACCTTCTTAGTCCCCCGTAAACTGTGAATACCTTCTTAGTCACCTGTAAACTGTGAATACCTTCTTAGTCCCCCGTAAACTGTGAATACCTTCTTAGTTATCTGTAAACTGTGAATACCTTCTTAGTCATCTGTAAACTGTGAATACCTTCTTAGTCATCTGTAAACTGTGAATACCTTCTTAGTCATCTGTAAACTGTGAATACCTTCTTAGTCATCTGTAAACTGTGAATACCTTCTTAGTCATCTGTAAACTGTGAATACCTTCTTAGTCATCTGTAAACTGTGAATACCTTCTTAGTCATCTGTAAACTGTGAATACCTTCTTAGTCACCTGTAAACTGTGAATACCTTCTTAGTCACCCGTAAACTGTGAATACCTTCTTAGTCACCTGTAAACTGTGAATACCTTCTTAGTCCCCCGTAAACTGTGAATACCTTCTTAGTCACCTGTAAACTGTGAATACCTTCTTAGTCCCCCATAAACTGTGAATACCTTCTTAGTCCCCCGTAAACTGTGAATAACTTCTTAGTCACCTGTAAACTGTGAATACCTTCTTAGTCATCTGTAAACTGTGAATACCTTCTTAGTCCCCCGTAAACTGTGAATACCTTCTTAGTCATCTGTAAACTGTGAATACCTTCTTAGTCCCCCGTAAACTGTGAATACCTTCTTAGTCCCCCGTAAACTGTGAATACCTTCTTAGTCATCTGTAAACTGTGAATACCTTCTTAGTCATCTGTAAACTGTGAATACCTTCTTAGTCCCCTGTAAACTGTGAATACCTTCTTAGTCATCTGTAAACTGTGAATACCTTCTTAGTCCCCCGTAAACTTTGAATTCCTTCTTAGTCTCCTGTAAACTGTGAATACCTTCTTAGTCTCCTGTAAACTTTGAATACCTTCTTAGTCCCCCGTAAACTGTGAATACCTTCTTAGTCTCCTGTAAACTTTGAATTCCTTCTTAGTCTCCTGTAAACTGTGAATACCTTCTTAGTCTCCTGTAAACTTTGAATACCTTCTTAGTCCCCCGTAAACTTTGAATTCCTTCTTAGTCCCCCGTAAACTGTGAATACCTTCTTAGTCACCTGTAAATTGTGAATACCTTCTTAGTCATCTGTAAACTGTGAATACCTTCTTAGTCACCTGTAAACTGTGAATACCTTCTTAGTCATCTGTAAACTGTGAATACCTTCTTAGTCACCTGTAAACTGTGAATACCTTCTTAGTCCCCTGTAAACTGTGAATACCTTCTTAGTCATCTGTAAACTGTGAATACCTTCTTAGTCCCCCGTAAACTGTGAATACCTTCTTAGTCCCCCGTAAACTGTGAATACCTTCTTAGTCATCTGTAAACTGTGAATACCTTCTTAGTCATCTGTAAACTGTGAATACCTTCTTAGTCCCCTGTAAACTGTGAATACCTTCTTAGTCATCTGTAAACTGTGAATACCTTCTTAGTCCCCCGTAAACTTTGAATTCCTTCTTAGTCTCCTGTAAACTGTGAATACCTTCTTAGTCTCCTGTAAACTTTGAATACCTTCTTAGTCCCCCGTAAACTGTGAATACCTTCTTAGTCTCCTGTAAACTTTGAATTCCTTCTTAGTCTCCTGTAAACTGTGAATACCTTCTTAGTCTCCTGTAAACTTTGAATACCTTCTTAGTCCCCCGTAAACTTTGAATTCCTTCTTAGTCCCCCGTAAACTGTGAATACCTTCTTAGTCACCTGTAAATTGTGAATACCTTCTTAGTCATCTGTAAACTGTGAATACCTTCTTAGTCACCTGTAAACTGTGAATACCTTCTTAGTCCCCCGTAAACTGTGAATACCTTCTTAGTCATCTGTAAACTGTGAATACCTTCTTAGTCACCTGTAAACTGTGAATACCTTCTTAGTCCCCCGTAAACTGTTAATAAAGATTTCCATTTCCTTACATGTCACACAGGACCACCATCTTAGTTACCTGAAAACTGGGACTGCCTTCATGTTTGGATCTGGTGGTTGAGCTACCTGTTTGGCATGGATTTCACAGTAAAGCTTGTCCTCAATCACAAAGTAGCCTAACAAAAGAGACATTCATAGTGACAGGCAATGCTTCACATAGACAGCCTATATATCAATTAAACAGAAAATTACTTATCTAAACAGACAATACACAACATAACATAGACAGACAATACACAACATAACATAGACAGACAATACACTACCTTACCTATACAGACAATACACTACCTTACCTATACAGACAATACTTTACCTATACAGACAACACACCACCTTACCTAGACAGACAATACATTATCTTACCTAGAAATACACTACCTATACAGACAATACATTACCTTACCTATACAGACAATACACTACCTTACCTATACAGCCAATACTTTACCTATACAGACAACACACCACCTTGCCTAGACAGACAATACATTATCTTACCTAGACAGACAATACACTACCTATACAGACAATACATTACCTTACCTATACAGACAATACATTACCTTACCTATACAGACAATACACTACCTTACCTATACGGACAATACATTACCTTACCTATACAGACAATACATTACCTTACCTATACAGACAATACATTACCTTACCTATAGAGATAATACACTACCTATACAGACAATACACTACCTTACCTATACAGACAATACATTACCTTACCTATACAGACAATACACTACCTATACAGACAACACACTACCTTACCTATACAGAGAATACATTACCTTATCTATAGAGATAATACACTACCTATACAGACAATACACAACCTTACCTATACAGACAATACACTACCTTATCTGTACAGACAATACACTACCTTACCTAGACAGACAATACACTACCTTCCCTATACAGACAATACATTACGTTATCTGTACAGACAATACACTACCTTACCTATACCGACAATACATTACCTTACCTATACAGACATTACATTACCTTACCTATACAGACAATACACTACCTATACAGACCATACACTACCTTACCTATACAGACAATACATTACCTTACCCATACAGACAATACACTACCTTACCCATACAGACAATACATTACCTTACCTATACAGACATTACATTACCTTACCTATACAGACAATACACTACCTTACCCATACAGGCAATACATTACCTTACCCATACCGACAATACATTACCTTACCTATACAAACATTACATTACCTTACCTATACAGACAATACACTACCTATACAGACAATACATTACCTTACCTATACAGACAATACATTACCTTACCTATACAGACATTACATTACCTTACCTATACAGACAATACATTACCTTACCTATACAGACAATACATTACCTTACCTATACAGACAATACACTACCTTACCTATGCAGAGAATACATTACCTTACCTATAGAGATAATACACTACCTATACAGACAATACACTACCTTACCTATACAGACAATACATTACCTTACCTATACAGACAATACACTACCTATACAGACAATACACTACCTTACCTATACAGACAATACATTACCTTACCTATACAGACAATACATTACCTTACCTATACAGACAATACACTACCTATACAAACAATACACTACCTATACAGACAATACACTACCTTACCTATACAGACAATACATTACCTTACCTATACAGACATTACATTACCTTACCTATACAGACAATACACTACCTTACATATACAGAGAATACACTACCTTACCTATACAGACAATACACTACCTATACAGACAATACACTACCTTACCTATACAGACAATACATTACCTTACCTATACAGACAATACACTACCTATACAGACAATACACTACCTTACCTATACAGACAATACATTACCTTACCTATACAGACAATACACTACCTTACCTATACAGACAATACACTACCTATACAGACAATACACTACCTTACCTATACAGAGAATACACTACCTTACCTATAACATCAATACACTACCTTACCTATACAGACAATACACTACCTTACCTATACAGACAATACATTACCTTACCTATACAGACAATACACTACCTTACCTATACAGACAATACACTACCTTACCTAGACAGACAATACATTACCTTACCTATACAGACAATACATTACCTTACCTATACGGACAATACACTACCTTACCTATACAAACAATACACTACCTATACAGACAATACACTACCTTACCTATACAGACAATACACTACCTATACAGACAATACACTACCTATACAGACAATACATTACCTTACCTATACAGACAATACATTACCTTACATATACAGACAATACACTACCTATACAGACAATACACTACCTTACATATACAGAGAATACACTACCTTACCTAGACAGACAAAAAATTACCTTACCTATACAGACAATACATTACCTTACCTATACAGACAATACATTACCTATACAAACAATACACTACCTATACAGACAATACACTACCTTACCTATACAGACAATACACTACCTATACAGACAATACACTACCTATACAGACAATACATTACCTTAACTATACAGACAATACATTACCTTACCTATACAGACAATACACTACCTTACCTATACAGACAATACACTACCTATACAGACAATACACTACCTTACATATACAGAGAATACACTACCTTACCTATAGAGACAATACACTACCTATACAGACAATACACTACCTTACCTATACAGACAATACATTACCTTACCTATACAGACAATACACTACCTATACAGACAATACACTACCTTACCTATACAGACAATACATTACCTTACCTATACAGACAATACACTACCTTACCTATACAGACAATACACTACCTTACCTGTACCATCAATACACTACCTTACTTATATCATCAATACATTACCTTACCTATACAGACAATACATTACCTTACCTATACAGACAATACACTACCTTACCTATACGGACAATACACTACCTTACCTATACAGACAATACACTACCTTACCTGTACCATCAATACACTACCTTACTTATATCATCAATACATTATCTTACCTATACAGACAATACATTACCTTACCTATACAGACAATACACTACCTTACCTATACGGACAATACACTACCTTACCTATACAGACAATACACTACCTTACCTGTACCATCAATACACTACCTTACTTATATCATCAATACATTACCTTACCTATACAGACAATACATTACCTTACCTATATAGACAATACACTACCTTACCTATACGGACAATACACTACCTTACCTATACAGACAATACACTACCTTACCTGTACCATCAATACACTACCTTACTTATATCATCAATACATTACCTTACCTATACAGACAATACATTACCTTACCTATACCATCAATACACTACCTTACCTATACAGACAATACATTATCTTACCTATACCGACAATACATTACCTTACCTATACAGACAATACTTTACCTTACCTAGACAGAGAAAACACGACCTAGACAGATGACATTAATAGTCAAAAGAAACACAGACTGTAGACTGACAAAACTAACTTTATCACCAAGAGACATTTCTTTAATGCCAAACTTTGTTGCTTACCTTTCTGTTTGAGGTTTATGCCACATTTCGCACACTTAAAACACTGGGCATGATATGGGACTCCTCGCACCTTCACGAATACACCCCTACATGTGAAAAAGAAGGTTGTACTGGGGAATATTTCATTCATAAATTGGATTTACTAGGAATGGTAAACAATGTGGAAAATTCCTCATATAATGTTCATGTTTTTACCTTAATTTGGAAAAGTCACCAAACCAACTAAAGATGTACAATTAATTTCATATTCAATGTATGTGTAGGTCTGAGAGGGCCCTGTTGACATGTGTAGGTCTGAGAGGGCCCTGTTGACATGTGTAGGTCTGAGAGGGCCCTGTTGACATGTGTAGGTCTGAGAGGGCCCTGTTGTGTGTAGGTCATGTGTAGGTCTGAGAGGGCCCTGTTGACATGTGTAGGTCTGAGAAGGCCCTGTTGACATGTGTAGGTCTGAGAGGGCCCTGTTGACATGTTTAGGTCTGAGAGGGCCCTGTTGACATGTGTAGGTCTGAGAGGGCCCTGTTGACATGTGTAGGTCTGAGAGGGCCCTGTTGACATGTGTAGGTCTGAGAAGGCCCTGTTGACATGTGTAGGTCTGAGAGGGCCCTGTTGACATGTGTAGGTCTGAGAAGGCCCTGTTGACATGTGTAGGTCTGAGAGGGCCCTGTTGACATGTGTAGGTCTGAGAGGGCCCTGTTAACATGTAGGTCTGAGAGGGCCCTGTGACATGTGTAGGTCTGAGAGGGCCCTGTTGACATGTGTAGGTCTGAGAGGGCCCTGTTGACATGTGTAGGTCTGAGAGGGCCCTGTTGACATGTTTAGGTCTGAGAGGGCCCTGTTGACATGTGTAGGTCTGAGAAGGCCCTGTTGACATGTGTAGGTCTGAGAGGGCCCTGTTGACATGTGTAGGTCTGAGAGGGCCCTGTTGACATGTGTAGGTCTGAGAGGGCCCTGTTGACATGTGTAGGTCTGAGAGGGCCCTGTTGACATGTGTAGGTCTGAGAGGGCCCTGTTGACATGTGTAGGTCTGAGAGGGCCCTGTTGACATGTGTAGGTCTGAGAGGGCCCTGTTGACATGTGTAGGTCTGAGAAGGCCCTGTTGACATGTGTAGGTCTGAGAGGGCCCTGTTGACATGTGTAGGTCTGAGAGGGCCCTGTTGACATGTGTAGGTCTGAGAGGGCCCTGTTGACATGTGTAGGTCTGAGAGGGCCCTGTTGACATGTGTAGGTCTGAGAGGGCCCTGTTGACATGTGTAGGTCTGAGAAGGCCCTGTTGACATGTGTAGGTCTGAGAAGGCCCTGTTGACATGTTTAGGTCTGAGAAGGCCCTGTTGACATGTTTAGGTCTGAGAAGGCCCTGTTGACATGTGTAGGTCTGAGAAGGCCCTGTTGACATGTGTAGGTCTGAGAAGGCCCTGTTGACATGTGTAGGTCTGAGAAGGCCCTGTTGACATGTTTAGGTCTGAGAGGGCCCTGTTGACATGTGTAGGTCTGAGAAGGCCCTGTTGACATGTGTAGGTCTGAGAAGGCCCTGTTGACATGTTTAGGTCTGAGAGGGCCCTGTTGACATGTTTAGGTCTGAGAGGGCCCTGTCTGAGAGGGCCCTGTTGACATGTGTAGGTCTGAGAGGGCCCTGTTGACATGTTTAGGTCTGAGAGGGCCCTGTTGACATGTGTAGGTCTGAGAGGGCCCTGTTGACATGTTTAGGTCTGAGAGGGCCCTGTTGACATGTGTAGGTCTGAGAGGGCCCTGTTAACATGTGTAGGTCTGAGAGGGCCCTGTTGACATGTGTAGGTCTGAGAGGGCCCTGTTGACATGTGTAGGTCTGAGAAGGCCCTGTTGACATGTTTAGGTCTGAGAAGGCCCTGTTGACATGTTTAGGTCTGAGAGGGCCCTGTTGACATGTTTAGGTCTGAGAGGGCCCTGTTGACATGTTTAGGTCTGAGAGGGCCCTGTTGACATGTTTAGGTCTGAGAGGGCCCTGTTGACATGTGTAGGTCTGAGAAGGCCCTGTTGACATGTGTAGGTCTGAGAAGGCCCTGTTGACATGTTTAGGTCTGAGAGGGCCCTGTTGACATGTTTAGGTCTGAGAGGGCCCTGTTGACATGTTTAGGTCTGAGAGGGCCCTGTTGACATGTTTAGGTCTGAGAGGGCCCTGTTGACATGTTTAGGTCTGAGAGGGCCCTGTTGACATGTTTAGGTCTGAGAGGGCCCTGTTGACATGTTTAGGTCTGAGAGGGCCCTGTTGACATGTTTAGGTGTTGACATGAGAGGGCCCTGTTGACATGTTTAGGTCTGAGAGGGCCCTGTTGACATGTTTAGGTCTGAGAGGGCCCTGAGAGGGCCCTGTTGACATGTTTAGGTCTGAGAGGGCCCTGTTGACATGTTTAGGTCTGAGAGGGCCCTGTTGACATGTTTAGGTCTGAGAGGGCCCTGTTGACATGTTTAGGTCTGAGAGGGCCCTGTTGACATGTTTAGGAGTGAGAGGGCCCTGTTGACATGTTTAGGTCTGAGAGGGCCCTGTTGACATGTTTAGGTCTGAGAGGGCCCTGTTGACATGTTTAGGTCTGAGAGGGCCCTGTTGACATGTTTAGGTCTGAGAGGGCCCTGTTGACATGTTTAGGTCTGAGAGGGCCCTGTTGACATGTTTAGGTCTGAGAGGGCCCTGTTGACATGTTTAGGTCTGAGAGGGCCCTGTTGACATGTTTAGGTGTGAGAGGGCCCTGTTGACATGTTTAGGTCTGAGAGGGCCCTGTTGACATGTTTAGGTCTGAGAGGGCCCTGTTGACATGTTTAGGTAACATGAGAGGGCCCTGTTGACATGTTTAGGTCTGAGAGGGCCCTGTTGACATGTTTAGGTCTGAGAGGGCCCTGTTGACATGTTTAGGTCTGAGAGGGCCCTGTTGACATGTTTAGGTCTGAGAGGGCCCTGTTGACATGTTTAGGTCTGAGAGGGCCCTGTTGACATGTTTAGGTCTGAGAGGGCCCTGTTGACATGTTTAGGTCTGAGAGGGCCCTGTTGACATGTTTAGGTCTGAGAGGGCCCTGTTGACATGTTTAGGTCTGAGAGGGCCCTGTTGACATGTTTGAGAGGTGACATGTTGAGAGGGCCCTGTTGACATGTTTAGGTCTGAGAGGGCCCTGTTGACATGTTTGAGAGGTCTGAGAGGGCCCTGTTGACATGTTTAGGTGTGAGAGGGCCCTGTTAACATGTTTAGGTGTGAGAGGGCCCTGTTAGTGCCCTGTTGACATGTTTAGGTCTGAGAGGGCCCTGTTGACATGTTTAGGTGTGAGAGGGCCCTGTTGACATGTTTAGGTCTGAGAGGGCCCTGTTAACATGTTTAGGTCTGAGAGGGCCCTGTTGACATGTTTAGGTCTGAGAGGGCCCTGTTGACATGTTTAGGTCTGAGAGGTGAGAGGGCCCTGTTGACATGTTTAGGTGTGAGAGGGCCCTGTTGACATGTTTAGGTCTGAGAGGGCCCTGTTGACATGTTTAGGTCTGAGAGGGCCCTTGACATGTTTAGGTCTGAGAGGGCCCTGTTGACATGTTTAGGTCTGAGAGGGCCCTGTTGACATGTTTAGGTCTGAGAGGTGAGAGGGCCCTGTTGACATGTTTAGGTGTGAGAGGGCCCTGTTGACATGTTTAGGTCTGAGAGGTGAGAGGGCCCTGTTGACATGTTTAGGTGTGAGAGGGCCCTGTTGACATGTTTAGGTGTGAGAGGGCCCTGTGAACATGTTTAGGTCTGAGAGGGCCCTGCTAACATGTTTAGGTCTGAGAGTGCCCTGTTAACATGTTTAGATCTGAGAGGGCCCTGTTAACATGTTTAGGTCTGAGAGGGCCCTGTTAACATGATTAGGTCTGAGAGGGCCCTGTTAACATGTTTAGATCTGAGAGGGCCCTGTTAACATGTTTAGGTCAGAGAGTGCTCTGTTAACATGTTTAGATCTGAGAGGGCCCTGTTAACATGTTTAGGTCTGAGAGTGTCCTGTTAACATGATTAGATCTGAGAGGGCCCTGTTAACATGTGTAGGTCTGAGAGTGCCTTGTTAACATGTTTTGGTCTGAGAGTGCCCTGTTAACATGTTTAGATCTGAGAGGGCCATGTTAACATGTTTAGATCTGATAATGTCGTCAGTATTACAAATACTCACATAACCATGTTACCACACTCTCCACAATGCATGCTCTGCTGCTGAGGGCGCTGTTGACTGACCTGCTGTGGATCAGGAGGTCGGACAGACTTGAATCCACTCGGCTGACTATCGTCTAGAAAATGAATAAAGTATATATATAAAAAGGACTTTTTTTATCTCTAATAGTTCATAAAGAAACTTTCAGGCATCTTTTTAAAGAAACTTTTTTTATGTGACTAATCAATTATATAAATTAGACTGATAATTAGACTAGATCAGATGGAAATATTTCATTGGTTACATAAGATGTAAGGAAGTCACGTATCACAAAGCAGGAATACCATACATGTAACATATTTACATGTCTTCCAAGATATCAAACTACCCCTTAATAAAGGTGTTCTACCTTTCCTTTTTTATCTGTAAAAAGTCCTATAATATCACATCTGTTATTGTAATAACAGGTTAGTGAAACAACATGGCCATTTTCTTCAATCACAAACCCAAATCTATTAGTGAAACAACATAACCATTTTTTTAAGTCACAAACCCAAATGTATTAGTGAAACAACATGGCCATTTTCTTAAGTCACAAACCCAAATCTATTAGTGAAACAACATGGCCACTTTTTTAAGTCACAAACCCAAATCTATTAGTGAAACAACATGGCAATTTTCTTCAATCACAAACCCAAATCTATTGGTGAAACAACATGGCAATTTTCTTCAATCACAAACCCAATGCTGTTAGTAGAACAACATGCAAACAATACAATATATACATTGAGTGGTAACACACATCCCACTTGAAATTTATTCCTGTAAAAATGTTTGTTATATATTATTACTCCAACAATAATCTCACGCCAAGTAATAACCCTTCCTAAACTATTACTATCAGAAGATTTACCAAGAAAAATGCTTTTTCATAGTGCTGTAATAAGTTCGCCCCAATGTTGAGAAAGAGTTTGTCTTACAACCCCTTGGCATATTGATATATATACAGTAACAATGAGTTACTGTGTCAGCTATTTATGTCATTACTATGTAATGTCTTATCTAAATAATGGCTTTCATGTTATTGATACAGGGAGAAGAAAGCACAACTGTTTTCGAAGAATTCAACTTTGTGTTTTATATGAAACATATTATAGATTGAAAAACTACTCTATGCCAAAGAGTTTGTTTATCGAAATCCTTGTAAAATGATTAAAAATTTGATGTCTTGTTGCCATGAGCGCCAGAAGGGGCTGGATGGGGGAGGCTGTGGGGTAATCTCTGTAAGCTTGCCTTACGCATATACCTTCTTATTAATAGATCAAGATTTCAAAATAATTTTTAAAAAATCAATTATTTCATAACATCCACCTTTACATAAAAGATGTTGAGGTAAGTATGTAAAACTCGTTATGGTGTTAAATCACAACATACTCTTAACAGTATTAGTAAGGTGATCAAAAGGTGGGTCAGGCGAGGTGACAGGCGGGAGGTCAGGCGAGGTGACAGGCGGGAGGTCAGGCGAGGTCACAGGTGGGAGGTCAGGCGAGGTCACAGGTGGGAGTTCAGATGAGTTTACGTCCTCCAAATCATGCCCTTCCTTTAAGCTACCCTCATCACCTTGTGAGTCCAATTTTTGGTAGGTTCCAGTCATTCGAGTGCCCACAGGTGCATCATCTACATCAAGGCTGAAATAGTAATTTGTCAGATATCATTTTCCTGTCAGCCAAAATAATGTTCCCTAAAGCAATCAGTTGGATTAGACAGAGAACAATTCACTAGAGTATTTAATCAGCATTAAGCATATGTCTGGTGATATGCCCACCCATATATATTACAAGAAGAAATACCCAGGCTAGCTGTATTGTAGACCATCTCCCTACTTTCATTTACAGAATGTGTGTTATGGACCCAGGACAAGTCATATAAAAGTCCTACTTCTCCATTTCCTTCTGTATACCAGCTGTCTGCATCTTGTAGGTGTTGGCCAAGTTATCGGCAGAGTACAGACCAATAGGGGTATTGAACTGACAGTGAACCACATTGGGGACAGGTTTCTTTGGTGACTGAGGAGCTTGGCTAAAGGACTTTGGTGTCCTGTTATATCCACTTCCTATGTGAAGGGGGTCCTAGAACACAGAAGCATCTCATCAAAACCAGCTAAATAAAATGTCATACATCACTTCAATACAGACTAACTAACTCAACACCCATCTTCATCCTAAAAATAAACATCACCCTTATCTACATACAGATAGGTCACACACACACTCATCCCACACATTACCCTTATCTACATACAGATAGGTCACACACACACTCATCCCACACATCACCCTTATCTACATAGAGATAGGTCATACACACACTCATCCCACACATCACCCTTATCTACATACAGATAGGTCACACACACTCATCCCACACATCACCCTTATCTACATAGAGATATGTCATACACACACTCATCCCACACAATACCCTTGCCTACATACAGACAGGTTATACACACACTCATCCCACACACTACCCTTGCCTACATACAGATAGGTTATACACACACTCATCCCACACACTACCCTTGTCTACATACAGACAGGTTATACACACACTCATCCCACACATCACCCTTATCTACATACAGATAGGTCACACACACTCATCCCACACATTACCCTTATCTACATACAGATAGGTCATACACACACTCATCCCACACACTACCCTTGCCTACATACAGATAGGTTATACACACACTCATCCCACACATCACCCTTATCTATATACAGATAGGTCACACACACACTCATCCCACACATTACCCTTATCTACATACAGATAGGTTATACACACACTCATCCCACACATCACCCTTATCTACATAGAGATAGGTCATACACACACTCATCCCACACATCATCCTTATCTACATACAGATAGGTTATACACACACTCATCCCACACATCACCCTTATCTACATACAGACAGGTTATACACACACTCATCCTACACACTACCCTTGTCTACATACAGACAGGTTATACACACACTCATCCCACACATCACCCTTATCTATATACAGATAGGTTATACACACACTCATCCCACACATTACCCTTATCTACATACAGACAGGTTATACACACACTCATCCCACACATTACCCTTATCTACATACAGACAGGTTATACACACACTCATCCTACACACTACCCTTGCCTACATACAGATAGGTTATACACACACTCATCCCACACACTACCCTTGTCTACATACAGACAGGTTATACACACACTCATCCCACACATCACCCTTGTCTACATACAGATAGGTTATACACACACTCATCCCACACATCACCCTTATCTATATACAGATAGGTCACACACACACTCATCCCACACATCACCCTTGCCTACATACAGATAGGTTATACACACACTCTTCCCACACATCACCCTTATCTACATACAGATAGGTTATACACACACTCATCTCACACATTACCCTTGTCTACATACAGACAGGTTATACACACACTCATCCCACACATTACCCTTATCTATATACAGATAGGTCATACACACACTCATCCCACACATCACCCTTATCTACATACAGATAGGTCACACACACTCATCCAACACATCACCCTTGTCTACATACAGATAGGTCACACACACACTCATCCCACACACTACCTTTGTCTACATACAGATAGGTTATACACACTCATCCCTCACATCACCCTTACCTACATACAGATAGGTCATACACACACTCATTCCACACATTAAACTTGTCTACATACAGATAGGTTATACACACACTCATCCCACACATCAACCTTATCTACATACAGATAGGTCATACACACTCATCCCACATATCACCCTTATCTATATACAGATAGGTCATACACACACTCATTCCACACATTAAACTTGTCTACATACAGATAGGTCATACACACACTCATCTCACACATCACCCTTATCTACATACAGATAGGTTATACACACTCATCCTACACATCACCCTTGTCTACATACAGACAGGTTATACACACACTCATCCCACACATCACCCTTATCTACATACAGATAGGTTATACACACACTCATCCCACACATCACCCTTATCTATATACAGATAGGTTATACACACACTCATCCCACACATTACCCTTATCTACATACAGACAGGTTATACATACACTCATCCCACACATTACCCTTAACTACATACAGATAGGTCACACGCACACTCATCCCACACATTAAACTTTTCTACATACAGATAGGTCATACACACACTCATCCCACACATTACCCTTAACTACATACAGATAGGTGATACACACACTCATCCCACACATTAAACTTGTCTACATACAGATAGGTCATACAGACACTCATTCCACACATTAAACTTGTCTACATACAGATAGGTCATACAGACACTCATTCCACACATTAAACTTGTCTACATACAGATAGGTCACACACACACTCATCCCACACACTACCTTTGTCTACATACAGATAGGTTATACACACTCATTCTACACATCAACCTTATCTACATACAGATAGGTCATACAGACACTCATCCCACACATTACCCTTATCTACATACAGATAGGTCATACAGACACTCATCCCACACATTACCCTTAACTACATACAGAGAGGTTCTACACACACTCATCCCACACATCACCCTTGTCTATATACAGATAGGTCATACACACACTCATCCCACACATAACCCTTATCTACATACAGATAGGTCACACACACACTCATCCCACACATTACCCTTATCTATATAGAGACTGACCTGACCCCCCCCCCTCTCTCTCTCTCTCTCTCTCTCTCTCTCTCTCTCTCTCTCTCTCTCTCTCTCTCTCTCTCTCTCTCTCTCTCACTCGCTCTCACACACACACACACACACATACACACACATATCTCCCACTTCCTACACATTAACTTCATTTAAACAGGTCATGTACACTTGCCCTTAATTCCCACCCTCCCAGTGTTAAGAACTACACACACTACCCCTGTGTACATACAGGTTGATGTGACCGTGCCAGGGATGTCTTTTGGACAGTCTGCACCTCATCTCCTGTTGCTGTTTTAATGGTCCTTAATTCCTGGGGCCGTAGTTGGGACATTGGCGTCACCTTGGGAGCCCATACAGATACAGCCCCTCTGTAAAAGTGTATTAAAAATTAAAATAACAAACAATACATTAATGTTAAATACCAGTTCTTTCTGAGCTACTAATTCTAATATCACTGTAATAGGTACATTATAACAATTATCCACAAAAGTAAGCTTCCTCACATATGACAAAGTCCATTAGATTTCAATCTTAAACAAGTTCCATTAGATTTTTATCTTGGACAAAAGTCCATTAGATTTCGATCTTGAACAAAATTCCATTAGATTTTTATCTTGGACAAAAGTCCATTAGATTCCGATCTTGGAAAAAATTCCATTAGATTTTTATCTTGGACAAAAGTCCATTAGATTCCGATCTTGGACAAAAGTCCATTAGATTCCGATCTTGGACAAAAGTCCATTAGATTCCGATCTTGGACAAAAGTCCATTAGATTCCGATCTTGGACAAAAGTCCATTAGATTTCGATCTTGGACAAAAGTCCATTAGATTCTGATCTTGGACAAAAGTCCATTAGATTTCGATCTTGGACAAAAGTCCATTAGATTCTGATCTTGGACAAAAGTCCTTTAGATTCTGATCTTGGACAAAAGTCCATTAGATTCTGATCTTGGACAAACGTCCTTTAGATTCTGATCTTGGACAAAAGTCCATTAGATTCTGATCTTGGACAAAAGTCCATTAGATTTTTATCTTGGACAAAAGTCCACTAGTTTTTTATCTTGGACAAAAGTCCATTAGATTCTGATCTTGGACAAAAGTCCATTAGATTCTGATCTTGGACAAAAGTCCATTAGATTCTGATCTTGGACAAACAACAGAATCAGATACGGGATTACTGTTCATTGGAGTTGGATTGATATTCTGAGTCAATACTCTGACAATGAAGACAATTGAAAGAATATAAAACTAAAAGGCTGAGTTGTAAAAGTTTCATAACTTTACTAACCTTTGAACTGTCATATAAATGTCGTTTCCTGACTGGATGATCTGAGATTTTGCGTCATCATGAGTAAGAGTATCTGTGTTGACGTCATTGATGTAGATGACGCCATCTCCCGCTCTTAAACCACTTCTTTCTGCTACACCGCCAGCTGTTACCTGTCACGAGACAATAAGGTTGTCAGATGATAACACATATGATTCTACTAAGGGATGTACGTTGTGGGACAATGGTAACTGATTTGTCAACCAGTTAAACGGACCAACTACCTCACCTGATCCATGTCTTCCCGAGGTCAAAACAGACAGACACTCAGATATATTCAACTTCAATCACCTAATCCATGTCTTCCCGAGGTCAAAACAGACAGACACTCAGATATATTCAACTTCAATCACCTAATCCATGTCTTCCCGAGGTCAAAACAGACAGACACTCAGATATATTCAACTTCAATCACCTAATCCATGTCTTCCCGAGGTCAAAACAGACAGACACTCAGATATATTCAACTTCAATCACCTAATCCATGTCTTCCCGAGGTCAAAACAGACAGACACTCAGATATATTCAACTTCAATCACCTAATCCATGTCTTCCCGAGGTCAAAACAGACAGACACTCAGATATATTCAACTTCAATCACCTAATCCATGTCTTCCCGAGGTCAAAACAGACAGACACTCAGATATATTCAACTTCAATCACCTAATCCATGTCTTCCCGAGGTCAAAACAGACAGACACTCAGATATATTCAACTTCAATCACCTAATCCATGTCTTCCCGAGGTCAAAACAGACAGACACTCAGATATATTCAACTTCAATCACCTAATCCATGTCTTCCCGAGGTCAAAACAGACAGACACTCAGATATATTCAACTTCAATCACCTAATCCATGTCTTCCCGAGGTCAAAACAGACAGACACTCAGATATATTCAACTTCAATCACCTAATCCATGTCTTCCCGAGGTCAAAACAGACAGACACTCAGATATATTCAACTTCAATCACCTAATCCATGTCTTCCCGAGGTCAAAACAGACAGACACTCAGATATATTCAACTTCAATCACCTAATCCATGTCTTCCCGAGGTCAAAACAGACAGACACTCAGATATATTCAACTTCAATCACCTAATCCATGTCTTCCCGAGGTCAAAACAGACAGACACTCAGATATATTCAACTACCTCACCTAATCCATGTCTTCCCGAGGTCAAAACAGACAGACACTCAGATATATTCAACTTCAATCACCTGATCCATGTCTTTCCGAGGTCAAAACAGACAGACACTCAGATATATTCAACTTCAATCACCTAATCCATGTCTTCCCGAGGTCAAAACAGACAGACACTCAGATATATTCAACTTCAATCACCTAATCCATGTCTTCCCGAGGTCAAAACAGACAGACACTCAGATATATTCAACTTCAATCACCTAATCCATGTCTTCCCGAGGTCAAAACAGACAGACACTCAGATATATTCAACTTCAATCACCTAATCCATGTCTTCCCGAGGTCAAAACAGACAGACACTCAGATATATTCAACTTCAATCACCTAATCCATGTCTTCCCGAGGTCAAAACAGACAGACACTCAGATATATTCAACTTCAATCACCTAATCCATGTCTTCCCGAGGTCAAAACAGACAGACACTCAGATATATTCAACTTCAATCACCTAATCCATGTCTTCCCGAGGTCAAAACAGACAGACACTCAGATATATTCAACTACCTCACCTAATCCATGTCTTCCCGAGGTCAAAACAGACAGACACTCCGATATATTCAACTTCAATCACCTAATCCATGTCTTCCCGAGGTCAAAACAGACAGACACTCAGATATATTCAACTTCAATCACCTAATCCATGTCTTCCCGAGGTCAAAACAGACAGACACTCAGATATATTCAACTTCAATCACCTAATCCATGTCTTCCCGAGGTCAAAACAGACAGACACTCAGATATATTCAACTTCAATCACCTAATCCATGTCTTCCCGAGGTCAAAACAGACAGACACTCAGATATATTCAACTTCAATCACCTAATCCATGTCTTCCCGAGGTCAAAACAGACAGACACTCAGATATATTCAACATCAATCACCTAATCCATGTCTTCCCGAGGTCAAAACAGACAGACACTCAGATATATTCAACTTCAATCACCTAATCCATGTCTTCCCGAGGTCAAAACAGACAGACACTCAGATATATTCAACTTCAATCACCTAATCCATGTCTTCCCGAGGTCAAAACAGACAGACACTCAGATATATTCAACTTCAATCAGCTCAGACACACAGGTTAAGTCTACAGAATTTATTTTTCCGGTTTTTGTTTCCTTCTTGGAATACTTGTTCATGAATACAACTGAAGTTATAACTGAAAAAAGTCTATCAATACCATCAAACTTAAGGAAAATATCTTCGGCCCATTTGGATTAAGGTAATGTGCCTATAAAACCCCATTTGAAGTAGGATATCTTCTTTTTGTGTAACACTTGATATGTCAATCATAAATGAAGACCAACTTACACAAAATGCAAAGTTGCAAAAACCACAAAAAACAAAGAAATAAATTGAAAATAATGACAAAACAAAACCTGACATGAAAGGCCACCGTAAATTTGCCCTGGCTAACGTAATTTGATTGGACAACTTTTCTAATTGTAACTTTTTCACTCCCGTAAACAGTAGAATGGACATCCTGAGTCTACTTCAACTGCCTCCCTAACCTTCGGGGATATACTGATTCTAACAAGAAAAAAGGAAGAAATTCTCTAAAATGACACCTGATATGTCCGACTTTAAAATCCGTAACACAATGGCGATCTATCACTATTTCTGTATTGTCATGGCTCCAGTTTATAAGTCCATAGCGATATGATAAAATAAGTAAACACAACAATGTTATACAATGTACAGATATGTACATTGTATAGAGAGAAGATACTACATTGTATAGAGAGAAGATACTACATTGTATAGAGAGAAGATATGTACATTGTACAGAGAGAAGATATGTACATTGTATAGAGAGAAGATACGTACATTGTATAGAGAAAAGATACTACATTGTATAGCGAGGAGATAGGTACATTGTATAGAGAGAAGATATGTACATTGTATAGAGAGAAGATACGTACATTGTATAGAGAGAATATACTACATTGTATAGAGAGAAGATACGCACATTGTATACAGAGAAGATATGTTCATTTTATAGAGAAAAGATACTACATTGTATAGAGAGAAGATATGTACATTGTATAGAGAGGTAATACATTGTGAAATAAGATACGTACTCAATGTAGAGAATAAACCCCCTTTGTATATGCTTTGTACAACGTGCGATGCTCGCGCCATGCTAGCGCCGTGTTTACACCGTCCACTGCCTTAATACTTCTGTACGTATATTTACTACAACGTTCACAACACCTTATCTCAGGACCGAGAAAAGGCACTAGAATAACAAGTATTTACATCAACAGTGAGAGAAACTATCATCCCTTTCGACATTAATAAATCCATCTAGCTTCTGAAATCTTAAAAACAGAGCTTGGCAACCTACAGAACACTCACTTGTGCCAACAGGCTAGTGCAGAGGGTAATTATACTACAGTATGAACTGGTGATAGACAAGTATAAGATACCACGTTACATAGCGAACTGCACAAGTAACCGCGGATATTGCGTTCTATTTTGAGGGCTATGCATGTTTTGATATTACAGGTTTCTTTAGTTTGCTTTCCAACATCTGATTTTAGTATTCCAGTGTGTACTGGATCCTGAGAACTGCCACAGAATTTATGTATTCGAACTTGTTCTCATGAGTATATAATATTTTACTGACCAATTGCGCACATGCTATTCAAATAAAGTTAATTATAGTAAGGTTTACGGTCGTCCTAATGATTGCGTTGGGAAATATTCTATTCCCTCGTGGGGTATGACGTTGAACCTCACATGCTGTTTAGTTTGTCTGGGGGTTCCATTTTGTTAGTATTGTCCTCATTCGGATAAACCACGATTTATATGGCGACTGACATCGATACAACTGACGACACGTAATATTCAGTGATACCTGGTCTTACTCTACGGTTTCGCCAGTCTGCATGTAAATATTTATCTTATTCATATTTTACGCAAGTTTCATCGAATTTCAGTTTGGATTAAGATTCTGTTGATATGTAGGTGTTTGTTTACCGTAAATCAGTTAAGTAGACAATTTGTGACTATTGAATGACAAATGACGTTTTAAAAGGCGATGACGTTGTCTGAAATGACGCCACCACTTAGTTACTTATTCCCTTTTCCAACTCTTATCCACTACTGCGCATGTCTTCCGTGGGCTAAGATCATTGCCTGTGCCCCCACCCCCCATTCTAGTCATCACATACGTTATGACTAACTAATCCAGATGGTTCTACACACGTTACTAGAGAACAAATGTGGCTAAACAAAAGATATGGGAAATAGTTGTGGTTCATAACTAAGGCAGTTTTATCAACTTAAGAAAAAATTCTTGAAACCAGCACCGACCGTCTTAAAAATCAGCCATATTCAAACACGTATGTTATAGCATACCGTTCACCGTGACGTGGCTAGATATACGGACGTTCGTATGAGCCATCATATTTGCATTGGGCATGTGCATAGCACCAGTACTGACGACTACAAGTGGTTAAGTTGGTGTGTTTAAATCGCGTGGCTATTTTCTGACTATTATAGTAAATGATTAACAATGTCAGTTCCTGTTTCCGCCTGAAAACGGTTCTGGAGGAAACATAGACAAACGTTTGAATTTCACTGGAACATCGACACTTTTACCGATATTTTCTGTTTTCGCCATGCGACAATATTAACCATTGAGACAACAACAACTAGGATAAGAAAGATGTGTTTACATCAGACTCAATAAATCAATATAAACAATAATAAACACAGGTAATTCAAGTAAAGAAACATTTTAATCCTTTTCATAAGCTTCCACCTACATGCTGTAAAGTGGGCGGAGCTTCACGTCATCAGTGGTTGAAAAGAACGTTTTGATTGGCTAAACACATATGAGGGCCGTTTTTAACAAAACTGTGAAGCTCTTATGTTTTGTTGAATTTCGATGATATTCTGATATTTACATTAACGTTAAACTCAGATTGTTTTAAAATAAGGACAGTATGTTTGATTTTATGCCTATACTGGTTATAAGATCAGGAATTTTGGTTTTAACGAGACAAAAATTAAATCGTGATTTTTGTTGATTTCAGCCAAAATTTATGATAAAAAACCAGCATATGCACTAAGAACAAACATCATATATACTTAGTATATATATACATATATCTTACACGGTATGATAGTTTCTGTAAAGTGTATCTGATATTGTGCTGTATGTAATTCACACTATCTTATAATTTACTGACGTAAATGTTCTGTGATGTGTTTACTATACTGGGCGATAAGTATATAGATATTTAGTAGGTAGGGAAATGTTTACACTTTCCGATCCGGGTAACACCGCGTGGACTATTCGGGTACTGATGTGGAAGTTTAATTACTACCACAGAACACTGACGCCAAACAGGAATGTCAGCACGTGGGGCGTACCTCAGTCTACACACCTCTGACGCATTCCGCCTACTGTTTGCTATAAAGGTTTTTTTCTAATTATAATTTGGAAACGATGCGTAACAAATATGATATTAATAGCTAACTGGTGTATTAATACGCTTTCTGACTGGTAACGAGTGATATGTATACCAGTCACGTGGCATCATTGAAAATCAGATACAAGAAAACACAAACCTGGCAACATAATCATAATTCAAACCCAAATTCCATAAAACTAAAGCAAAATATGAACAAAAGAAAGATTCCACGCAGACTCTTGAAAAAGTACAAGGAGAATAAGACCAGGTATTCCGGAAGAGTTAGCGCCTTCTGCTTCACCACCAACACCCGCCATGTAAACCTTGGTCAGTCAAAGTAAATAGTGTCACGTTCTCAAATGGGAACAAGGTATACAACATCGAATATTTCTCAATGACATCACTATGGCGACCATAACATTTCCCCATAATTTTCATCAACCTGCATCTTTTGAACCCGTGTGTTACGAGTTTCTCAGTCAGTTGACGCCTTCTTGCACGAAAATCGTGATAATGGGAACAGGCTCCAGAATATCGAATCAACTTGTAAGTACATGTTGGAGATGCAGGGTTATTGCTATCAAGAAATGGAAAAAAAATCACAATAAGGAAATGGAAATCATCACGTTTATCATACATCTTGATGGAAAGCTGTCCATCTTGGTTTCGTTATAGGAAGAGATCGATATAAGCAGCTGATGCAGCAGAGTCTGTCGTATCTTTCATTTCCAGGAATGTTGGATATATACGATGGATGTACTCGATAAATCTCTTGTTATTTAAAGACAAGACATCATCAATATATCTGAAAGTGAAATCAAACGATTTGGCAAGGTCTTCGTAACCTGTTTTGATAAGCTCTACAATAAATTAAAAAATAAGTCACCTAACAGAGGTACGCAGTTGGTTCCCGTAGGTATGCCAATAGTCTGTTGGAAGGTCTTACATAGCATTAAACTCGACGAAGATGTTGTCAACCAGAAACTCGATCATTTTTATGATTTCGTCCTCCGTATACTTCCTCTTAGCTTTCGACGTATTTTTTAGTTACGAAATACAGTATGGTTCACAACCATATATTTATACCATCGTTCACCTCTCCTGAGCAAGAAAGCTCTCATAACAAGAGAACGAAGGCGTTCCTTCAAACTAATTTATCAAACACATATATCCAAACTACTGTGTTAAACACATATATCCAAACTACTGTGTTAAACCCTGATATCCAAACTACTGTGTTAAACACTGATATCCTAATGTGTTAAACACAGATATCCAAACAGCTGTGCTAAACTCAGATATTCAAATATGTTAAACACAGATATCAAAATGTGTTAAACACGGATATCCAAATGTGTTAAACACAAGTATCCAAACTATTGTGTTAAACACAGACATCCAAACTATTGTGCTAAAAACAGATATCCACACAATTGTGTTAAACAGATATCCAAACTATTGTGCTAAACTTAGATATCCACACTCCCACGCAGCGTCAGAAATAGTATCCAAACCACTGGGTTCCATACCCGAACATGTTAATCAAAGCTACCCCAAGACCGAGAAATTTCTGTGCATGTTATCTTGTATTTCAATTTTCGTTTCTTTTTTTTTTGTGTTAACCATATATTTTCAGACTAGCAATAACTTGTAAGCCGTTTCATTTTAAGTCCAGCATTACAGCTACCACTGCGTAGCTTTGTTAACATCATGGGGAATAAATCGGCTGGAGTTTCGAGGAAACAGAAATGTTTATGCTCGCTGCGGAAGAGAACGGGGCATTTTCGACCTTTCCTTGTCCGTTTGTAAGGTCAGATATGAAGGGAATGTTACTGATAACAGCACGCTTTAGCGTACCTCTTCTCCGTGTTGACCCCTCGATCCCCCTGTTATCAATGAAAAGTGAATACAACTTCACCTTCAACCAGTCTCGTCTTACACCGCACCAAATATAGCAGCTACCTGCCCAGCACTGCCTAAAACTTTTTAAAAACAAAATATATAGGACGGTGAGTAGAAAGCTAGGTGTAGACACACATAAATAACGGACGGAGTTTGTCGCTTGTTCAATAGCGAGAGGCCCGCATGAATAAAATTAAGTGAAAACTCACTTAAGCGTGAAAAATCTGAAAAGAAAAAGCGTGTTATGTATACGTTGGAATGTGTGTGTTTGGGATAAAGCAGACGACGGATTGAGTACGTACCGATTGTAGGGACAACGGCGTGCTGAAGTCGCTCCCACCCTGAAGTCGAAATCCCCAGGACACAGTGGTGTCGGGTCGCACAAGGCGAATGGTCATCATCTCAGGTTGAGCCATCCTGGACACTGTCCTTGCTTAACTTCTGGTAAGACTATGTGGACCATGCACCCTACTGATCACGGATTGTAAATAAAAACGGCATATGTTGTGTGGATCGAGGGGCCCCCGGGTTTGCACACGATACCTGGTAGTGAAATGACGTCAGCCAGTAGGAATTAGCGCTTCACTGATCTGATGGGCTTCCCCAACCTCTATAGTACGGAAACCCATACACTTCAGATACATCAAATTCATTGTCTTCGACAACACACCAAACAACGCTTGTGGAATATCAATATATGTATTACGCTTGTTCTAAAGTTACTGAACAATGGTTCTTAGTAACATGAATAACGCTTGACATGTAGACACGGGACGCTCGATCCTAGTAACGTGAATAACGCTTGGCATGTAGACACGGGACGCTCGATCCTAGTAACGTGAATAACGCTTGACATGTAGACACGGGACGGTGGATCCTAGTAACGTAAATACCGCTTGACTTGTAGACACGGGACGCTGGATCCTAGTAACCTGAATAATACTTGACCTGTAGAAACAGGTCGCTGGATTCTAGTAACGTGAATACCGCTTGACACGTAGACACGGGACGCTGGATCCTAGTAACGTGAATAACGCGTGACATGTAGACACGGGACGCTGGTTCCTAGTAACCTGAATGACGCTGGCCTTATAGACACGGGACGCTGGATCCTAGTAACGTAAATGACGCTGGACTTGTAGACACGAGACGCTGGATCCTAGTAACGTGAATAACGCTTGACACGTAGACTCGGAACGCTGGATCCTAGTAACCTGAATGACGCTGGACTTGTAGACACGGGACGCTGTCTCCTAGTAACCTGAATAATACTTGACATGTAGACACAGGACGCTGGATTCTAGTAACGTGAATACGCTTGACATGTAGACACGGGACGCAGGATCCTTGTAACGTGAATAACGCTTGTCTTGTAGACACGGGACGCTGGATCCTAGTAACCTGAATAATACTTGACATGTAGACACGGGACGCTAGATCCTAGTAACGTGAATAACGCTTGACTTGTAGACACGGGACGCTGGATCCTAGTAACGAGAATAACGCTTGACATGTAGACACGGGACGCTGGATCCTAGTAACGTGAATAACGCTTGACTTGTAGAAACGGGACGCTGGATCCTAAGAACGTGAATGACGCTTTACTTGTAGACAATGGACGCTGGGTCCTATTATTAATGTTTGTCCTGAAGTCACGTGACACTGGTTACTGGTCATACATTATTAACGCTTGTCCTCAAGTCACATGACATTATTTGTGGTTATACATTATTAACGCTTGTCCTGAAGTCACGCGACGCTGGATCCTGGTCATACATTATTTATGCTTGTCCTGAAGTCACGTGACACTGAATCCTGGTCATACATTATTAACGCTTGTCCTCAAGTCACGTGACGCTGGTTCCTGGTCATACATTATGAACACTTGTCCTGAAGTCACGCGACGCTGGATCCTGGTCATACATTATTAACGTTTGTCCTGAAGTCACATGACGCTGGTTCCTGGTCATACATTATTAACGCTTGTCCTGAAGTCACATGACGCTGGTTCCTGGTCATACATTATTAACGCTTGTCCTCAAGTCACGCGACGCTGGATCCTGGTCATACATTATTAACGCTTGTCCTGAAGTCACATGACGCTGGTTCCTGGTCATACATTATTAACGCTTGTCCTCAAGTCACGCGACGCTGGATCCTGGTCATACATTATTAACGCTTGTCCTGAAGTCACATGACACTAATTCGTTGTTATACATTATTAACGCTTGTCCTGAAGTCACGCAACGCTGGATCCTGGTCATACATTATGAATGCTTGTCCTGAAGTCACGTGACGCTGGATCCTGGTCATACATTATTAACGCTTGTCCTCAAGTCACGTGACGCTGGTTCCTGGTCATACATTATGAACACTTGTCCTGAAGTCACGCGACGCTGGATCCTGGTCATACATTATTAACGTTTGTCCTGAAGTCACATGACGCTGGTTCCTGGTCATACAGGATCCTGGTCATACATTATGAATGCTTGTCCTGAAGTCACGTGACGCTGGATCCTGGTCATACATTATTAACGCTTGTCCTGAAGTCACGTGACGCTGGATCCTAGTCATACATTATTAACGCTTGTCCTGAAGTCACGTGACGCTGGATCCTAGTCATACATTATTAACGCTTGTCCTGAAGTCACATGACGCTGGTTCCTGGTCATACATTATTAACACTTGTCCTGAAGTCACGCGACGCTGGATCCTGGTCATACATTATGAATGCTTGTCCTGAAGTCACATGACGCTGGTTCCTGGTCATACATTATTAACGCTTGTCCTGAAGTCACGGGATGCTGGTTCCTGGTCAAACATTATGAATGCTTGTCCTGAAGTCACGTGACACTGAATCCTGGCCATACATTATTAACGCTTGTCCTCAAGTCACGTGACGCTGGATCCTAGTCATACATTATTAACGCTTGTCCTGAAGTCACGTGACGCTGGATCCTGGTCATACATTATTAAAGCTTGTCCTCAAGTCACGTGACACTGAATCCTGGTCATACATTATTAACGCTTGTCCTCAAGTCTATGTTGGATGATGAGGTGTAGTAAGCAGTGGATCATGCATGTGTTACAGATCGTATTGTATAGCCTGTCGATACGTACCAGCTATCGTAGTCCCTACAACATTCCGTGATTGTATGGTATCCGGAAATGCTTCACATATCATGTGTATTGTTGAGCGGAAGTGTAGTCGACACTCTAGCACTGTCGAGTGTTTTACTAATTAGTTACGACGAGAGGCACGTGCGAGACACGAAAGTTTACTTACCACAAACGCCATAAACTCTTTAACACCACGATATGACTTTGTAATCCTTCCCTGGCCGAAATTACTGACCATCTAACCTCTCCATAACTCTGTAACCTTTCCTGAACTAACATTACCGCCAACTGACCTTGTAACCCTTCCTTAACTAACATAACCGCAACTGACTCTTTAACCTCTCCTTAACTAACATTACCGCCCACTGACTTTCTAACCCCTCCTTAACTAACATTATCGCCCACTGACCCTTTAACCCTCCTTAACTAACATTACCGCCACTGACCCTTTGACCCCTCTTTAACTAACATAACCTCTCACTGACCCTGTAACCTTTGCTTAACTAACATTACCTCTCACTGACCCTGTAACTCCACCTTAACTAACATTACCGCCACTGACTCTTTAATCCCTCCTTAACTATCATAACCGCTCACTGACCATGTAACCTTTCCTTAACTAACATTACCGCCACTGACCCTTGACCCCTCTTTAACTAAAATAACCTCTCACTAACCCTGTAACCTTTGCTTAACTTACATTACCACTCACTGACCCTGTAACTCCACCTTAACTAACATTACCGCTTATTTACCCTCTAACCTCTTTTCAACTAACGTTACCGCCAACTGACCCTCTAACCCCTCCTTAACTAACATTATCGCCCATTGACCCTGTAACTCCATCTTAACTAACATTACCGCTCATTTACCCTCTAACCTCTTCTTAACTAACATTGCCGCCAACTGACCCTTTAACCCCTCCTTAACTAACATATCCTCTCATTTACCCTCTTACCTGTTTTTAGTTAACATTACCGCCAACTGAGCCAGTAACCTATCCTTTACTAACATTATCGCCCACTGACCCTGTAACTCCATCTTAACTAACATTACCGCTCACTTATCCTCTAACCTCTTCTTAACTAACATTGCCGCCAACTGACCCTTTAACCCCTCCTTAACTAACATATCCTCTCATTTACCCTCTTACCTGTTTTTAGTTAACATTACCGCCAACTGACCCTGTAACCCTTCCTTAACTAACATAACCGCTCAATGACCCTGTAACTCCACCTTAACTAAGATCATCGCCCGATGACCATGTAACCCCTCCACCGTTTATGTCATCCCTCTACCGACTCTACATGTCTCTGTCACCCCTCCCAAGTTATTTCTCATATCTGTCATTTCCTCACTGACTTTACGCTCCTGTGTCTCCTGTTGAAGTAAATAGCACCCTTTTCTGTGGCCTCCTCTGAATACTCTCTTCTGTAGAAGCCCTTGTAAAGTAAACAAACCCACATCTCCCTCCTCCCTTCTTCTTCCCTCTCCCTTCTTTTCTGTGCTATTGGGTTCTTTCATTTTCTCTTGTGATTAATTTTCCTATAGTCACTTACTTTCCTGCTTTCCTGCATCAGTAACTTTAACAAAAATAACAAAAAAAACGTCCCTAACCTGGAATTTCCTTCCATTCAGACGTCTCTTTCAAGCCATTTGGGGTGAAATTTTGTCTAACTTTCTCAACAAAATCAACATTCATCTGTTACCATTCGGAGTGGTTCATACCCAGCGATATTACGTGCACAGTTTACAAAATCTCACATCCCTGACGTGCCCCAAACATTCTAGCATTTGACCTCTGTCTGTTGAGTGGGCGGGTACTCGTACACACGTGTACACGTGCATCGTTACGTTGGATCAGTTTCGATTACATACTTAGATGTTTGTGTGACTTAACATGAAGGTTAAGTCTTACATACACAACACAAGGATGTAGACGTTACACGAATTATGTAAGTAAAAGACTTGTTGATGTTTATCTTCGATACCAGAAACATCAGCCAGCACTAGATCGCTGAGATATCCGATAGTACAGTGGTCCTGATGATTCTTTGATAATACCAGCTATATAGATAATACACACAAACTCTTCGTGTCAAGGTCACACGATCCTTGACTAGGGATCGATCAAAGGTCGTGTCAAATAAAGCTTTAAGGAAATTCTTTCATATGTTTATATTTATTTCTATAAATCTAGAAAAAAATGAGAAGAGCAAAACAAAAGTTGCGAGTCCCGTCAAAGGGGGCGTGATCATGGCGGAGTTACCTCTCTTCGTTCGTTACTCCACAATGCAGTGAAGGTTTATCAGCGATGCTCTGAAAACTTTACATACGATCGATGTGATCACTGATTTTACACGGCATTTTAATTTCTGTTACTCGTGTCGCCTTTAAAACAAATTGTACATTTCCAAGAAGTTACACAAGA